CGAATTCATGAATGTGGGACGCAATCGCGTTACGGACGTTACATGATTACATCGAACGTACCTGCTTATCGAATTAACCGCAATATTTACTTGCAAAAACACTTTACAAAAATTCGATCTTAAATATCTTCAACTGTCATTAATAACAGATTTTAAAATTATTCTAGGACATATCAACTCGTTCAATTCAAATATGTAATTCTTTTTAAACCCAAGGGATTGGACAGATGGGATGTTTCCGTGTGTCCCAGTTTATATTATTATTTCGCAGGATTCGAACTCCGTAATGAATTGTCTTAAATGAATCAACTTTGTAACGAACTTTTAATCAAATCTTCTGTATTTAAAAACACGTTTATCGGTTTTAAAACCGGAGAAATATATTTCCCCCCACCCCGGACCAAAGGTGCTGTATAACATCCGAAATGTGTAGTTAAAACAAATTGTAAATAAATTAACTTATATTTCGCGTGTAACCGTTTAGAGTTTTAAACTCGCCAAAATATTGCATACCATACTGAACACTACTGTACCCGTTCAGCTACCTTAAATACATACTTTAATATTTCAAAGAATTCTTCGTCAAAAACTGCTTAAATAATATTGGAAATAGACAGAACCGTTCATATTGCAGTTCCGACGTCGGAACGAGTCGAAAATATTCAATATCAAATATCTAGGATTTTGTAGAGATCCGTCAGTATTGATTGAGTTCAACGTCTCTCTACTGTGGAGATAGTGTCACAAGCGAGAGATGAAACTGTTCAAATACGAGATACGAGGAATATTTTCATCGTAATTGAACTACTAAGTTCAGCTAACGTAAAATACAACCTTTTTAATTAAAAAGACGTACCTTTTATTAATTGAACGAAATCACTTATTAAATTAAACACTGAAAGGTTTAAAGAGCAAAATAAATTAATTAACTTATTCTGACAAAATCTTTAATATTTTTCACATGAGCTTTTTTCAACCTAAAATCGATTTTATTTTAATTTAATGCAACTATTAAATTAAAATCAATGAAATGTTTATCGTTTTAAACCGCTAAAAGTGTTTTATTAAAATAAAGAAAATTCTTCAAATTAGATTTACTGTGATTAGAAATGTTCGAGTTTAATTTACTTGTCTAACATTTGTATAGGTACAGTTATTCAGTCGGGTGGGTCTCGGACGTAACAGAGTGGCAATTAAAACGCGGAATATTGGCGGCTTGGCTCCCTGCAGCTAAAAATATGCATAGTATAGATCCTGTATTAAATTGCGAGCGAACAATTGATGTTTATATCGGCTCAGAGCTTATAGAGGGGATAGACGAGCATGGGATTCAGATTTACATATTTACAATTAAACTGCTGCCCGACGTTTCAGCTTCTTTACAGCAGCCGTGGTCATGTGGGGATTACGTTCAAAGGTTTTTTATGTCTACTCGCGTAAACTCGTGTACAGATGATACAAAATTATAAATTAACATAATATGAAACACGAACGGTTTGACGAAGGGAATCGAACGTAAAGTTGATTATTAGCCATTAGACCAAAGGCCGTTAAAGAATCTATAAATAGATATGTTGTGTCAAAACAAACACTCATATTTCAATTTGCGTGCGACCTGGTTTAACCTAGCCGTACTGCATCTATGCATTCCATTATAATAATTGCATGCATGCATTCAATCAGCGATGGACAAAATTATTTGCCTACTTTCAATTAATTGCGTACACTCTTTATCGGAATCCAGTTTTTAAAAGGCCTTTATTGAAAAGAGGTTTATATTATGCGTAGGTTTAAAGACTGTTTGTGTTTATCGATAAAGAAAGGTTTGTTTGCTTTGACCGCGCTAATTTCTAATCATGTATCGAGGAAGGCTATAGATAAGAAAACATCGCGTCGTAGCAAACAGGAGCGAACAAACAACGGAAAATGTGAAATACAAAAAAATATGTACGAAGGAGTTATATAAGATCGTAATTACCACAAAGAATCTTTAATAAAAGTATCCTGCAAATGTAACTTTTTAATTTCAAACTTCTACCTGTGTTTCGGGTTTAATAATTTGTTATTTTAATAAAAGACGAGAAGATTTCACAAGATTACAAGGGTCAAAGCTAGAGCTCGTCGTCGAAGCGAGCTTTTTAAATCAGATAAAACCTGAAATTCGTCTGATAGAAAAAGTACACAGCCTCTTTCAAATGAAATGGATTTTATACGGGCAGATACATAAGTACATAGTTATATAAGACTATTACGAAAACTTGTTTTAATTATATTTATACAGTTCAAACTAATTCAATATGTTTTTCATAATTTTAACGGCCTCTGGTGTAGCACAGAACTACAGCCTATTTAGGCTAACAACACATCGAACAAAATCCATGCTTATGCATTCTCTTTTGTCATAAAATAGCTAGATCTAGTGAGATGTAATCTTCCTAAAAAGTATTATTCAGGTACCTTGACAAAGCTTACAAAGTCAAAATGATAACGAAGTTACTAAAAAGTAAACGTTGGCCTCTGTTACTTAACAGTTATTCTATCTATAAATATCTCTAGAAATATGCGGGTCGTGGCGGTCAGATGTCAATCAAATTATGAAGATTCACAATGCTAATCAAAATAGGCAGTCGCCTTATAACGGCTCTTGATCGAGATGGTATCAGTCGGTCAATTTATTTTTGTTCTCATACTGTCTTGCACTTTTCGATAGATTTAAATAATATTTATCTTGTACTTTTTTATTTGTACACTATATATGCCTATGTATATATTTAAATATAATAATAAAAATATTCACAGTATCCACTCGTTTGTAGATTCGATAAAATGCCGAAAAACTAACTTATTTACTACCTTGCTGTACCCGCGTATTTGTCTATAATTTTTGTTTTACTGTCTTACATAGAAACAAGTTGATCGTTAATTCAATGACCTGCCAGGCAAATATGCCGCGTGTCCGGAATTCGAACCTAGGATCTCCGTACGTACAACGCACATCATATTGTGCTAGGAAGACGGTTTCTTAGGATCAGCATATTACAAAACGTGCTAGTTTTATGTATCTGGTAAACAGAACGATTCTCGTTAACGTTATTGCAATTATCATTTATAATAAAAACGCTGCATTGTGTTAAAGACAGCAATTAGCGAACAATCATTAGTCTTCTCTGTCACTCTAGTCTACGTCTCAAGCGACTGTTAAGTCTATTTCATTGAATAGTTCGTCACCAATGCCATTATCTTTTCAAAGGGGTCTATTCACAAGTTTAAAGCTCGTGATAACGGCATAGTTTCTATGTACCCTGTCTATACACGTCGGTACACAATGGTCGGGTGCACGAGGCTGCGTTTTCAGGGTGAGGGGGGGGGGGCAGTTGGACGTTACCACCCGCTATCGCCCGCCATTGTACTGATATGGAAACACGGGAACTTTGCATGTGTGCCATTCCGAATAAAATATTTTCTTTATGTCTGTTGTTTTTGTCTAGAAAGAGTAGTGATAGACAATGCGTAAATGCTCTATCGAGCTATTACGAAGCAGAATAATTACATACGCAACCAAACATTTGGGTTCTAAGGTAGATAACATTTTCGAAAAAATATCTTCTGTCGATGTTTGTTTGATCTACACTGACTTAAAAAAATAACTAACATATTGAAATTAAATCTATACTAATATTATAACTGGTTCGAGTTGAAAACATATTTTTGTGTTGAAACATTTCTCGCTTTAGGTTGAAAAACATTAGGACGCGATCAATAGGAGCGAAGTAACAAAGGGTAATGTAGAAAAACATAGAAAATTATTCATCTTTGCGGGCTTCCCTTGCCTTCGCTGTGGAAACGATGCAAGACGAAGAAGCAAAACTAAAGTCTGAAGATGACTCTTAAAATTATTTTAAGATTCACAAGAAAAACGGGGCGCGGGCGACGTCGTGGGTATCAGATACAATTTATAAGCTAGGCGTTGTTTGTAAAAATAAATAATATGGTGCCCAAAATTACTATTTCACGCGGACAAAGTTGCGGGCAGAGATAGTGCATTTGTTGTTTTTGTAAGAAACTACATCACGAACGCTAATTGAACCCACGATACCGATCCGTGCTACCTTGCAATTGGTACAGCTAAAGCAAATTTTTAATATGTATTTAATATCATAAAATAATTTTCAAGTGTTGTGTCATCAAATGTTTGGTGTAATATAGCCAGTTAAAATGGATATACGATCGCTGTACTAATCGAAAAGTGTTTTACTTTGATAATAGAAGTTTTAACGAAATTGCATATTTACCATGTTAATGTTTTGACTTAACATACTGAATGCAAATTGAACCTGCATCGCTGGTTTAGTTTTGATTTCATAAATATACAGAAAAGTTGGAGAACGGACGTTTCAATCATTAACAGCAATTATTTCTCAAGTGAAAATGTACTTTCTTTTACGATAAACGGGCTCGCTAGAAACATTTTCCATTAGAAACGTTAATATTTTCTCATGTTATTAAGAAGGAAGTACAGAACAAGCACAGTGAAGATATTAACAGAAGCGCGATGTGCAGTTACTTGACACAGTGCGAACGGGTCAGTATTACCAATCACCATATTTCATGTTACACGAGGATGCGAAACCAATAACGGAAATGTACGCCAGAACAAATCATGACCGTGCACCTACTTGCTGCGGAATGTTGACTATTGTTTACTTATATACCACAATTCACGGTTAAATTATTTTGCTTTTCATCCTACTGGTTAAAATAGGTTCTTTGACGTGTTATACACACCAACGTGCATGAGACTTTTATCACACTTTATTTGCAATTCACTCAAACTTATTATTTGTAGTTGGCATAGTATTTTGATTAACGAATACTTATTGTTTTTATTACCTAAGCAATGCTAGTGAAAAACTCTTTAAAGAGAGTGTTCTTAACTCCAAGAGAATTGTCAAACATGAAACAATGGTATTGTAATTTTTAATAATTGTAATTTAAAATACTCACGCATTATCAGTTACATCAGATGACTCGTCGAGCTCCCCTATAGTGTCTAGTGACGCCCCTGAGCCATCCTCTCTGGTGTCTACAGGTGGCGGTGGAGGTGCTGAAGTGGGTCGCGGTAAACTTTCATTCGTGGTCTCGACAAATTGGGTTTTCGGCACGAAATCAATTAAACGTGGAAGTATTTCGGGCGCGGCCGTTTCCTCTATTTTTTCGCCATTTTTATTATTCATTTCGGCTTCAGACCTTTGTAGCCATGTTTCAATACACGTTTTCTTTGTAGGTGTTAGCAACTGATCAACGGACGGTGCAGGTGGTTCTGGAATGAGAAGTGGTCTGCGTTTTTTTTCACTGGCTGAACGCTCGACTTTAGTATTTCTTGGCATAGGCTTAGGTTTATCCTGGATTATCCGTTTGTCTTCTTTACTTTCTTCCTTGGTTTTCGGTTTTATTTCCACATTTTCTTTCACCGTATTATTGTTGTTTTTGTCACTTTGTAATAATTTGCTGCCATTTACATTGTTATTGAGCTGTTCGTCTGAGGTAAGTAACCCGGCTCCACAATTTCTACCTTTTAACGCGTTTGTCGTTGATGATTTTTCTAAGTCTTTACAAGCTTCATTTATATCCATCTTATGTTCTTTTATTGTTTTGTTGGTCAAGTCTTTTAAGATGTTATTGTCGATATTCTCAATGCTATTTAAAACTTTTTGTATGTCTATTGTTTTAGGTTGCATAACAGGTGTTGAAGGAATGCTATTTTCTACAGAGTTTGCCATCGAACCTAATCTATCAATAACTGTTGATATTGAACTGCCAGTATCATCAGATTCAGCGTCAGCTAAGGCGAGACATCGCTCCCATTCATTTGACAGCAGATCAATATAGACTTCTGCTTCTGGTGGGATCGCCTTGCCATCCGATAGCCGTCGAACCAAGCGACGGACTTCTTCCGGAGAACCTTTCTTCAAGCAAGCAATACTTTCTTTATTTTGTCTAAATAAATGACTATCGAAAGAGGACTTGCGGGATAGTTTGGAAACAGCTGGACTATTCAAGTTTTGAGTGTTTGATGAACTATCGCTTTTAGTCTGCTTGTCTATATCATTGAGTGTGTTCTGCTCACCGACCGTTTGAAGAGTGCTTTTATCCTTAAAAGAGTTTTTCTTTCCTAATTTTCGCGGAGGTACTGGAGGTGGTAGAGTAGTTGGCCTTGCAATTTCGTTCACAAGTGCCGTCGTTATTGGCGCTTCCTTTTCATTTATAATATTTAAATCCATCTTATTGTCTGGCTCAAAATGGCGCACTAATAAAGTTAATTTCTCATCGGAGTCCTTTAATCGACGGACGCAGTCGATTCTTGTTAGCTCTAAAACCGAGACGCCGTCTATAGCTAGGATTTCATCGCCAGGTATAAGTTTACCCCAAGGGGCCGCAGCATTTGCAGCTGGGCTATCATCTGCGCATGACTGGACAAGTAGCCGTCTAACTTTTTCGGCAGCAGCAGAACCGCCCTCGAATTTAAGGCCTAGTCCGAGTCGGGCCCCGCGAGGCCTTTTGACGATGACTTCGGAAGCGCCGCTTGCTGCACTAACCGTGAGCACAGTTACGAAGCTGGGGTCCAAAACTGGAGGCTTATTTTCGCCTACCGGTACTATTGTTATGAACTCCTCTTCACCTCCGTTTGTCTCCATTCCGCGTCCGACAAACACCAGCCTCTCCTAGACCCGGTTTTCAAAATCTGCAAAATAACAAAGTATTTTAAATTGAGAAACATGACGCCAGAACAAAAAAGGACATATATATATATATATTTTAATAATATCCTTTTTACTAATTGTACTCTGTAAACAAACACGATACTAAGAAGCGTTTAATTATAGCTTGGCTTGTTGGGACAAAAACTTTTGTCCGTTACATCGTTTTATTGCATAAATATCTAACTAACGGACGAACGCACACACGTTTATAATTAGAGCGAGTTTTTTCCTTGAATACAATTTATTTATCGTGAGTTTTTACAAACCGTCAATTTAATATTAAACAAAGTTTTGTCTGTAGTTTACGCAAGTATCGTAAAAAATAGGTTATTGATTCGTGTTTTAAATCGTTAAACAGTGTTTTGCTTTAATGATGCAAAGTTATCAATAAAAGGTATACCGGTCCTAGAACGAGAACTGCATATTATGTACATTTAGATAGGAATGTAGATTAGTGTAAACATATTATTATGGAGATTCGCTGCCCACTCGCGAAAGAAAACTTTCGTCGACACGAAAGTATTACAAGCGCGTTCGAGAACAAACGGCCGCAGCATGAGGAAGATGTGGGTCAGTAGTATCGAATCCAATAGCGATGCGGTTTGCCAGGTCTGCGGAGATCGACATGAAAACGTTCCAACGCCGACCGCCAAGGGCTGCCTATTATCGTTGTTTACTGCTCTTTTCCGAGTAAATATTGTAAGGTAAATCTTTCTTTATTCACGAATTGCACATCACATACAAAACACCTTTAAGTTTAAAACGCGAAATATTACTTATTTAATTTAAGCAGCGTAACGTTTAAATAAAACATGTTTTACATATCGTTTTAATAAAGCTTCAATTTTTTGTAGTTTAAAATAATTGCGTTTAAAACCTTATTTTTTATTTAAAGTACTACATTACTTCCCGATTAAACTACAGTACTAACAACGTAACATTTCGGATGATTTGAAGCAGCTATAGTCTCGGGAGACTGAATATAGAGGGAGTTAGTGCAATTTCAACCACCCGCACTAGAGCAGTGTGGTGGGTCTATGCTCTTAAAACTAGAGGAGACCTGAACCAAGCAGTGGGACATGTAACAACAATTACATTTATCAATATAACTTCTTTAAAGCTTTGTAATTATTAATTACTTGGTCAATCAAGAACAATTCGGCTCGAGTTTAAAGTATTGGATGGACGCAACGACAAGCCTCATCCGAAATCGATTTCACTGAAACTAAAATAGCCATTACCCAGTTATGCAAACCGTTCGGCAATCATTGAAAACCAATTCACGCAGAGTGTAAAACTTCGCCAACGAGCGACCTTCGCCACGTATTCTCCAAAATGAGAACGGTGAGTCGGCCCATATCTTACTGAGTAGAAAAAGAAACGTCTCGAAGGCACTGTGTTATTGCCAGATATCTTTTCAAATTGGTCACACTGCCGCCTCCGCGGTTCTATATGGTAGATAGTGGTGCTAAAGTTCTTGGGTTCAACCCGGGGTTACGATAAATTGATTACAGACTGAAGATAAAATAAGTTAACTAATATATTTCGCGTTTTATGCCGTTAAAAGTGTTTTATTTAAATAGAGATGAGTCTAATAAACCTGCCCGGTAATACTGTCTGTACTTTAAGCGTGTAGTACACATTTAAATAAAATAACTGAACGGATTGAAATGCGATACTAGCTTTTGTGAATAATTTTAATATATTTCTCGTTTTAAACCGTGTTTTACTTAAATACTGGCCGGTATGTAAAATTTACAAAATTTGTTGTCTTTCACATGACGGCATTATATGAAATTTAAATGGAAAGGGTTTATTTTATGATAGCTTATACACATAACATTTATTGATAAAAAGGACATAGTAATATGTCCAACTGTTCACTTTTCAGTATTAAATGTACCTACTGCATTCATTTTTACCGAGCTTTTTATATATTAAGCAGAATAACAATTATTTTAGCCTAAAAAAAACATATAAACAATTCTCGAAGTATTGTCTGTAGTTGACGCCAGTAGTACACATTTAAATAAAACCCCTTTAATGGTTTAAAACGCAAAAAATATTAGTCAACCTATTTACAATTTATTTAACTACACCCCAACGTTTCCGATGATTTGCTGCAGCCGTGGTCACGGGGTACCTCCGTGACCACATCTCCTGCGTTTTAAACCGTTAAAAGTGATTTATTAAACCATTTGTTATAGACAGACATTTAATAATGTCATATGATAAAATTAAAGCAGAAATTATAAAGATAATATACTAATAACGATTATAACTGCTTTATAGACGCCATCGCTAAACACCGTTACGTGTGTGTCGTTAGGTCCAAACTCATAATATTCGTCTTCGCAGATAACATTAACATTCATGAATATGTATGTTGTTTGTGTGTTGCTCGAATCTCATTGTTCATCTGAGAAATACTATAGTTTCACAGTTCGTGAACAACTGGGCTACGTTGGTTCAATTCTTAACTCGAAGGTTAACTTTTACGTACATTATGTGTGAGGACTTGTGTTGTTTTTGTGCCGATGATGATACTTGTAGATTGTGGTAATTCTAGTAGCGGAGTTTGGAAGACCACGTTAAGCCTTCAGTCGTGGTTATCGCCACGAGATAATAATAATGTAGTGGTAAAACAGTCCACCAACATCCACTGGAACAGGGTTTTGTGGTGGGCTCTTAAATCCCTCGTCCATACGATGCGAAGACTAAGCCCAGGCGTGGGATATTAAGGATTTAAAATTACAATTAGAGGAATTAGAAAAATTACAAATGTATAAACTTTTTACATTAATTAAACCGTGAAAATAACACGAAATTCAGACAATGCAACTTTTGCTTTATTTATTTTATTGGCGCGTATCAAATTCAAATTTTGTAAGAATTTATCCTATTGACGCATCAGGGTTATATGTCTACGTTTGTTTTTATTGTACTTTATATGAAATGTTTTGTATAATAAAGCGGGAGACATTACATTTTCAAAAAAAGTTGAATTGGTCCAAAACCAATCTTCAGGAAAACATTACAAAAATGTTTCGTATATATTGTTTGGCACAACTAAATCGTGCAAAATTTACCGCAATTGGCACTTCCTAGTTACTCCGTAGTCTGATAATAAATAGTTTTGTAAACTAAACGTCTACTATTCAGAACGATGTTCTTCATGTCAGTGCAAGGTTAATTATTATCTCCTTTCACATCTTCAAAACTCAGATCCGACTATTTAGATGCGATCCGCGAAATTACAACATCCGTTATTATGTAAAATATTATAAATGTTTTCTAAGCATTTTGCAATATTATATTTGCTTTCCAACCTGACTTCAACGGCACGCGACATTTACATAGTTGTTCGGCGACTATGCCGCAGCGGTATGGCCACGCCAATCCAATTATAACGCTTCTATTCATAAATATCTAACTCTGTGCATAATCAAAAATACATGTATAGTGGAAAGGAAATTATTTACACTCAGACTTAACGTTTCTGGAATCCGGTTTCTCAGGCCTGCTGTAGGTAGGTCTGTTTTACTGAAGGATTTTATTTACAAGCAATTGATAGTTCTAAGGCCAGTAAGATGGGATTTTTTTATAACTCAAACTTATATATATACGATTGATCTATGTTTTAAATTGTTGAAGTTGGTTATAAATATTAGAAAGCAAATATTAAGAAATTATAATAATCATGTTTAAAGTATTCCTTGCACGAGTTTCTTGAGTAATCCAATAATGTAAGGCGTTCGTGGCTATTTTGCAAAGTTATTTGAGTTTTCGGCCCATTTGTAATCGACGATCGAATAGCTGAAAACCCGAACTAATAAGAAATCAAGGCTTAATAACTAATATGAAATTAAGCAACATAAAGTCATCAACTAAATTATAATTAAATAAATAAGATTGTCATTATCAGTACATACTTAAATGTCAACTTATATTTATTGAGTTATTATTTTATTAAATACGCTAGTTTACGCGAGTAGTACACATTTAAATAAAACACTTTAACGGTTTAAAACGCGATATATTAGTTAAACTTATTTGAAAATATTTTTAACTTGGCCCACTTTGATTTTGAGCAGCGTGGTCACGGGGAACAGGGGGGATATTATTTTATTCTTTACTTTGTCTAGCCCGAGTAACAATGAATTATGTAATATTAAAATATGTATGAGAAAGTCAGAAAACCTGTACATAATGATAACTGTTACATCTATTATATATTTGACACACTCGGTGTGAATTGTTGATAACAGAGAAATTTTGCTTCAACGAGTCAGTCATTTAATACATTGTACTAAGTAAAAACGCAATATTATTCGGTTTAAATAGTTCACAGATAATTAATTAGGCAAACTTAAGGACACAAGTAATTGTGTCCTTAAGTTTGTTTCTTGCTGTAATTTAAAGAAACTTTTGCACGTAGGAAAGTTGAAATTCCGTCCAAGACACGAACCACCATCGAAAGATAAAAAAGCCGTGAAGTGAATTTGCGTTTCGATTTCAGTCTGTGGATTTACAATCATCAAAAGGCAAAATAGGTCGACCGCGCATCTAGTTCAGATGTTAAATGGCTGGAGTATTAAACTTTAATTAAAATAAACCCCATACTTGTCTGTTCTCCTATATAATAGAAATAATTTTAAGTTAGATGGATTAATTAAGTGTTACTTTGTTCCCACAATAATAATAATAATCTCGGAAACCTATTAGGTTTTTATTGCTTTAATTAAGCTTTAACAGTACAGTAATATCTCTCTCTTACTATTTATAAAATCAATGTCTTCAGTCACCGTAGTTTAGTGGTTAAGCGAATCTCTCATTGCATTGGGGTGGAACCCAGGAGAAATTAATTAAGTAGATAGATCTATTGCGCGAGAGGTGCATGTATCAATAGGTTGATAAAATTCGACGATGACGTATAGGACTCAAGTCCTCCCAAGTCGTAATTTTTGTAATTTATAATCGATTTTAAATTTTACATTAAATTTTTGTAAATTAATTCGATCGGTGATCAAAGATATGTTTGCTTGCGACAAGTTAATAGACATGTTTTATTACTAATAAATCATTTTACCGCGCAATTCATATATCCAATACACAGTTATTTACTTCCTCGTGTTAGTATGTCATCTACAATAATAATATTACCTAGATGTCACGTGGATTTCTTATTTATGCCCCTGCTTCCATGATTAGGAAGTCCTAGATTCAAATCTTGGCTTAATGTAAGACAATTTTTAGAAGACGAGATATTATGAATATTTTGTTTTTATTAGATATTCTATACACAATATTTTTAATGTGACATTTTTCTTTAAAAAACGGTTTAATATTTTAAGTGCTAAATTCGATGTTGTATATAAGTATATTATGTAGTTTATTCAAATGGTACTTACAAGACTTTTAAAAGCTCATACATAAAAATAATCGCCATTATTACTGTATTGTCTGTAGTTTACGCGAGAGACATTTAGATAAAACACCTTTAACGGCTTAAAATAAATTTATCACAACGTGTCCAAAGCTACTGCTGAGCAACTGAAATATCCAGTCGTTTAAATAAACTATTAATAAGGAAATAATATATTTCGGGTTTTAAACCGTTAAAAAGCGGTTCATTTCACAATTGCCCTTATGGCCATCTCGTGGTTTGGTGTATTAAGAAGCAAAACAATGAATGGTCAGTCTTCTAACGAGTGGGAGGTCTCGCATGACATCAGACATTCGGTGCGGTCACGTCGCAAAGAGGTGAACATCCTCCGGGCGAGATCTATTTCCAAATTCAATAGCAAACCCGTTTACATTGATCATCGCAGACTTATTTGTAATAGATACAGACAATTTACAGTTATACCTTAAGACATCACTGCAAATACGTCTGCCTCTGCCAATGAATCAAACGTTTGTTATATTTATTGTTTGAAACGTCGGGTCGTAGTTTAAAATAAGTATACAAGTATATATAACTTGTATAGTTCGCATTTATTGGGCTCCACGTGACTACAGCTACTGCATAGCATGTGAAACGTCGGATCGTAATTTACAAGAAGTCGTTATATATTTCCTGTTTGAAACAGTAAAAAGTGATTCATTTAAGAGATATATATTAATATTCCCTTTTTTTAAGTCTTAAATCAAAATTTTTACTTATTTTACTTATACTAACAAATTGATTGTAATAAAAAATTATTTTACAATAATTTTTTTTACAAATAACTTACAAGTATTCAATAAATAACTCTAAGTAAGTCCGCAATGTCAAGATACTTATATCCTATTTAACTTTCTTCTAGAGGAAAATTCTCAACAACCATAATAATTGGAATAATTAGTTTTCTATTTCAAAAAGTATTGTACACTAACGCGGTGTTAAATAATATAATTACTATGTTTTTGGCGATCTAAGTATAGATTGTTTATGATGATTTCATCTTTTAACTGATGTCAGCTGTCTTTATTTTAACGGCTCAAAAACATCCATACAGATAGCTTTTCTTTAAAAGTTTACCCAAAACTATACATTACTTAATATTTTTATTAATAAGTTTAGATAATTAAAAGTTTGATTAACACTGTTAGCGGTTTAAGCTACGGCCCGATGCATGCCGTAGCCATCCTGGGGATTGAAGATGTATTTTATTTAAATCTCTATAACTCGCGACAACTACACACAATACTTGAATGTTTGTTCAAAAATAGAACACGAACTACAATAGGGCGGGCGGAGAAAATTGTAAGTCGTCAAACGAGCGAGCCAGTCGCTTCAAGGGTAGTTCGTAGACCGCAAAACCGGGATCAGGAACGTAGACACTACCGTAGCGTTGCGCCCGCGCCCGTTCGTGCTCATTCCAGCCCCACCCTGCGTCCCACGCGGACCATTAAATAGTAAAATAAACATTTCGTTGTCTTCTACTCACCGAAACTGAATCCGTGCAACCAAAATCACGCCCTCATTCACGTATTCACTTAAACATTTTCGTATCCGAGATCACGGGGATTTAAGCGTAATATGAATGCAGTTCGTTCCGCGGTCGCACACCGAGCGAGCTAGTCGCGACTTCGGCGGCGCAGGGCTGGGTGCGCGCGCGCAACCGAGCGGTGGGGCCGACCGGTCGCAACCGGGCCGCGCTCTCACCGTCCGCCCTGCTACCTCGCCGCACTTGACACGGTCCCCCGTTCGCGAAGAAAGTTTCGCATTTCTATGTCACTCGTTCGCAGAACAAGGAAACGAGAACGTCGATCGGCGCCCGAAATATCTTGGAATGTCATTCGTTCTCGAATCGACGGACTCCTGTACAAACAGATTCGTTTCGACTGACGATTGTTGGCCGCGAGAAGCCAGTTCACATTCTAATTAGATTAGATTATTCCATAATAATTCTTACATACTTGGCTTCGCCCGGCGGTGTCTAAGTCTCTGGACGTAAGACGCGTCTTAATGGTATTAACTTTGAGGTAATTAAGGGGATGAAGGAAGGTGGCCAGGTCTAGGGTACACACAAATTACTTCTATTCCATGTTTCTCGAATGTCAGATATGTTGTAAGTTAATTATAGCACAAAATATAAGAATGAAACATTATTCTAATCAGTCAAACAATTTGGGTCAATGTTTTTGGTGCGAAGTCATCAATATGTAATTAGCGACTTACTCTCTTATTTTAGTCTATTCCAGTTTCATTGTACAAATAAATTACAGTTAGTAATGTTTTTTATCCGTTCTTACTGATCTTAAAATCCCCCGTGTCAACACGTGCTACAAAGCAACCGAAACGTCGCATTTTAAACCTTTAATTGTGTTTTATTCTGATCCTTATGACAATCTGAGAAGTCCAATAGCTAAAAACAGCAAACATCATTATGTGATTTAAATAAAACACTTTAGCGGTTTAAAACGCGATATATATTAGTTGTACTTATTTGAAAATTATTTTAACTACGGCCTGACTTGATTCGGCCCTAGGCCGATGTGATTTCAGTACTTTAGTGCGAAATCGTTTTAAATTGTAACGTATAGCTTTGTTTCAAAATGCCGACTTAAGATTATAAACTCTTACAGTAGCAATGTACTTCAAATCAACGTTTCATAAGTTTGATTCTCACTGGGTCTAGAGCGACTGTAAATCATTTTCCGATTTACCTAACTACCTAAAACTGGCACTGTAAATGGATAATGTAATAGAAATGTCAATCTTCAATACATTACTGTTAAGGTTGAAATTACATTGCGCGAGAGGTGCATGTATCAATGGGTTGAAGCAATTCCACAATGACGTGTAAGACAAGGCTAAGTTGGTTATAGCAACAGCAGGGAACGCTGTGAATGCCGGTTCTAGTCCCTCCCAGACTAGAACCGGCGTCATCACTTTTTTCAAGGTATATAGATTTAAGTCAATCTTTCACCCAAGTTATGAACCACTGTTGCTCAAATCTTTATAAACAAAGGTCGACAGGCACATTTTCATGAAATGTGACATTTATTTTTGTTCATCCTCTTCTATCGTAAAGATTAGTTTTGCTTTTAATACAAATAATAAAATTTTAAACAGAAACACTTTATAATAGAAACAGTTGAGGAAAAATATTGGAATCTATGAATTCCATCAAGAGTCGGTATGGTTATTTCTGTAATACGATGGAATGCTTTAATGTTCAATAACAATTCAGCGTGTAATACGCAATTTATAGCCGGTCAGTCGATTGTCACGCAATTCAATACTCTTTTGTATTCACATATTTTGTTGTCCGTATTCAGAAGTTGTGTTATCTCTTTATTTAAACTAAAAACAACACTTAACAGACACTCCAAGATAATTATTTTATAGTGAGAGAACAGTTTATATTTTATCCTTAAGGTTAACGCAACAATGTCTATATGTTAAGATTAACTTGCATAAACGACGGGATGCGGCTGCTGCAAAGTGTCCGAAACGTCGGGCCGTAGTTCAAAATAATTTTAAAGCAAGTTTAATTAAAATATATCGCGTTTTAAACCGTTAAAGTGTTTTATTTAAATATATTAAAACTCTTTTTACTAACAGAAAGACTGGTTCATACGCCATGCGTACCTATGTTTGTACAGTATATTGCATTTATTGTGTATGTAATTCGGTTTATTATACAAAATTAACACGTATTACGGCTTTAATTAAACAGGGCCTATATGCCAAGCTTGGTTTAATCCGCGGATTTTAATAATACCCTCGTTGTTATTTACGCGATTAACATGTACATACAGACAGACAGATGTTTTTATTATCATTATGTTCAGTCACTCTTTCTATACGTCGAATTTTAGGGTTCCGTTCTAATAGGACATACAGACGGACAGTCAAGTGTTAGTAATACAAGTCTGTTGACTAACACTTGGTTGTCTGTCTGTAAACTTAAAGCTTGGAATTCTTGCAATTAATTTTATATTACGGTTGCCGCTATGTCTAAAAATACAACAAATGTGATCTACCTTTTAAAAGCCAAATAAAGTAAATAACCGTAAATAATGATTTACTAAAAATAACTTTTATTAAGTTTAGACAATTTAAATATAACACTTTAAGGGTTGAAAACGCGATATATATGAGTTAAACCGACGTGACCACGGCTGCTGCAAAGCATCCGAAACCGGGGCGTAGTTTAATAATTTTCAAATATATTTTAACTAATAGATATCGCGTTTTAAACCGTTAAAAAGCTTTCTTTAAATGTGTACTACTCGCGTAAACTTCAGACAATATTTAGGTAAGAAAATGTTTAAATTGTGTACGTCCTTATTTATACAGTGTCATCAGTACGGAATCCTTTGTGCTCGAGTCCGGCTCGCTTAAAGATAAGGTACATAAACTGCGTAGTAAACGAAAGCAAACCAAACATGTAGAATTGTAGAGCGAATGAATAACGATAAATAAACTGTACCTATAATCTTCTCACGCGCCGATTACATTTCGCTGAACGGGCGATTAAATACTTTCGATTGTACATTCTATATTAAAAGTGTACCATGTGTCTATCTGGTGTGTACTTATAATTGTCATGGGTTGGGCGAAGTTTAATTTCGGTATTAACCAAAAAAAATGATATTTTTATGATAGAGAGGTACCACAAGCAAGGGGTTTACTCAATGTATGCTGAAGTATATTTGGATATTCGGAAATCCACAGACTGAAATCGAAACGCGGAACATAGTTCTTTTTAATCCGCGGACGGTGGGTGACCAAGATGGTATTTTCCATATTCCAACCAAGCACTTAACGTCAAAATTTCCAGAATCTAATATGTTTCGGAAAAATGTTGCTTTAAATATACTCTTTAATATATTATTCTTAAAAATAGTACAGTGAGCAATATTTAGCTAAAATTGGTCTGTACTAAAATACTTTTAATTACACCTGTTTGACCTGCCCACGACTCAATTCCGAGGGGCTTTTTATTCATTGTCTTTGCCGACGCTTTGTGGAGACCTCCAACGCATCCCATAGGCCTCAATACCAAACTAGCCCGTGACTTTTCGCCTTTTAACCTTTAGTACAGGCATTTTGTATATATACAACCTTCTTTACGTTTCTCAATTTAAAGCAAATGAATCGTCTTTGTTTTCAGGTTTTCAGCTTACATAACTAAAGTTTATGAATATTTACAGCCTCTATTGGGCACAGGCTTAACACAGACGGGACTTGAACCCATGGCCAAAAGTAAACAAGTAACGACTATAATAATTACACTGTCGTGTTTGATCCCTGATCTTTTGTAAATCCTTCAAGCATGGTGTTAAACGTGGGTTCGAATCCCGCCTGACAACGCGTTGCTCACTTCATACAAAGAACACAGCCTCGATGTTGAACTTTCTAATCAGGCGTAGTCCAGTAATCTTGTCCAGAAGAAATAGTCAAAAAGTCAGTTGTTTTTATGATAGAAGGGGGCAGACAAGGAGGGGGTTCAAATAGCTGATCAGTTTCCGGGATTCTAGGCAACAATACTAATCATTTGCCCAAGTAAAAAAGGTTAAACTGTGGTTACAAGATTTTTTTGGGTAATTTAACATTTGCAAGCCTATTTATTATAGCATAATTAATAATGGGAATAAACGGTATTATTCTAATTTTGTCATCGAAGTTTTAAATAATGTTTATCTTTTATATTTTATAAACGGTTAAATAAATATAGAATATGATTTAGGCCTTCATAGCTCTGCATTATGCACGTTGATTGAACGGCCTAAGTTATGCAATTACTTGGGCAAGTTAAGTGAGACAATCCAATAAGGCTTCTTCATTCTGTTAATTAAGAACACGTTTACAATCTAATATAGAAAGATAGTTGCCAGTTAAATATTATGTGATTTTTTGTTTATACCTATACAAGTATAAAAAAGTACTATTCGATGTAGTCTGATATTATAATGTCAAGTACTTAGTACCGATAGTTTGTCAATCACAATATGTTTTATTCAAGTCAATGAAAAATTTAATAGAGTCAATGATTCACAGTGATATTAGGATGCAGTATAGAGGGGTGCGGGGGGTTTTGCTGGATAGGGGTGAGAGGGGTGAAGGGTGCAGTGCGGGCGGGAAACGGCTGGGACGGTGGCCCTCATTGATCGGGACTCGGGAGACGCGCAGCATCCCCGCATCCCGCATCCTCCGCTCAATGCGCGCCCTGCACGAAATCCTACTCTGTACGTCGAAAGTGTCGCATTAGAGCGCACGCCTCCACTTTGGTCGGCGTTAATGATATGCAAAACACATTTCCCGTACTTGTTCTCCACTTAAGCCTTTTGCATATATTCGAAACGATTTTCGCGAGTCATTATTACTAGGTCCCACTTTTATAAATAAAAAATATAAGTACCGCATAACATAAATTGATTTCATAAAAGTTAACATTTCTTTTCGTTGTTTTGTAAGGTGCATCTAACGATGCCGCTTAGAAAACAACGTCTGGAAAACTAGTATAGTTAAGGATTTGGAAGAGCGGTTGCGTCGCCGTCCGTTACGTTTCCGCAAAGCGAGGGCGGGCGCGGGTGTGGGCGCGGGCGAGGGCGCGGGCGCGGGCGCGGGCGGGCGGGGACGCGAGGCGCGCGGGTCGTGAATGGGCGGCCGCGCGCCGCGTCTGCGCCCCGAGGCCCCGGTCCGCCAGCGCCGCGCCGCCAGTCCGCACACCGGCGGCTCCGCTGCCCCACGGTCGGCCGCACTCCTCTAAACAACAATGCTCAAACCACAACATAACTGAACAGACCCAGAGGCGGCGTGGCCGGCGATGCTCCAGAATCGGGCGGCACGCGAGGCCGTCGGCGAGCGGTCCTAAATAAAGTTTGATATATGAAAACCTTACAAGTTAGTTTAAGCTGATCGTGTTCGGTACAAGCGGCGGGCGTGCGGGGCGCGAGAGGGCGGCGCAGAGGGGTCGCCGGCGGGGGATGGAGCGCCGAGGCGGCGCGGCGGCGCGAGGCGCGGGCTCGCGGCGCTGACATGGCCGGCCGGCCGCGCCGCTCGCTGCTGGCGGCGCCCGCGGGCCTGCTGCTGCTGCTGGCCCTGCTCGGCCCGATGGGTGAGTTCTTTGCTTTCACCATTTATTCGTCAGCCAGCCGATTGAATTACATTTGCCAGTTCAGTCTTTGAGACTGGTTTATTTCATATAATTTGTTAATTGGAAGTCAAAATATAGATGTCATAAATCCGTAATCCACTGCAAAATTGTATTGTTTAATTGTTGCTTAAGTTACGTAAATTAAAAATTTACAAAACCACCCTTTCAGGCTTTAACATGTTTATTAGTATTTGTCACTATGTTTATAGTATTTTAAGTTTTTTATAATTATTTCATTTAACTCTACTACTAACTATAGTGTTATTAGATATTGGCAAAACATTGATCAAAGCAATTACATTAGGTAATAATGTTAATTAGAGCTATTAAATATTCACAAAGCAATTTTGAATTTACGCGATTATAGCTGTATTTGAACGCAATTTCCTTAATGGACAGCACTTAACGATTACAGGTGATAAACGATTTCCCAGATTTAATTTTACAACTACTTGGCAACATTTATATTTAGATTACAAATATACCATAGAAATGTTGTCTAATTTATATTTTTATCTATGATTTTTTTGTTATATTCTATATTATCGTTTACACTTATTCATTACCGACACTGTTAAAAAATAGCTGACTTGTTTTATTTTTTAAACGTACCGTTATTACTTCGGACTTTAGCCAAGCACTTGTCTTGTAACGCCCAACAAATTGATGCTAATTTGTAGTACTCTCATGGACACTTTAAAAATAATTTAATCGCAGAGGTGTCGAGGGTTTCAGTTCATTTTTAATGAATAAATAATATGGAACTAGCTATTTTTAGCTAGCTATAATACTATTATAATAGTCACACTTCTGTCATTGATTTTGCAATACTAGAAGTAAAAATACATATAATAACGATTTATCTAATAGAAAAATTCCCAAAACACACCACGATTTGTATTCCATTGATTTAATGTATGTTTTCCGTTTAGAACGAGGGACATTGTAAAATAGCGTTAAATTATACATTTGTTTTTGATTCTCTACATTATTTTATCGTAAGACGCAGCTATCTTGGTCAAAAATTGAACCGAGCCTCATAAAAAAATGATAGTTTCCTTTTTAATTAATAAATTGTTTTATGAAAACTTTAATATTTTCACTCAATTGCTTAGAGCAACAGCACAAAACGTTGTGGATGCCGATTAAAGTGCTGTCGGTGTCGTTAATATATTTTTTTATGTCGATTTTAATTTTTTTAAATGAATTTGAGACACTAGAGTAAAGGAGAGGTATCTCAGAGGTATAGTTGTAAATAGATAGAAACATTGTGGCAGGGGTTCTCGGTGGGTACCATGAGAAACGGCTGCTGCACCATCTGTTGGACCACTACAACGTGCTGGAGCGGCCGGTGGTCAACGAGAGCGATCCGCTCCAACTATCCTTCGGCCTCACACTCATGCAGATCATTGACGTGGTAAGTAGCGAGTTATTTAAATTAAACTTATTTAAAAATTATTGTAACTACGGCCCGACGTTGCATTTATTCAAAATATTTTGCTTACCTACGTATCAATGTCTTCGTTTTCTCTAAAATAAATCAATTTAATGTTCTGATTATATTAACATTCTCAAATTTTGAGAGACATAGACCGAACACACATCTATTCACGTTTCACTAATCGTATTTATTTAGAAACGTGTAGTTGAATCGACTTTGTGCACAGTCCGACGAAAACAACTAATTGTATTCCTAGGATTCGAACTAAGGACCCCTCGCGTTTAAGCAATACGTTGACCGCTGAGCTGATCGAATATACGTCGTATACATAAACAGATTTCCATGAATACACCGGTTTCACGGGTCCTGAACCTCTGTGTAATGGGGTGACCTAGTTTACAAAATACCTAACTCGCTATTAAGACGTTCGTCATATTTTAACAACCGTTAAGAAGCGTCGTTAATGCAAAGCCTCTTGAACACGTTAAACGCTTTTTCACCGTAAAAGGGAACGTAGTTTTATTGCAATTATTAGTAACAAACCTTGTGAGCGGTGGGCCGTAACGGGGCAGTTGCAACTGTTAAAGGAATATAAATTATACTTATCGACATTTTTCAATAACTACTGTGTTAAATGTTGAGGTGGGAATATTATTTGTAAAGGAGCTAGGAGCTAAAAGTAGCTAGATATATCACAGTGGGTAATAGGAGCTCAATTTGAGCAACAGCATGGCACGCTATGGTCACGAGTTTGAGACCTGCTCGAGTTTTAAATGTGTGTAAAATGATAACGATTAAACTACTGTTTTGTTCACAGGATGAAAAGAACCAACTTTTAATCACCAACATTTGGTTGAAATTAGTAAGTATCATTTTGCACAACGAATTCGTATTTCGATGAGTATGATTGATATACTAGTAAAAGAATTAAACGCATTTTTATGACAAAGAACAGGCAAACGTTTCGTTCAATACAATGAGAAATGCCCCAGACATATAAATTTTAATTGAGGGATGCATTATGCTTTGGAATTTTGATAATCCATACACCGATTCTAAAAAGCTGAAACAGTTTTGTGAACTTTCCACGTCTATCCGAGGTCGGCGGCCTTTTTACTCTTTTCCAGACAAGGAAGTTGTTTAGGAAATAAAAATTGCAAATATGTTGGACGCAATGGAAATCGAAATCACGACCTCTTAATTAGAAATATAAGCCTTTGGCTAAACGGACCAATAAAGGTGTGTAGCAAAGAAAGTCATATACACTAGGCAAATAGTAAAAGTGAATATTGTTTTGTCGCAGGAATGGAATGACATGAACTTAAGATGGAATACTTCTGATTTCGGCGGCGTCAAAGATTTACGTGTTCCGCCACACAGGTTATGGAAACCGGACGTCCTTATGTACAATAGGTAACGAATACTCGAAGAAATACTTCTCAGACAGCTATAGTCTATTGTTAAGATTTTTTTTGTTTTACATCCAAACTGATACAATACTTATTGCTTTAGCACATTTTGGTTAAGTTAAATCTTATCATGTTGTCAACTTGCTTGAAGAATTTTTAAAATTTAAGTTTTCTTTGGTGATAATGGAATTTAAACAAAGTATATAAATTAACGTTAATCAATATTATACATTTTAAAAGTAATTTATAGATCCAGCCATGTATTAAGGCAAAGTGTTTATTTTAGCCATTTGACTCAGGTTGAAATTTAGCGCTAAAGCATTTATAATTACATATAATCATACAGAAAATATCTAGCATTAATTATTTTCATTCACGGTGCGTGAGTTCTAATATTAAACTTTCATACTTCTTGATCGTACAAGTCTTACTCTTTCATTTATCAATACAAAATGTACTATTTCAAACATGGCATAAAAATGTGCGTTTGAGCAATAACGAAAGCCGTACCGTTCTACAACAGTGCTGACGAAGGTTTCGACAGCACATATCCCACTAACGTGGTCGTGCGCAACAATGGTTCATGCCTCTACGTGCCTCCTGGTATTTTCAAGAGTACGTGTAAGATCGACATCACTTGGTTCCCCTTTGATGATCAGCGCTGCGAGATGAAATTCGGTAGCTGGACGTACGATGGTTATCAAGTACGTACGTAATGCGTCGTTACGTGTACGGTCAGAATATCAAACTAAAACCCGAATTTATTTTTAGCTGGATCTTCAATTACAAGACGAAGCGGGGGGAGATATTAGCAGTTTTGTGACGAACGGAGAATGGGAACTTATAGGTAATAAAAACCATTATAATACCTCAGGTTCTTGCAAATTAAAAAGGGTTAGAGCAGTGTGGTGGGCTCTTAAGTCCACCACACTGTCCCAGTGCGGTTTGGCGAGATCCAACAACAATCGCCATTTAGTTGCGATTGTCTTTAGTAGTAAGACCTACTGGGAAAAGACACTTATCTCAAAACCACTGGAGCCAGAGTTTTTACTTAGAAAAACCCACGAAATCCACTAGACCATCGTGATAGTTCTTTTTCATATATAAACACTTAACGATTTTTATCCAGGTGTACCAGGTAAAAGGAATGAGATCTATTACAACTGTTGCCCGGAACCTTACATCGACATCACCTTCGCTGTGGTGATACGGCGGAAAACTCTGTACTACTTTTTCAATTTGATTGTGCCGTGCGTTTTAATCGCATCTATGGCTTTACTGGGTTTCACTCTACCACCGGATTCCGGAGAAAAGTTATCATTAGGTAATTATACTCGGACTTTAGTACTTTATGCTACTCGGGAGTTCAAGATGTTTCTCGTCGTTATTGAGAAAGGGTCGTTTTACATGAACGCAAATCTAAAGCAGCTTTATAAAATATACGCCTAAGCCTTTATACAATTAATTTGATTACTCCATTACTTTGGTATTCGGTACTGATGTCAATATTTACTTTTGAGAAATCCTTATTAATCAGAACAATACTCATACCTAAATATATGAAAACGTTATCTTAATAGTTATTTTTAACATAAGGACGAACTATAAGAATAATGCAAGAACATATTTGTGTGTGTTTGTATCTACATATATCTTAATTTTCACAGGCGTTACAATCCTACTGTCTCTCACCGTGTTTCTTAACATGGTAGCAGAGACAATGCCAGCTACTTCGGACGCAGTCCCACTACTGGGCACATATTTCAACTGTATCATGTTCATGGTGGCTTCATCTGTGGTTTCCACTATACTGATTTTGAATTACCATCACCGTCACGCCGACACACACGAAATGAGCGATTGGGTTAGTCGAATCGCTGTTATGAGGTTTACCTTTGACTGATATAGGCTAGATAGTAACCGTACTTTTCTGAGCAGATTCGCTGTGTGTTTCTGTACTGGCTGCCATGGATCTTGCGCATGTCGCGCCCCGGATCCGCCACGACTCCTCCTCCGGCGAGGGCGCCTCCCCCGCCGGACCTCGAGCTGCGCGAGCGTTCCTCTAAATCGCTCTTAGCCAACGTGCTCGACATCGATGACGACTTCCGGCATGCCCATGCGCAGCAGCCACCCTGCTGCCGATACTACAGGTCCCTCGACGATCTACACGAACACTACTCGCCGTAAATAGCACGGTTTTTAAAACCCCAGCCTCGAACGTTCCGCAGTCACCTGGCCCTAACAGCTAAAACACATTTCGAAATTCATTGGTCGCGGGTCTTTTCTCTATCATTCGTCAGCATACGTCCCGTAGTGCCCCACGTTCCTTAGACCGGTAGATTATTCTCGCTTACCTCCCCGATAAGCAGACGGTTACAAGACAATGCTCGTTTCAGGAGCGGAGAAGAAAACGGCGCAGGCTTAGCTGCACACAGCTGTTTCGGTGTCGACTATGAGCTCTCCCTCATACTCAAGGAGATTCGAGTCATCACAGACCAGGTAGGTGACGAACCAATTGAGATAGGGCGCCTGGCGTCCGTGTATCAATGTTGTAACAGCGGTGTCCATTGTTTAAGATGCGCAAGGACGACGAGGATGCGGACATTTCGCGCGACTGGAAATTTGCCGCCATGGTCGTGGACAGACTGTGCCTTATTATCTTTACCCTGTTCACAATCATCGCCACGCTAGCCGTGCTGCTGTCCGCACCGCACATCATGGTGTCGTAGCGACCCGCCCGCCTGCGTCTGCGCATGCGTAACGTTCTGTGATACCGCGAATATTTGTTAAGTTGTGATGTGCGAACCGGTGCGGGCGCCGACGCCGCGGCGCCGAAGTTGCCGCCGCCCGCCTCGCCGCCCGCGCCCCGTCTAGAGATAAGTAACCGCTGACTGCCATCCCTACGCATTAATACTGAAACTGCCTATTCATTTCTTCTCGAATCTTCTCGCCTCTTCCATACTCTTTTCACACTCGATATATTTTAACTTACCGAATAATGTTTCCCTGCGTCCGACTCAAGTCCCCCAATCCAGTTTAATGAGTGGTTTCTGACCCATGACTGAATCGATTACGTGGCAGTTGTTATTATCATATCTGGCGCCGAAGCAGCGACGACCAGGCTTTTAGAGTTCCACGCTAGACTAGTCGCCATTACAGGAGATCACGACGTGTGATCGAACCAGAAATTGTAGCACAAAGATGTCTTCCTTCATACCTTTTTACGATCTGTCGCGTTAAAACGTATTTCATCGTTAGATCTCTCTCGAGCCCGTGTACAGTTCAGGGCAGACGAATTCGGCCCTTCGTTTCTTTCTCGTTCGATTCCGTGAATCGTGTTATGGTCCCTTTATTTGTGTCGGTAGCTAGTATAGAACTTTACAAACGATGTTGTTTCAATTGGTACAGGTTGTGATACACCTCGTTGAGAACGGGATGATAATATTGTTATAAATAAAATATCCAAAGCTATAGCTTATTAAAACGCTCGTTAAAATTGTAGGTAATGAAATCATTATTTTATTAAAGTCGTACTCGGTCTTTCGAAACAATGTTACACAATTGCAACTCACGATATCACGTTTGTACCTACGTAAAGTAATTTTTCGTACAATCGTATGTTAACTTGTGAAGTTTGGTCATTATTGCGAGAAATCGTAGCCGTTGTTCGTTCATTCATCCGGATTCACCTTGATTCTAAATTACCATGGGAACATCGCGGAAAGGTGCCTGATAATGGTGATAAACATGACAGGAGGCTTCGGACCTCGTTATTAACGTATATCCAGTTTAGTCGTACCCATATTCATTTTCCACGTTCCCCCGCCGTCGCTCGGGTCGAGTGATAATTTTGGAAAACGTAAAGCCTTCTGAAGAGGGAAACGTAACCGTCGACAGGAGCTGCTCGGATACATAATCGATGCGGTGCTGTACCCACGCAGAGCTCCTCTTATGTTTCCCTCGTCTGAAGTCCGCCGCTCGATTCGTACACGTTTCTTTGGAAGTTGCGAAATGGCTACGAATACGTGCGTACGTTTTCCATCGTTTTTAACTTTCTTTAACCTTACGCGATCATTACAGTGTATCAACTGGTCGAAGATTCCGCGCATTGCTTTGTTCCCTTTAGCTATGAGATCGAGGTAATGTGCGGCTCGCTCGACGCTATCGGGACGAAGTTTGTCCCCATAAATTGTTCAATTGTTAGGGTTAATACTCTGAATTGCACTTTGTTTATTAAATATAAACGAAATAAATCAATGTTGTTTTTGTTTTTACCCGTTACCTATGTGGAGCTGATCGGTTGGATGTAACATAATGCGTGTTGGAATTAATAGCCCTGACCTATATTTCTGGAACGCCTGGGAACAGGCTGAGTAACTGAAGACAATCGATGCGTTCCCTAGGGACAACCGCACATGCGCAGAGGGTCACTAGAGTGAACAGAAACGTTGGCAAAAGGTCCGAGTTTCGCCTCTTGAATTAAACTGTAGGTCAATGCATTGTAGATTTACAAGAATTTTAACGTAATTACTAAATGAGAAAGCAAGTTTTGGCTTTCTTCAATCAACTTTGAAGGATATAAAATATTGAATCTGTAATTCGAGATTATAGTAAAAGTTATAATAGACATTTTAATATTCTATATTAATTCATTGCTTTAAAAGAGACCTAAAGCCCGACCGAGAAATATAATATAAAAAATTATTATAAGAAATATCAATTTTATGAGAAATATAATGACTGGTTTCAACGCATTTTTAACAACATAAAATAATTATGTAAAAAATGAAGCCCGTTCCCCCTAGGTGTGGGATATAAGGTTTTATTTACTGGTAAGTTGTTAATAAGACATCTGTAATCTGCCCAACCAAAACATTTTAATATTCCCAGATTTCAAATGCAGGACAACTTAATGTCCTATGTAAATAATAATAATGAAGGCAGTATATACGTAAATCTACTTAATACCTTTGCTAAAAAGACTCGAATATAAAACCCTTTTGAAAATGCATCAATCAAAACAAATTAAAAAGCTCGAAGGCGTTCAAAGGCCCGCCCGCCCAAGACATAATTACGTTCAAAACGACGTCTACCATTTTCTTTCGTGTAAGATAAAATTAGTTACCTAATGTAAAATTATCATATAACTTGAGAGTTAAATAGTAATAGATTAGATCTCAATCCCGCTTCGTTACTTTTAGATCGATATAAACTAAAATTATGAAAAAAAAATGATTTAAGAAAAGGATGACATAACATTGTCGCTACTTTTTTTATCATCTAGAAAAGAAGAATTGTTTTTTTATTACACGATCAAATTTTACAATATACTTAGGTATATAGAAAATTATAATTACTTTACATGAGAAAATTACATAAATGTACGTAATGATGGTTAAAAGTATTAACGAACAGGCTTTACTATGAAAAAAAAGTAAAGTAATTTCGGATATTTATTAAATACTCTCGACCTTTCAATACATTTGACAATAAATACTGCCATCTTTAATTATCAAAGTGACAAGGCCACCTAAATAAATTATACCATTTTCAGTGTTTTTTTTAGTTACACAGACGAAAAATAAATTATAACGAGTAGAGTGTAGCGTGAAGTTCGTAGCGCTGAAATGCGATTTAAGTGACAGAGGGCGTGGTGCAAACTTGCGCAGACGAGACGGAAAGCTGAGCGTCCGTCGTTCGCGGCAGTGTGCGCCATGACACCAGCTCTACGCGCACCCCTTATTCTTCTAGCGCTAATCACTGCACTGTATTCAGGTAATGTCCAATTTAATTTACACTACTTAAGCCCTCAAAAAAATTATACCCTTTTGATTCTTTTAGAACCTTCTAGAACTCCTTATGAGTTTTGTTTCTAGCTCTACAACTTTTTCATTTGAAAAACTAAAAATTCTTTCACTACAGTTCGTAGCTATGAATAATTTAATTAGTGAGTTAAAAGTTTCATTTATTTTCCTTTAGTATGTAGGTTAGTGTTCCCACCGTGACCACAGCTGCAAAGTATCCGAATCTTCGGGCAGTAGTTAAAATAATTTGTAAATATACAATTTATAGATATCGCGTTTTAAACCGCTAAGCTGTTTCACCTATCAAGTTAAAGGTATCTTTTATGCTCTGCATTAAAGGGGATGTATGCTCCTGTAATTTGAAGTGTTTGTCGATATTTAAGCAGTTTCATCTCGCGGCCTGCTCTTTATTGATCTGGCAGCGCTACAGCATCCACTTCAATTGTGTGATTCGTTTACTTTCTGACTAACTACTTTACTTATTGTATCTTTATTTACTTGTTGTTATCTCTTAAGTGTAATACCGAATTCAAGAACATGGTGTTTACTATATTACTACAAGAATATTTACTATAAGATATTGTACATGTATATCTTTTAAAACAATTAAAGTTAGAAGAAAATTATCCATTAAGAACTAGGCTACATTTTAATATTAAGTGACACGCCAAGAAAAGTCTCACCTTTGACTTACTCGTTTTAATTAATTATATCATAAATATTAAAATAAAACTGTCCTAATAAAAATTCTTTAAACTGTTAAAAACGCGAAATGAATTGGTTAATTTAATTTTAAGCACGACTAAAAGTTCGGTCTGTCAAAGTCAAATCCAACGCTAGCGCCACCTGTTAGCCATAGTTAAGAATAAACTAATTGATATACGCTCTACATTAAAAATGATTATGAAGTATTATTGAATTAATAAAATTATTTTATTTTTTTTGTAATTTAGTAATGTTTCAAATAACCTAGACAAAAGCCTAATAAATAAAATGTGAGTTATCACCCACTATTCTGTATCTAGAACGAGTGGCAATATTTTTAACTTATCTTTCTGTCTGTACATTACACGCTAATCTCCGAAAGCACTTTCACCAATAGATTAGGCTTAGCTTGAGACAATATAAGCTTTTATTTATTGAATTTGGATGTCAACATGCAGTCAAAAAATTTACTGTCATTTTAAAATTTCGTTTCTGGCGCGGATAACAATGTGAAAAATATACAACGTACATATTTAGGCATTTGTTATACTAGAAAATTATTCTGCACCCTTTTTATCCAAAGCTAATAGCTAGAAATTTTACTAGACAGGCCAAAATTAACTCTGTACGTGATAACTTGTAAGGTCAAATAGTGAATTGTAGTTAAAAATAGTTACATAGTAAGTAACTAAGTTTTAAGTAAATATTTAAACTAATAACTTTTAAAGTAATCGAGAAAATAGAGTCTGTTCTAATTATAGCATCGAAGAAACTCCTTATTTAGTCGCGTTTATTATCGATCACCAGTAATGCTAATGATCCTTATAAATTATTCCATTCTTTTTATAATTATGTAGTGCGGTCACGGAATATTAAATATTAACTTTTAAATAGACGTTTATCTTTCAAACACTTTTTCGATTTTAAACGGGAAATGTCGGTATGGTTGCTATCCGAAACGGCGGCTCATAGCTAAAAATAACTTCGCATTTTAATTAGTTAATATTTATTTCATTTAAATCCTATTTACCTAGGGACAATTCTTATTTTTTCCCTATCTAGAAAAAAAAACTATCCTTTAAGTGTAAGTGTATCCTTTAAGGTTTTACAATAATTCATATATTCTATATTTCATTAAGCAATCTTAATACCACCTAAGTCGTGTAGGGTTCTGGCAGACCAATTCATTCTTTTGAGGCACAAGTTATGTTATCTATACTTTTAATAGGGGTTTATTCGTGTAGTGTTTTAATTCAAATCTATCAGTTTAGTTAAATTAAATGAAAGAGGTTTAAACCGGATAGTCTCACTGTGAGATTGTATATGGTGTAATATTGGTAGGGGGGTTTGGAAAAAATTTTTGTACTTTCTTTAACTTCTTTTTATTTCTGGACCCTGGAAGTGATTGATTCAGAATTCGAATCGTCTGTTGCGCTATAATAAATAAATACAACTATACCACGAGGGCAGTCTGGAAACCAGTGTAGCTGAGTGTGACAAGCAGTCAGCAGCACAGCTGAGACTGGTACTGATTGCCATCCTTAACTGTTTTATGATCTACCTATTATTGTTTTTAATAATTAATTTAGTAGTTATACGTTTTGTAATTTTGTAGTTAAGTTCTGTTTTAAAAAGTATTTCAATTTTAATTAGAAAAATTTGTCCTCATAACAGGATGGTGTTCGGAAGACGAGGAGCGTCTGGTCCGCGATCTATTCCGCGGCTACAACAAACTCATCCGGCCGGTCCAGAACATGACGCAAAAAGTGGACGTCCGCTTTGGCCTTGCCTTTGTCCAACTCATCAATGTTGTGAGTAAAAAATAAAAGCTTCCCACGTCGATCTCACGTCATTCAGGTTCTGAGCCTATGTTTATGCAATTATGACGACGTTAAATGGTCTCTCTGCGGGCTTTGACATGATCATCGCTCGTTTGCGCTATAAATACTCACTAGTCGAAAACACAATAATTTGTAAGCGCCTTAAAAAGTAAGACGCAATTATTGAAATGGAATAATTATAACGCATCCAATAACCCACACCCATAATTGAGGCTGCTAGAGGCAGAGTGGCTTAATAACAAAAAAATGATTCTCAATAAGGAGGAAAATTAAAGTGCATAAATTGTAGATTAACATTTTAGGCTTTAAAAATATAAATCAGTCACGCCATCAAATTGCAGCTCTACCAGCCTCAATTCTAGCTATAGTTACACATATAAAGTATAAAAATAATAAAAAAATTAAAAAACTAACGCGCATTACTTTTTTGTGTTTTAAACTGTTAAAGGTGTTTAAATAACCAATATTTGTATAAAGTATTTTATATAAGGCCAGGTAGGTACTATATATAGGTTATAATTAACTGCCTCTGTTGAATCGTGTACGCTCATCGATAACCTAACATTATTTGGGTCGGGTAGGACACTGAAATCTGATCAACTTGGTGTTTCCCTGGAATTACCATGTCACATAGTGGAATCGTTTTTATAGAAATCATAGTCAATGTTGGTTTTCAGAACGAAAAAAATCAAATCATGAAATCGAATGTATGGCTCCGACTGGTTTGGATGGACTACCAATTAATGTGGGACGAAGCTGATTATGGTGGTATTGGCGTTTTGCGATTGCCACCTGACAAAGTCTGGAAACCGGATATTGTGCTCTTCAATAAGTAAGATACGAACACCGAACTTATTCTGTACACGCATTTTAACCCATATTATATTGTTCTATGTTGTTTTAGTGCGGACGGAAACTACGAAGTTCGATATAAATCAAACGTTTTGATTTATCCAAATGGGGAAGTTCTTTGGGTACCGCCAGCTATCTACCAGGTTAGGCAATAATTTATATTTATAACTGCACCCAAAGTTTACCCTAATTAGTCAACTGTCTATAGTTTACGCGAGTAGTACACATTTAAATAAAACACTTTAACTGCTTAAAACGCGATATATTAGTTAAACTTATTCGAAAATGATTGATGAATGACTGCTGCAAAGCATCCGAAACGTCGGGCCGAAGTTAAAAATCATTTTCAAATAAGTTTAACTAATATATCGCGTTTTAAATCGTAAAAGTGTTTTATTTAAATCTAATTAGTCATATTAAATTCAAGAAACACCTAAGTCATTTGCAAGAAACTCTCCGCTAAATTTCCTTAAATAAAAACCGCGCAGTAAAGGAACCTTAATGAAGGAAAAAGAATGATTATTTGTATCAAAGACAAAAAAAAACGGCAAAACTGTGGATATACACTTTTTATTAGTATATGACGAACCAGGTTCAATATTCCAATAATTAGAAGTCTCTCAAACACGCCGGCATTATAACATTATATTATTAAATGACACCCAAAGGCGCTCTGACAAACGCTGTCGTAAAGAAAGAAACTAAACTACCCCCGAATATTATTATTTTATTCCGAACACCGTTATATAAAGTTACATTAAACCTATTTTAAATATCAATACTTATATAGTTTAATGTAAAATCTGATTATTTATCCTTCGTTAAATTTTTAAGTGCATATGATGACATGTAGTCTAATGGTAAAAATGTTTGTTTAAAATCAAACTGTAATCTATTTTTCGAAAAATGGTGTGAATTGTTATCGCGTTTAGTCTGTGATTTCTGAATGTCTAAAGCCTAAATACGTCGACAGCATATTCTTAATGTGTTATAAGAAAAGTGAAATACCCCCGGTGTTTGTCATCAAGTGTGCCTCAATTTTGTCTATTCTCCTCTGTCAAAGAAATACATGAAACATGACAGTAGTTTAGTAAATTAAACCTTAGTTAACTTAAAGGTGTTAGTTGTATCACAGTAAATTGTGTTTTATTTGTGTAATCGTAAACTATAGACAGTTTTTACTCAGAGTTCAATAATGCTGAACGTTTTTTTCAGAGTTCATGCACAATAGATGTAACATACTTTCCATTCGATCAACAAACTTGTATCATGAAATTCGGTTCTTGGACATTCAACGGCGACCAAGTGTCGCTAGCACTGTACAATAACAAAAACTTCGTCGACCTCTCCGATTATTGGAAATCGGGGACTTGGGACATTATAGAGGTCCCCGCCTACTTGAATATTTACGAAGGCAACCATCCCACTGAGACCGACATTACTTTTTACATCATTATAAGAAGGAAGACTCTGTTCTACACTGTTAATCTGATTCTGCCGACCGTTTTAATTTCATTCCTTTGTGTGCTGGTATTCTATTTGCCGGCCGAAGCTGGTGAAAAGGTAACTAATCATATATAGCATTGTTTTACAAACTCAGTACATATAAATAGAAGTAGATTAGAATATCTCTAACGAATGAAATAACATAATTCTCTAGTATATTATAATAGCCCATTTGTATCGAATATGGTGCAGGAAGATGTAATTACCTTTATGCTGTCTTCATGTATATGAATGAATTGACAGGTAACGTAGAATTGACGTTACCTGTCAATTCATATGGTAAATGGTAAGAGGCGGGTTAATCATCAGACGATGACAAAACCTAATTACTAGAGATAAAAGTTACGACTCACAGTCACAAAGACACAAAAGTGTGTCTGCCCTATGTCACACAAGCAAAAGTAGATTCCTCGTTCCACGAATTTTTATTGCCTTCCTAAAGACATTTAAAAACAGGTTTAAAATAATAATTTTTATTTTATTTTATTTTTATTTTTATAATATAAACAACGCGGCTTAGAAGCTTCAAACTGCATGCTTGATACACTTGATGCATAGTAGCATTTTGTTCTGTACTAATCAAACATTTCAGGTTACTCTCGGTATAAGCATTCTTCTGTCTCTTGTCGTGTTCCTGTTGCTGGTGTCAAAGATTCTTCCGCCGACGTCGCTTGTGCTGCCACTCATAGCCAAGTACTTGCTGTTTACATTTATCATGAACACTGTCAGTATTCTTGTCACTGTGATCATCATTAATTGGAATTTCCGAGGGCCGAGGACGCACAGGTGAATAATATTTTTTCTAATAGTATCATTTTTATTAATTCAAACACCTCACCAAATCATATAAAATGTGAAATGTTTTGAAGTAAAAATACCGCTATGTAAGTTCTTCTGATCGATTTCATATATAAGCAAGTAGTTTAAAAAGTGTAGTCAGTAGGCGTGAAATTGCTGTTTAAAATGATAAAAGAAAAGATTGATAGTGATGTTAAAAATATGATCTAAAATAAAAATCTTCTTTAGATTAAAAGTAGTCAAAGTCTCGAGCCGGAGTTGAACTGTTATCCACAGTGGGTCTTGTTTTGCTGCTCCAATTCTATTTATCTCGCCCGTTCTCTTTAACTTTTATACATACTGATGATACATGGTACATTCAGCTTTCCCGTAAGATAAATTGATCCTTAACTTATCTCGTATTAAGGTTAAAATTTATATGTTTTCCACAAAAAGCAACGAGTATGTAGCAATCTTACTAATAATTCTTTATTTTAACTTAAGAATGCCGCTATGGATACGAAGTGTCTTTCTGAACTATTTGCCAACACTCCTCATAATGCGTCGGCCTCGCAAGACACGACTTCGATGGATGATGGAAATGCCAGGCATGGGTGCGCCTCCCCACGCAGCTGCACCTCACGACTTGCCAAAACATATAAGGTGATTTGAATTATTAAGAGCTTTTTACACCCTATAAATAGTTGGCATAACGAACTCTATATTTGGAAACAGCCTTATCACCTTTTACATTTTCCAAGCGTTAAACTATTTCCCCAGATAAAAATCTGCCAGAAATAATTCTAAATAAAAAAAACTTATTTTTACATTTTCTCGTTTCCACCGATAACAATATAAAATTTAATAAAAAGACGTTTATCGTCACATTGCAATATACTATAAGTTTAAACAATATAACTAGCTGCAAAGGAATAAAAAAAATAGTTGCAAAGGATGCTTAATTAAAAAAACTATTTACTACTTAGTTCTTATTTGTATCTTTTCTTACTTACTTTTTCCCGTGTTGCGATTCTCATAACCACAATAAAAAATCGAATAAAATAAATTTATTTTCACATCATACCTTCCCTTATTTTTTACAATTTTATTTGTAATTGTAAACAACGAATAAAAAATATATTTTAGTGCAATCGGGGCTAAGCAAAGCAAAATGGAAGCAATGGAACTATCAGACTTGCACCACCCCAACTGCAAAATAAGTCGTGCTGCAGGCGGTGGAGAAATGGGGGCCCTCGGTGGCCTGGGAGCCCTCGGGGGCCTCGGGCTTGGGGAAAGACGAGAATCTGAGAGCTCAGACTCCTTACTCCTATCTCCAGAAGCGACGAAGGCTACAGAAGCTGTAGAATTTATAGCAGAACATTTACGCAATGAGGACCTATATATTCAGGTATTCACTAAATCTTATTATCTAGCTCATTATTAATAAAAATATAGTGTTCTTATTTAATTTGTTAACTCATTTATATGTTTCCATATTTATATTGTTACAATATGTTAAAATGGTAAGAAACATTAGTATCTTTCGCGTATACTGATTAGATTGAATGCGCATTACAGACCCGTGAAGATTGGAAGTATGTCGCAATGGTGATTGACAGGCTCCAGCTCTACATATTTTTCTTGGTAACGACCGCCGGCACAGTCGGCATTCTCATGGACGCCCCACATATCTTCGAATACGTCGATCAAGACCGTATCATTGAGATTTATAGGGGGAAATAAATATGATACACTTTGAACGGTAACTCTCGCCGCACACGGGCTACAGACAAAACGAAAAATACAAGTAATATGCCGGCGATGTAGTTCTGTGGCGGTTGCAGTAGCCCGTCTGCGGAGACTAAGATTAATGTTTCTTTGAAAATCGTGGCTTAAGTATGATAAATATTTCAGTTATGTAACGTAACGTAACGTTTCGAGAATCAATTCTTCAATACGTAGTTACCTGTTATAAATTTGTATGCACAAATCGCTTGAAAATAAAATAATTACGTTATATTGCAATTCTATGTTGATATTTATATTAGATGCATTTAAAAACTCCTTTTTGTTTAGTTCTAATGTCTATCTCGTGTTTGTCGAAGACGTTGCCATATTTTATTAACAGTTTATTTAATTCGTTAGATATAAAATAACTAGTTAAAATAATATGTAACAAATAGAATTATGAAATGGCTGTGTTGGTTTTACTAATAAAAATCCAAATGATACATAATGCCTATGTATAAATGAAAATTCATACTACTTTGTGTAATTTTATATCGTCTAAAATTGTAATTAAAATCAAATAATATATGCAATAAATCTAATCGTTAGAAAATGTCAACCTTTCAACGTTTGTATTTAGGATTATTGTAACGAGATCTAAGCGTACAATGCCATTACTAGTTATTGGACCTAACTTAGGATATTAAGCGTTCTAAAAGTCCTGTAATATGTGCTAAATTTACAAATAGAAAATGAATAACAACATACAATTTGTATTGACCTTAGTGGTATTAGTTGTTTGTTTGGGTATTTAATAGGAGATTTCATGTCCTAATTTACATCTAAGAAATATACAGGCTACATTATGGAAAGAATAATTGTTACATTAAAATAAAACACTTTAACAGTTTAAAACGCAATATATCACAGTTAAACTTATTTGAAAATTATTTTAACTATGGCCCAACGTTTTGAATGCTTTGCAGCAGCCGTGGTCACGGGGAGTGACAAGTAATCGCTACTTAATATGGTCACGGGGAGACAACGACGGGCCGTAGTTAAAATAATTTTCAAATAAATTTAACTGTGAAAATATATATTGCGTTTTAACCTGTTAAATTGTTTTATTTAAATGTGTACTACTCGCGTAAACTACAGACCGTGTATAGTTAACTAAAGGACAATTATAATGTATGAGGTATTAGTAGGCGATTCGTTTATTATTTTTTTATTATATTATTGTTATGATGTTTAATTGAAGGAATTGTCCTGTGTTATTTAACTTGCTCATTGTAGGTAGGTATCTACTATTGTCTTCCTTATTACTTTTATCGTTTTAAAATTATAGATTTTTATTCCATTATATATGGCATGCTTAGCAGCATCGGCAATAACGTAGACTCATTTTAGTTTTATATTTGAGCGTTTCGGTTGTCACAAATTGATTAACGACAATTTTGAATAATTAAGCGAACTTATTCGATAAATTACTCATTTAGTACTAGTATAATAAAAATATCAATATTTAAAATTAACATACCAGAGTTAGCGGATATTAGTATAAATACTTCCATTGTAGTCTGACGAAATAAGCACGTTTTAAACAGAATTGTTGATTGCTGTTCCAACATTTATTATTTTTAAAAATATTGAAATTTTAATAAAACACTTTCAACGGTTTAAAAAAAATGGGGGGGTTTTTGGGGGGTTTTAAGGGGGGGGGGGGGGGGGGGGGGGGGGGGGGGGGGGGGGGGGGGGGGGGGGGGGGGGGAAGGGGGGAAAAAAAAAGGGAAAATTTTGGGGTAAAAAACGGAAAAAAGTATTTTATTTAAATGTATATTAAAAAAAAAAAAAAAAAAAACCCCCCCCCGGGGGGGGGGGATTGGGGGGGGGGGGGGGGGGGAGGGGGGAAGAAAAAGGAATTTTCAATTTTTAAAAACTTTGGGGTTTAAAACCGAAAAAAGAATTTTTTTAAAAGGATTTAAATTATTAAAAACGTATCTCAAAGACGTTTGTATTTAAGTTTGTTGTACCCATGTCAAAATTTAAGCTCAACTTATGAAAGTAATATTTAGTAAATACCATAAATTAAAATACTTTACAATAGACACGTAGTATTATTTCACATTTAATCTCTTGGCTTTGAACTTACTTTTCGAAATGTCTAAGTATCATAGATACAAGTTTATGTTAATTTGAATAGTGACGAGTAGATGAATTATCAAATGTTACGCGTTTCCCAATTCTTAATTGTTCCGCTTCAATTAGTTTTTAATCGATACTTATATCACCAATTAAAACTTAACAATTTAGCAACATAGACTTCATGTCGCTAAAATAAACTTCTTCAAAAAATTTCCATTTTGTCAAAAAGAAAAGTGGTTTTGCGATTTTAAACTTTATTAAATTTATACAATATTTGACTAATACTAAAACATGAACCTTAAAGTCTATCTTGATATTTGACACTAAATAATAAAAATGTACTCTTTTACAAACTAGTGTCGTTAAATCTAACATATAATCTAAGTACAACGAATGTAACTTACGTGGTCTCGTTGTAAAATAAACTTTAGAAAATTATGTTTAAAACTAGAAAAGAATAAATTATGCGCGAAAAGGAATATCGCGCAAAGTCACAGTAATTGTTTCAGCTTAAAATGGAAACGTAACAAAATAAACGCGTTATTTGAAAGATATCTAATCATCATCTTCATCATAATTAGGTGAAGTTGGTGTATAAGTCGGAGATGTGGGAGAATAGGTAGATGAAGGTCCACCCGATGCTGAGGAATAAGCGGGGGATGATGGAGAATAATTGGGGGACGTCGGTGAATACTTGGTGGATGAGGGAGAGTAACCGGGTGATGAGTAATTAGGTGAAGATGGCGAATAATTCGGTGTCGATGGTGAGTACGTATGGGAACTGCCCGGATGCTGCGGAGACGACGGCGAATACGCCGGATTCGGTGAATATTGGGGACTTGTGGGCGAATACTGTGGACTAGTAGGTGAATATGTAGGACTTCCCCCGGACAAAGATGGCGACGTCGGAGAATATTTCGGAGATGACGCAGAGTAGGTGGCAGAGGTCGGAGAATAGTTCGGTGAAGTGGGAGAGTAGGTGTGGTTCGTTGGGGAGTACGCGGGTGATGTTGGCGTGTAATTGGGAGACGATGGAGAGTAGCTCTGCGCAGCTGGGCTGTAGACCGGGCTGTTCGGAGAATACCTGGGCGACGAGGGAGAGTATCCAGTGGAAGTCGGCGAATAAGCGGGACTCGTTGGGGAGTAATTGGGACTCGTAGGTGAATAAGTTGAGCTCGTCGGCGAGTAACTCGGCGAGGTGGGGGAATAACTGGGAGACGTGGGCGAATAAACGGGGCTGGTAGGGGAATAACTTGGAGAGGTCGGGGAGTAGCTGGGCGAAGTAGGGGAATACGATGGGGACGTCGGTGAGTATCCGGGGGATGTTGGTGAATAGCTTGGAGAAGTAGGTGTGTAAATCGGAGATGTCGGTGAATAATTCGGAGATGTTGGCGAGTAAGAAGGACTTGTTGGGGAATAGTGAGGAGATTGCGCCGTAAGACTGGGTGAAGCAGCAACATACACGGGACTGGTGGGAGAATAAGATGGCGATGCGCCAGCTGGAGACGACGCGTAAGGAGAAAGAGGCGCACCGGGTGAACCAGGTGAGCCAGGTTGCGGGGACCAGGCGCTACTGTACGATGGCGACATCCCGGACGCGTCTGACGCACCGGATGGCGAAAATGAAGGACCCGGGGTCATACTGCTACCCACTGGAATTAAAAAATGTATGAGTTAAGAAAGTGATAAGTACAAATGAAATTAATAATAATAACATTATAAATAATTGATTGTGAATTGGAAATTTGTGTATGTTTTATACAAATGATGAAACACTAAACATGAAATATGTCACTGCTTTAAAGCTGCTATTTAAAAATTTCATAAGATTCATGAAATTAAAAAATGTGACAAAATAACCTTAATATTTATCAAAAAGGTTTTGAATCAGTTATTTATCTTTTAAACATTTATTGATTTAGCTTACCTGGGCCAGGTGACCACACACTACTGCCATAACCAGGTGTGTTCTGATTCGACCACGGAGTCATAAGTGGCGTCATGGACGGTGTCCCAACGCCGAAGTACATCCCTCCGCCGACTCCCATGCCCACACCCAATCCGCCCATTTCCATACCGTGCTTGCACTTCTCAGCATCCAAAAGTAAATCGAAGCAACCTAAAAAAGCAATGAAAACTTAGACTCATACGTCAGTCATCATCATGACAACTTTTAGTGGTCTTTTAAAGACAACGAAAATATACAGTTAGCCGTAGATCTCACTCATTTAGAAGTTTTTAAAACAGAATGATTATGCTAAAATTTTATTTCAATACTCATACATACCAGTTCCCATACGCGGTAGTTGCCCCATAATAATATTCTCCGATACGCCCCTCATAGGGTCCACTTCAGCGTGACTTGCAGCATCCAATAGAACGTCCACCGTTTCCTCGAATGAACATCTCATCAGAGCACCGGTGTCTTGTCTATTGATTCCGTGACGAGTGATGGCCATAAGATGACCCTTGGCTGTCATTACGTCACAAAGCAAAGCCAAGTGACGATAATTCACGTAAAGACCGTAGAACTGCAGTACGGCATTCATTTCCTTTTCGACAGATTTACGTACGGCTTCGATTCCCAATACTTGGAAGATTTCACAGATGTCGTTACTGAAGGTCCTAATGGGATCTACATCTCGTTCGGAGAGAACTTTCATGAGAGAAGTTCCGTCCGTTTCTAATAGCCACTCGGCAATCGCTTTAAATTCTCCTTGATCTGTTATTACAATACGTTTCTTTGCTTCAGTCTGTGGTAAATGCATGTATACTTTGGCTATCGCTTCTATACCTTGCAGAGTCATATCAGACAACATGTTGGCTTCAATACATCTTAAGAACATGTCGTCTTCCATTTTATCCACTGTCTCTTCATCGTTGTCCTGGAATTTACTCTCTTCGTTGTTCATAATTCTTATACGAAGAACCAGTTTTTCGGCGTTATCGTCGTTGAATATACAATTTAGATCGTCACCAAAGCCGGCGTTAATTTTCTCTGCAATTTGTTCCATTGTTAGCTTTTTGTCTGTCATTCTCTTACGGTCTAACTCGATACGTAAAAGCCAAGGTGAAATTTTCGTAGGATCGAAATCGGGCATTTCATAATAAACGTTGACAAACTCTTGATCTTCAGCGATAACAGTATTCTGAGGATCGGGGTCGTAGTAAATAGCTGTGTTAGCGGTAACTTTTCGCAATGTCGTATGTTCCAATCGACACAAAACATTTTTAGCTTTTTCCGCATCGCGAGCAGCACCACCTGTGAGGAACACTGTCAGGGAGGGAGCTTTGGGTTTTTTAGAAATATTTATAATTTCCTTAAGACGCGGTACACCGAGAGTTACGTTTTTGGAAGACACACCGGCAAAGTGGAAAGTGTTCAATGTCATCTGAGTAGCCGGTTCTCCTAAAGACTGAGCGGCTAAAGCTCCGACCATTTCTCCTGGATTAACCTGCGCCTGTTGGAATCGCGTCTCTATTTCTCCAATCAACCAATCGAATGCTTCACTTGAGAGTCGATAATCTTCGGATACTAATTTTGCACACAGCGTAGACCGCACGAGACATTGGAAAAGTAATGTAGCGTTTTCGTTAGCCTGCTTAGATAGTCGATCTTCCCCAGCGACGATGACACATTTCTTTAGTAAATCTCTGACACCGTGAATCACTTTTATAGGACTTAAATCAGTAGGTGATCGTTTATTAATATGGAAAATTTTCTGAACATTCCATATCATTCTTCTGAAATTACAAGGAAGTACAACTTTTGACTCTCCACTTGGGAAAATTTCTCGTAAAACAGACCTGTCCTTTCCTAATTGATCCCATTCGCTTTCTAAGTCGCCGATGACGTATCCGGATTCCGTCAGTTCCTTAATGATGTCCTCGTTGAAAATTCGTTTCAGATATCTTTCATTGGTAGCATCAAATTTAAACTTTTTCTCGAAGGCCTTATTGGACAACTTAATTGTGGGCAAATTTTGAAACTCGACCGTCTCGCCGGCTAAACCATCTTCTCCATAACGCAATTGAATGAGCTGTCCCACAGAGTTACGAACTGTGCCGTCGTAATGCACCATAACTGACTCCATAGCCTTTATCAGACGCCGTTGAATGTATCCCGTTTCAGCTGTTTTTACAGCAGTATCGATGAGACCCTCGCGACCACCCATAGCGTGGAAGTAAAATTCCGACGCTGTTAGACCAGCGAGATAGGAGTTTTCCACGAATCCTCTTGATTCAGGACCATAATCGTCTTTTATAAAATGAGGCAGAGTCCTTTTACGAAAACCGAAGGGAATTCTCTTACCTTCAACGTTTTGTTGACCGACACAAGCGATAACTTGAGAAATATTAATGTTGGAACCTTTGGAACCCGACACCACCATAGCTTTGAGGTTATTGTACTCAGTCAGAGACTTTTTAGCTGAACCTCCAGTTTTATCACGAGCGTCATTCAAAATACGATTTACTTGATTTTCGAAGGTCTGCCTCAAAGTGTTACCAGGGGTCGGCTCCAACTCCATATTGTGAGCTTTTTGAATAACCTCTATTACATCATCTTTGGCCTTCATAATAGTGTTTTTAATCTCTTGGTATGTTTGTGGATCAGCAATAGTGTCACCGATACCAATCGAGTGACCTTCAAGAAGGAGCCAATTGTTAATAACTGTCTGAATGTTACCATAAAACCGACCTGCTGTTTCATGTCCTAATTCTAACATACAAATGTGCAGAAGTGAACCAGCAGATGCACCAAGTGATTTTTTACATAATATTCCCATAAGCAACTCTCCATGATCTACTACTACTTTGGTGTCTCCGGGAGAAATCCACTTATAAGGTCCATCATCTTCTTCGTCAGGATGTGTGGAATGTGTTCTTATCATATTCACATTGCCTGGAATGATCAATGTGAAAATTTGTTTGCCAGTCCATAGGGGAGTTGGTTTTAATATGCAAGGCTGAGGAATTTTTCCATCCCATGTGGGCAAGAACATAAGCAGGTTCATAACTTGTTCCTTAGTTAAGAAGACATCTCTTTTAGTCATTTTCCTTACTGCTGTGAGAGTATCTTGCACAATACCCATAACGGGTTTGTTTGCTTGTGGTGTTATAATTTGCCTCGGTGTAATGTGTATATTTTCTACTTCTGCGCGAGTTTCCATAGATTGTGGAACATGTAAATTCATTTCGTCACCATCAAAATCAGCGTTATACGGTGAAGTACAACTTAGGTTCATACGAAATGTAGACCAGGGCAGTACCTTAACTCTGTGACCCATCATACTCATTTTGTGTAAGGTAGGCTGCCGGTTGAAGACGACTAAGTCATCGTCACGTAAATGACGTTCCACTTTATATCCATACTGCAAATGCAGATCTGAAGGCTTGGGATGGAATCTTAAGTCTATTCTTTCTCCATTGTCACGAACTATATACTTAGCACCAGGGTACTGTGCGTTTCCCCTTCTTACAAGCTCTTGCATTCTATCAATATTAAAAGGTGTGACTAATTCTGGAAATGTTAAATTTTGGGCTATAGACCTAGGTACTCCTACTTGGTCAATACGCAGGTTAGGGTCAGGAGTAATTACTGTTCTGGCTGAAAAGTCTACACGTTTTCCCATCAGATTTCCTCTAATTCTGCCTTCTTTGCCTTTTAAACGGGCCTTAATAGCCTTTAGAGGTTTGCCTGATTTTTGCATAGCTCTGGGAAAAGAAAAACAATTGTAAAAATAATTCAAAAAATTTTAAAATAATTAGATATGATGATAGAAATTAAACAACTTACTTTGGCATACCAGGCATATCATTATCCACAAATGTTGCTACATGGAATTGCAACATCCTAATATTGTCAGCAAGAACATGGGCAGCTGCACCGGTTTGTTCATTTCTCATCAATTCATTATTTGCTTTGATTATATCAGCAAGCTTGTGCGTTAAGTCATCCTGGTTCTTAGCAGAGCCAAACATAACAACAGCAGGTCTCACTGACAATGGAGGAACTGGCAAAACAGTAACTATCATCCAGTCTGGTCTTGCAAACTTAGGGTCCATTCCTAATATGAATGATTCTTCATCTGAAATAAGTTATATGTATGTTAATTGTTTTTTATATAACATGTCAATTATTTTACATTACATTACAATCTTGGTAAAGGACATTTTGTTATATAACAATAGAAACGTATTCTTCATTGTTCCAGATAAATAAAAATAACGAAGCAAAATATAATTTTAATAATTGTAATTGATGTAGACAAAAGAAGAGGAGACCCTTAAGAAATTAGCTTTTAATTTCTAATGCCCAAATAGGATAAACCATAAAGAAAATGACAATATAATTTGTAATGCAAAATTATGATCACAGTTTTTTATCATACCATATATAAATTGTTAAACTATTATTAAGAAGAAATAACAGAACTGACAAAAAAATATATTATTTTATTCACACATAAATAACATAACACAGTAATTAGAAACAAACAACTGAAATGTAACATGTAAGTTTTTTTTGAAGTGAAAGGAGAGATCTTAAAATTCTACCAAAAAACAGATTAATATCATACTTCTATAGAAAATATATACAATTAAATTACGAGAAAATTTATTTGTAAGGTATACCTTATAATAATGTATTGTCTATAATATAACCCATACAGAACTAGACAATGTACCTCTGAAACTTTTAAAATGTTAAAAACTTTTAAAAGGGTTGCCTGGAAGAGATCGCTCAAAGTTACCATATAACTGGGTTAGAATAATGTATCTTAAAAATTGTATATTAAGAAAAAATTTTAAGGAAAATTGTAAAAATACTTTGTATTTGTTGCAATGAAGAATTAAATAAATAAATAAATAAATAAAAATGTGCCTTTGACCTTAGTCTTCAGGGTAAAGACTCACCTGTAATTTGTTTTAAGATTTCCCAAACTCTTTCTGCAGTTATAGTAATCTTCTTTTCTTGTGTGTCTTCATTGGCATGTTTCCATTCCGCTGTAAGGTCTAAACCCTGACGTCTAATTGATGGTTGATAATGTCCACAGCCGCCATGTCCTGAACCTTTTTTACCCTCTTCACCTTCCTTACCTATGTCCATATCCTCACCACCTTCACAGATATTTTTACCCTTGCACAAGTCATAAACATAGGTCAATCTTTTTCGAGGTTGACCCTTAGACTTCATCACTACCTCTTTTATCTTTGGATTTGTCTGAAAGGGTATATCGGCATCACAAAATAACAATGGAAACCTAATAAACATGGAAAAATTACAATAAACTTTCAATCAGTACCTACCGGACTAACAAGCAGCTTCGAGCAGTAGAAGCAAACACATCTTAGAATTTTGATAGTTTTAGTAATAAATCCAATGTGAAACACAGGCTTTGCCAGATCAATATGTCCAAAATGACCGGGACATTCAGTCATATTCCCCGCACAAGTTTGACATCTGGTCGTTCTGTCGATCACCCCTTGTCGAGGGTCCATGAGCCCCCCGAGCTTAGGTCTCCCGCCCTCCATTGTTTCCGGGAAGCGTATGCCCCCTTCTGTGACTGACATACGTCGCTAAAACATTCAAAATTCCAAATAAACAACTTTAAATAAATTAAAGTATTTAAAAGTTTTTCCTTATATTTATGGTGCAATCAGGGAATATAACATACAAAGATGGTGCATCACATTAAGATACTAACGAAAGAAATATTTAGTAAATAACATTAGAAACGGGATTTCTCACTTATTTCACAGTACTTACAATTTCATCGGGAGATAATATACCAAACTGTACTCTTTTAACTTGGCGCAAAGGCGCCTTAGAATCACTCGTGGTCGCCATTTTGGCAACATATTCGACTGAGCAAGTAAAATTTCATAAACAGTAAACCAATTACATAGACTACATTTAAACAAACGCTTGTCAATCATAGATTAAAAATGTTTAATGAATATAATATATTACTAATATTCGCGACTGGCAAAAATGGTAGAATCTTTCGTAACAAAACAAAATTAGTTATTATCTACGTTCACTTAATATTATAAAGCTGAAGAGTTCGTTGGTTTGAATGCGGTAATCTCAGAAACTACTTGTTCGAATTAAAAATCTTGTAATGCTGGTTGGACTAATTATCAAGGAAAGCTTTAACAAACTGCGACTAATAGGAGCGAGGAAATAAAGAGAAATGCGGAAAAACGGGGAAAATTACCGATCTTTGAGAGTTTCCGTTTCGCGCACTGCGAAAACGGTTTAAGAAACCAAAAAACATGTTTAAAAGTATTAAGCTGTTTTAAATGACCCAAAATAAATTCTGCGACAGTATTGGTTTTTATGGTACTTAAATTTTGGCGAAATATGTAAGTAATTAATGTAAAAAACAACGTTTAGGAGGTCAGCTAGTTATAGATAATTTGAATTTAATGACAAATTTCACTCGTATTAATACATTATCCGCAAGAAAAGGTATAATTAAAAATAAAGCAATTTTACAAATATGTAATTATCAATCTAACATTAATTGAACTAGTCGCCAACTAAAAGTTGAGTATCCGAGATAAATTTGTGGACAGGAACTTCCAAGTTTAACGGAGCTGGACCTCTTCTTGTTCTACCCGCATTATCGTAGTGGCTTCCATGACATGGACAATAAAATCCTCCAACGTAATCGCCAGTATTTGGTATAGGCACACAACCTAAATGCGTACATATTCCTATTACTACCAACCACTCTTGCTTTACCATGCGCTGTTCAGGCGTTTGGGGGTCCCTGAGTAATGATAACGGTGTATTAGCCTCGACGTTGATTTCATTTTCAGTTCTATGTTTAATAAAAAGGGGCTTTCCCCGCCACTTGTATGAAACGCAGATTCCTGGCGGGATATTTGATATATCGACTTCAATCGTAGCCAACGCAAGGACGTCAGCTGGGGCAGCCATATATGTAATAAAATGAGTCAATTCCGATTTTACTCCATACATTGCTGCGAGTAATCCAAAGAAACCAACCGTATAGGTGATTCCCTGCTTTTGACCGCCAGCACCCCAGGCTGTTCTGCTGATGTCTTTGAAGTCATCTTTTCTATAATAATCAAAATTTGGAAATTCTGTATCACGGTGGAGACGTGGATAATCTTTCTTGAAACGAACTTGTGTGTAAAAAGTAAGAATTTGATTTTTAGAGCATGTTTTGGGGTATTGCTTGCTATATTTTTGAACGCATTGACTTTTTGTATGACGATCTTCACATAACGGCCCTGTCAGGCGAAGGTGACCGCAACAAGAACTCAACCAGATTCGTAAGCTTGCACGTAACATGCAACCGCTAGACAAAATGAACATTTCAACAAAATAGTGGAATACTAGAAGTGAACTCTTTGAAACAAATTTATTTTTGATAGTGCTTGACTTGACAACTATATGGCTTATTATTAAAAATCTTGTTTTCAAAAACGTCAAGCTAATTTTGATATAGAATTCCATAGACAATGAAAACATTGTTAATAAAAATACCAACTTATAATTTTTAAACACATAGGATGATATAAACTCAAATAACCCCTAAAAATTAAAATGATAGCTACAGGAAGTCATCAGTTTTTATACTACATATACATAAGTACTCATAAGTAACTTAATTAATCTCCAAACATTTATAATTCAGACCAGAGCTTATGCAAAGCAGTTCTTATTCAACTTAGTTCTATTACCTACTGTTAATGAAATATATTTGTAACTAATCAAATGAACTTGTTAAACTACGCCTATACTTTTTTCAAAGAGGTTTTTATATGTGAGTTAAAGATTTTCAATCTAGAAACCAATTAAAATTTACTTGTATATGTACCTGTCTCTTGTTCTCATTAAAGTCTATCACACATTCTGCACTAGTAAACACCAGAATCATTATTCAACACAAATGATGATCTCAATAAAAAAGTAATATATACGCCGTAAGTTATCTATTTTATTGCAAATCATTAATAAATATACTTTGGCAAAACAAAATTTCAGCGTTCACAAGTATAACACAAATGTGCTCTTGCTGTTATAGTTTTCATGTACATATTAATTTAAATTGATTTATATAAAATACTTTCTGGGAGTAAATTATATTTTGCTACTAGAGGCATTGTTTATATGTATATCTAGGAAGTCCTTGAGCAATGTTGTACGTCTCTTTTCAGCTATATCCATTTGGTTTTCTAAATCGCCTCTATCCGTGGTCTCAGCACGTTCAACTTTCCATGAGAGATTTTCGATTTCAGCTTCCAATTGAGCCTAAAATGTGAGACAAAATTATAGTAAAACTATTTTATGTATTTATAACATAATTCCGATATTAACCTGTTGATATTCAAAGAGCTCTTTCCTCGGTCCATTGTCCATATAATAGGCAAATGGATATGTATATTGTAGAGTGTAACGGCACCTCTTTAACAACTTAGCAGAGTCCCATAAATATTGCCAATCTATCCAAGTGCCTTCTCCAGCCATGACCTAAAAATTGTGTTATTGAAAAATTATACATTATGTACATCAATGAAAAGGACAATGCTGGTATTTAGCAACCTTTTGATTAATGCGACTTTTTAAGCTGGCCAAGGTTTGCTCCTCTAATTTTAATGATCTTGCATGGTTTTCCCACCTCTCATAGTAATGTAGATATTTTTTTAGTGCTTCTCTGGCCTGCAAAAAGCAAATTGTACTTTAACTACAACACTATTTCATCAGCTTAGATCTCAATAGGATTTTCGTTATGAATTTCAGTGAATCCTATTGACCAATGCTACTGCAAGGCAACCGAAATAGTGTGTCGTAGTCGAAACTTTAAATCGTTTAACTAACATGTTTTTTGCCAGTGAAGCCTTGCTTTTTAAATATGTATATAAATTTGTGTAATCATGTAAACTAGAGGCTATATTAAACTTTTTAGATTTTAAACATTATACACTAATATTACCTGTGCATGCTGACTATCACTAGCTAAATTAGGATCTTCCTTATAACGACTGCACTCATAGTATTCAGATCCGTGACATTTCCAATCACCCAAACAGACCCAGCAAAAGTCATGTCTACATGATCCACACTGCATATGGTTGCAGCCTCCATTTTTTTCAATGCATATTTGACATTTAGGGCAATCCTGGTGAAGGGTGAACATATTTTTTATTAGTGTTACTAGCTAGTGCTAATAACGGCTAATTTAAAGTGTAACTAAATGTCACATTACCTTTGTGTTAGCACTTATATAATTCACTGTCTCGGAGTCATCAGCACATTTTGTGAGCCAGAGACGGATAGTTGCACAGTCAGTTGGCGCATGGTGTGGTGCCCCACAAGAGAAACATGTCAACAATTCACAACCTTTGCATTCCACACGACGAGGACCTTGTCGCACCCAAGCTCGAAATATCCACTACAATTTTTTAAACCTTTGTTATAGAAAGTTTAATAGGAAATTCTATTATTTTAATGGGTTACTGTTTTACTTCACTTATCATGAAATGCTTAAAATTTCTTGAATTTAAAGCTGCGTATGATATCATACATTTATCATATTTTTAACATGATAGTTGAATAGTAATTTTGTTATTTAAAAAAACTGTACCTGACAATTTGGACCTGGGCAAAATCTTAACTGTGGGTGTGATTTTACATGGTCCTTAAACATAAACTGCTGATAACGTTCTCTCAATGATGGTTTTGTTACATGGGATAGCACAAAGTCTTCAGGAGCTCTTACTTCACATTCCTGGGCCATGCATTGTATTGTGTTAGATACTCCTATAACAAAAAGTTAGAAATAAATAATCTTTTGTACTCTTGTCAGACATCTACAAATTAATAAATGTTTATGGTTGCAAAAGGTGTAGACAAAGAATCTTATAAATAAATATAAAAGATTTGTTCAGAATTACCTTGCATTATTTGTACTTCAAAGTGCATTGACCAACAATCATTGCAAAAGGAATGTCCACAAGTCAAAGCACTAAAGCTTTGTAAAGGAGGCATATTAGCACACACTGCACAGTGCGTACGAGTAGAAGTGCCTGGTGCTGTAGGTACACAGGGTTTTACTCGACTAAAGATTAGAACTTCATTTGCATTTTCCTTATATCTATTTATTATTTCTTGCGCATTCCACTCATATGCGTGCAATATCACCTGAAATTGGTAGTCATAAAACCTATCGTAAATCTGATTATTAGCTAGTAAATTTAGACACCAGAAATACAAACCTTAGCTAGTGAAGGCGTTATTTGAAGGTTGTTACTAAGAAGTTCAATGGATTCATTTAAGAGTTTCTCAACTTCTTCAACCCTTAAACAAGAAAACAGGAAATATTCAGGATCAGTCTTGCTCTGGTCGACTGTTTCCATATCGCAATCATCTATTTCGCCGTAGTAATCATATTCGTCACCATCATTGTCCGAATATTCCATATCAGAATCAGCCGACATTTTGTATTTAATAAGAATACGATGAAATATTGGAGATCACTTATATAGGCATCGTTTAGAATAAATATATTAAATAGGCAGAAAAATAAATACATAAATGCCTAAACATTTTACTCAACAAAATGTTTTATTTTTTAACTGGAAGATCTTGCATAGATATAAGTATACAGTTAATTAATAAACTACTTACCACAGATTATATTTCCGAATAATAAATGTGTACAAAAAACTATTTATCTGTGGAAATGGGATTTGTTTACTAAATAGAATGACATTCTATTCTGTCATTTACGAGTAAATTGTCAGTGTCAAAGTAAATAAAGTGGGCAAGTAAAGGTCACCTTGGTAAAGTTCACCTTCCCCGGCGTTCAAATTCGTCACAAATTTATTTAATTTTTATTGGTGCGTAAATTATATATATATTTTGAATTAAAATATTTTTATTTTTATCTTTTTAAAATCAAAATACTATCTCCATCACTATTATATCTTTTGGTTATTTAAATTAATAATTCATGTTTGTATTCTTATTTGTTTTTAGAGAGATTTTAAGAAGAAAAATGGATGTGTCTAAGGCGCAGCGGTTTATAGAGCGAGGCTCTCATAAGGGCAAGGGTCTCGCAGTGTTTACGAGTGGTGGTGACTCTCAGGGTATGAATGCAGCCGTTCGCTCTGTGGTTCGGATGGGCATATACTTGGGCTGTAAAGTTTACTTCATACGTGAAGGGTACCAGGGCATGGTTGACGGTGGTGATAATATTGAGGAAGCAAACTGGTCGTCTGTGAGTTCTATCATACACAAAGGTGGTACAATCATTGGTTCTGCTCGCTGTATGGATTTTATGTGAGTTTTTATATATATAGTACTTAACGATTATCTACTACGAAATAAAGGAAAGTTTAGTCTTCTGTAAACTTTTATCATTTTTAGGCAAAAGGAAGGGCGCTTAAAGGCAGCTAATAATCTAGTGTCCAGGGGTATTACTAACTTAGTGGTCATTGGTGGTGATGGATCACTAACTGGAGCAAATTTATTTCGTCAAGAATGGTCCAATCTATTAGATGAACTGTTGGAAAATAATAAAATAACCAAGGATCAGCGAGAAAAATACAAATATCTGCATATAGCTGGCTTGGTAGGTTTATAAATCATTAGGTAAATAGTTTTTGTGAAAATTCCTTATTTATATATTCAGTTAAACGTATTAAAAAGGTTGGTTCCATTGACAATGACTTCTGCGGAACGGACATGACAATTGGAACTGATTCTGCACTGCATCGCATAATAGAAGCCATTGATGCCATTGTCAGCACAGCCTATTCCCATCAAAGGACTTTTATTATGGAGGTCATGGGACGTCATTGTGGGTATGTTTTTTTTATTTAATTTATATTATTGTGTCAGAAATTATTTCCACAATGTAAAATATGTCAAACAACATGAATTTGGTTTATAGTGGGCCAGCAATTGAATGGATACAAATGCAAAAAATTGGGCTTCCGCAATGATATAATTCATATTATTATGTATACATTATTCTGCTTTGTTTCATAATACAATCAATTCATACACATCACAATTATTAGAGCCAATTCCACCATAACAAAATAATTATGGAAAAGATAAATGATTCTTAGTTTCTGAATATAGATATCTTGCTCTGGTCACCGCCTTGTCATCGGAAGCAGATTTTGTCTTTATACCAGAAGCCCCACCTTCAGTCGATTGGAGGGATAAACTGTGTTATAAGTTAGAACAGGCAAGAGTTTAAATAATATTTGTGCCATGCCCTTGGACCTTTTCGTCTGCTCTTTTGCTTGACAGTTTGCCCTGTTCCACTGTAATGCAAATCCTTTTTTTAGTTTTCTTGCAGTGTACACAGCACTCTGTACGGATGCTACTTATAGTTTTATTTGTGAAGACCCAGCGCCCCTCAATTGGGACAAAAAGATGTGTGCAAAAATTAAAGAGGCAAGAATACATACTTGATAATGAACAATCTGGGAGCAGGATCACTTTTCATTTCATTTATGAATTGGCTCTTTATTTGGCGTCCTCTCTTTGTGTATGTTCAACTATAATACATTTATACAATGAGACCAAAATTATCATTTTAACATGGACACCATTTGCATGGTCCATTATGGTTGGGTGCTGCTTGTTGCAGTTATCTGGCCCTAGTGGCCGCTCTGGCGAGCGAGGCTGATCAAGTATTCATTCCCGAAGACCCTGTTCCCAATAATTGGGTTGAGAAACTTTGCAAAAGATTGCAACAGGTACGAGCTTAATTGAGTGGCACTGCTCAAATATCATGCGAATCATATTATGCAAGAAGATTCTTTTAGTAGCTTTATGTTCATCAAAAGATCTACATTTATATAAGCAAATTGACTACAAAGCATTCAATGGCGTATCCTGGAATCTTTTTCGACAAACTACAATTATTTCATTAACAATTCTAATAAATTTAATGATAATAGTTTCAGTGCATTCTATTTCGTAATGACCTATTAAGTTAATAGAGATTATTATCTTTACAGCATTTTTTGTGTTTGTTTAATTACGAAACGCATGGAAAATGGAAATGCACCTGCTTCTTACACTAACGCATAGTACTACTAACGCTTATAACTTCGTTGTGTTTTGGGTTTTTGGATGTTTAGTTTTAATTGTTGCAAATGTGTTTCTTATTTCTACTATAAATGTTTTTTTAATTATCTTTGACTATCCTCTTTTTACCTGGATGACATGTCTTGGTGCCTGCAGACTTTAAGAGATATAGAAAATGACATAATGTATGTTACAAGTTATATATAACTTTACGTGTAAATAACATAATGAGACATCGGGTATTGTACAATTACTAAGCAACATTTCAAAATCGGATATAAATATGTGTAGTTTCTTTCAAGTTTTTTTTTTTCTTAAAAGGAAAGAAAATCTGGTCAACGCCTGAACATCATAATAGTCGCTGAAGGCGCTATCGACCGCGAAGGCAAGCCGATCACCGCCGAGTTGGTGAAGAAGGTCGTGGTCGACAATCTGCAGCAGGACACGAGGATCACAGTGCTCGGTCATGTCCAGCGAGGTGGATCACCCTCGGCTTTTGATAGGATTTTAGTAAGAAAGAGTATTTATGTATTTGACCAAATATAATTGCGTAGTAGTTTACTATTACATGAGTAGCGCACATTAAATAAAAGACTTATTGACCAGCCAGTCTGCTAAAAAGCACTCGAAACAGTTTCCATTAGGCGATAATAATGCCTAGGTTTGACACCAAGTAGCATAAATAATCTACTAAAACTTAAATCAATGTAATTTAAACAAACATTATTATGTGTACCATTTTAGTTAATTTCTTTCGCTTCGTGTAGTTGAGATAGAACAAATATTTACCCGCCTTACTTGTAAAAGGGAGGTATGTGTCAAAAGTCACGTATCTACAGTCGAAAGCGTCCGTGGTCTGTGATTCACGCTAAAATATTACAAAACTCACAGACTCATTGTGTCATTGACCGATTATCACTTGTGATTATCTCATCGATTGTACAGTCAAAAAACTACTTCATTGGATAATATACACAACAGATATTATATACATTAAAAAGCGATTTTTGATTGAAAAAATATTACGACTGCAGGATTTGAACCGGCAACCGCAACGTTTTCTGTCGACACAGAACATTTTTTTTTAAATATATATAATGCCATCATGTACATGTGAATAATATAAAATTTATAAACAACAGATATCTATTTAAAACATTACAGTTCTGGAGTCTGTTTAATTTTGTGTTATTTATAAACTCATGACGTAACTTTTGATAGCTTTGAATCAAGCTGACGCAATTGTTTGTTAACTTTTGAGTCCCCGCACACTTGCCACCGGCCACGACCACAAAACGCCGCTACCGGCTTTTGTTTGCAGTTTTCATACATTTTGTTTTGTAGCGTATGGATGCATGCCACTAGCGCTCAGCTTAATAAACTTTAGCCATTTTGTAGATGGTTTCGCCTTGTGTGGGCAATAGCCCATGTGCGAGGCCCCTAACAATTAAATTTACACTTAAAGTCACCGTGCACTCCATTAAAAGTAGTACTAAGAGTCATTGTAATCATATTAAAAAAATGTCTATACGCATCTTCAGTGACGCTATGTTTCGTGTGATTGCCAAAAATTACAAAGTGCGCATAATGTACTTAAATTTTTAGGTACATAGGAATTGAAATATATAAATCTTATACATGAGTACTTTACACAAATAAAAATAAACTTTACTACATTCAAGCTGGGTACGCTTTTTTTAACATTTACTTGAATCTTTAACACTTTTTTCTTCATTCTAACTTAAATACTGTCTTCAAATCAAACACTTTAACGGTTTAAAACGCGATATATTAAACTTATTTGAAAATGATTTTTAACTTCGGCCCGACGTTTCGGCTGCTGCATGCTTGGAATATCACAATTCCGTTTAAGTCACGAACCGCTTTCAGATAAAGCCGTGAAACCCTCGTTTCAGTTATCAATCTGTGGATTTCCAAATTTCCTAAGTCAACGAGGGTAAACTAATTAGATTTTATAGAAATGTATCTAATTGTTGTTATTTTCTAATCGATTTTAAATTAGCAACCACGCTTTCGTCTTGCAATAAACTGTTTATTTCAACTTCACAGGGATGTCGTATGGGTGCGGAAGCGGTAATGGCCCTGATGGAAGCAACTCCTGAAACAGAGCCGTGCGTTGTATCCCTGGACGGAAACCAGGCTGTTCGGTTGCCACTAATGGAGTGTGTGAGACGCACGAAAGCTGTTGCTCAGGTCATATTTATTCATTACTATTTTTTAGAAATGTCAGGACAAGATTGCTCGACAGGCTCGTGGGTGTAATGGTAGAAATTTATGTTCGATCCCCACCGGGCCCAACATGTTTCCAATGTTTTAATTTATAATTTTTCAGAAATATATTGGACCACGTCTGGAAATCTGGATATTAATTGAGTGGTCCATAGATGAAAAAGCCATCAAGTTTATTCGTATCGGTTTCCGAATATCCAAAGCCAAAATAGATCGACAGTGCATTTTCTTTAAATGTTATATGGCTGGGGTATTTTTCAATGAAAACTTACAATACTAATGTCATAATATCATACAGGCAATGGCTGACAAAAACTGGGAACTAGCAGTGCAACTACGCGGGCGCAGTTTCGCACGCAACTTGGAGACGTACAAAATGTTGACTCGCCTGAAACCACCCAAGGAAGCTTTCAACGCATCTGGCAAGCCAGCTGTGAGTAAGATTAATTATTTAAGAAGATAAGAAATGTCCTTTGCTCTCTGAAATCTCGTTGAAAATGAGGCTTTTTCGATAAAATTGTGGAATATCAACATGGCGACCGATTCGGTAGCTCAATTGGTTAGTAGACCGTTACAGCAACAGCACGGAACGTTGTGGATGCCGGTTCGAGTCCTGCCCGAGTCGTAAATATTTTCAATTTTTTATTTATATAGTGAAAAATAATAAAGTTTTTAAATGTTACAACTATGTTTTCAACTTTGAATTTTTCCGAAATACATTGGTCTTCGTCTGGAAATCTGAATATTAAAGGTGGTAGTAATATCAAAATTCCGTTCGGGTCACGAACCTCCGACTACAGCTGGAAAATGCCGTGAAGTTTAATCGCGTTTTCGCATCTTGCTTAGATGTTATATGGCTGGGGTATTTTTCCTCCCATGAAGTGAACTCCGTGCTTGTTTCTCCTCATCTAGTTATTAAAAAAAAAATCTGTTATAGGAAGGCCTCACGCTAGCTATAATGCACGTTGGCGCGCCTGCTTGCGGTATGAACGCGGCCGTTCGTTCATTCGTCCGGAACTGCATCTATCGGGGCGACACCGTCCTCGGCATACACGACGGCATCGAAGGCTTTATCAGCGGAAATATTGTCAAAATGGACTGGTAAAGTACATATTGGAGTAAGCGCTCTGTAAGGGTTCTGTGGAATAGTTTTTGTTAATCGCTAAAAATCGCAATGTCCTAAGTACCCGAGATATAAGTAAAGAAGACAGTGTCTTATTTCAATTAAAGATAATAACGAGTACTTTAGATGGAATATTTGAGTAGATTAAAAAAAATTACGACACGTTCTGTGTTGCTGTTCTATTTAAACGAATGTATTAACTTAGTAAATATATATTCTTTTTTATGTTCTGAGTAAAAGAACGTAGTCTTTCAAGTGAAGAACCTTTTTTAGGAAAAAGCTTTAAACTTGGTTTCTCGGTTTGTAGGTCCGACGTGACCGGGTGGGTCGGCCAAGGCGGTGCGTTCCTTGGAACCAAGCGAACATTGGCTGGGGATAAGAAGAGCGAAGTCGCTGCTCGCATTCAGCAGTTCAACATACAAGGACTCTTAATTATCGGAGGATTCGAGGTGACATTTTGGTGACCTGTGAAGTTCCTGACTATTTAGAAGAGTAGAATCATATGTTTGGACAAGTATCAGAGTTGCCGCTTAGCCGTGAATAAGTTTGAAAAAGAAATAGTCCAAAAAAACTTGACAGTTTAAATTTATGCATCCACTTGTACATACATTTAAGACCGCCTTGACGTTTCGGACAATAATAGTGTAAATGACGGACAAAACTTCAATGAAAATATATTTTCCGCCAAATGAACTATTCTACGCGGACGAAGTCGCTGAGACAGCTAGTATTCGTAGATTTTATTTTGCTTTTTTGCTAACTTTTTGTTAATTGTCTATCCATCATTTGTGTTTTTGAAGGCTTATCAAGCTGGTCTGGAGATTTACGAGTCCCGAGCTCAGTTCCCCGAGTTTTGTATCCCGCTCGTGGTAGTTCCGGCTACCATCAGTAACAACGTTCCAGGCACTGATTTCTCTCTGGGGACTGACACGGCGCTTAACGAGATTACTGAAATTTGCGACAGGATCCGACAATCAGCCCAGGTAACCCAATATTACGAAGGCTAGTGGAGGTAGAATTCTGTTAAAATTTTCAAAGCTATCATGTATAAATATAATTTCTCTATACTTCTTTTAATAGCATTAAAGTAATGAGAGCTTTAATTCAAGGGTACCAAACGGCGCGTCTTTGTCGTCGAAACAATGGGCGGTTACTGTGGTTACCTGGCAACATTAGCTGGTGAGTATTGCAATAAATATTATAAAAAAAAACTTACTTATCTGTGGTAGATCTGTTATGTAATAATAAGTTATTATCTTGAATGAATTACCTGAATAAAGGTCTTGCCGGCGGGGCTGATGCGGCCTACATTTACGAGGAAAAATTCTCTATCAAGGATCTCCAGCAGGACGTGTACCACATGGCTTCCAAGATGACTGGTGGAATACAGCGAGGTCTCATCCTGAGGAATGAGAAAGCGAATGAGAATTATAACACAGACTTCATATATCGACTTTACTCTGAAGAAGGCAAGGGTCTCTTCACGGCGAGGATGAATGTATTAGGTGAGACATTTACATATGTCGTTTATGATGGCAGAGTATAGACAAGTATATCGTTAATTTGATGGGAGATGAATCACCCCAGCTGTATACATAATTTCGTGTAACAGTTAAGATAAAACTGTCTCGGAATAGAAAAAAAATATTTAAATACTATATTTAAGTTAACAAAAATCTTAGTAAGCAATACAGTAATATTTCTTCAATATATGTTATGTGTTACAGGTCACATGCAACAAGGGGGTTCCCCGACGCCATTTGACAGAAACATGGGCACCAAGATGGCCGCCAAATGCCTGCACTGGCTGGTGGAAATGATTCGAAAGGGCCCGTCTAACACGGCTGACTCAGCGTGCCTCTTAGGGATTGTGAAGAGGCAGTACAAGTTCACACCTCTTGAAGAACTCAAATCACAGACTAACTTTTCGTAAGTATAAAAAATAGCTTATATAATCCGACCAACTTATTAAATAAAAAGTTGACCCAACAGTAAACTATAGAAAAAATATAGATTTTAATGCACTATGTACTTTATTGTTTATTTTATTATTTTATTCTGTCAACCCGTCTTTAGCTAATAAATGCATACATAATATAACTGAACTAAACTTAATTAAAATGAAGAATGATTGTGTGTGGTTGCCTAGAATAATAAAGTAACTATCCACAATATTACATTTACAATTTATTTTATTCGTAAATACACTAACTTTTTTAGTTAACTCCATTAAGTCAATAAGTAATAAAAATGTATTATTATTTGTCATTCTTTTTTTTTGTGGTAAGTAGAGTTTATTGGAATTGACCCAAAACAAGGTATTGCTAATTTTAAGAAAAGCAATAAACAAATTAAAATTTAATAATTATTATTTCGTGTCATTACAGACAAAGGGTACCGAAACAGCAGTGGTGGATGAAATTACGCCCCCTCCTTCGTATTTTGGCCAAGCACGACTCGACATACGAGGAGGAAGGAATGTACATGACTGTGGAGCAAGGAGAACTTGATTCGGAAAATGCCATTTAATCTAGTCCACGCGGTTGAAAATTTTTACGCGATATTTTTATATTTTCTAGGCATAGATTTGACTCGTTATATTATTTTTGGAGGTTATTTAAGCTAAAACATTGTGTAAACTTTGTTATTCGATATAATAGCATATTTATGAATATATCTCGTAAACCAGTTTTAGATATATATCTTCATGTTTTGTAGAGAAATTTAGTAGCGTAACTTATATATATATATTATTTTTTTTAAAGCATTTCAACAACTTACCTTACTAAGAAAAAACGTAAAATTATTTTTTGGTTGTATAAACTTGTACACGTTAAAAGTTTATATATATTACTTAATGCTAAAAATGAAAGACATGTTTGTAATATCTCTCTATATAAAAGACGTAATTTAGATAAATTAAATTGAAGCAATACCACTTAAAATCACAATTAACATTATGGCATATTTTACTGTTGTAACATTGATCATATTTATTATTCCTTGAGAAGCTATTTATCAATTAATTCTAAGTATGGCAACTTGAGATTATTTAGTTAATTTGTTATAATACGAATAATAATGGTAATCCTAATATGTAGCAACGTAAATAATCGTTGAATCCTACTTAGAAATATAATTTTAATAGATGTTGAAAATGTTAAGTTCATTTTTAATTATTTATAATATACATCTAAAGAGGTCTTATGAAACGGCTACCACCGCTAAGCTTTCATTGTTTATGTAAAATAGACAAAAATTGTAAGAGTCATGACGATAGTAGTACTCGTTATGCATCGTTAGATTATTTTGTTTGCGTCCTAAACTAGCTACAGCGAAATTAATTTGTTTTAATTAGATTTATGCTTATGCTTAGATCTATGCAACAGTATTATAAAAACAAGATATACATTAGGTAAATACATAAGTATAAATAATGATGTTATACCACCTACTAAATAAATGTTGCTTCATCAAAAAATATCAGTGTATATTATTTATTCCCCTTTTTCATCCAGAATCATTATACATCGTGGTGTCGTAATGTTTTTGATAAAACGAGAGTATTAATTGGTTTTTCCCTTTAATAATTACTAAACCGTATTGCAATGTATATATTATATACATCTCTAGATCAAAACATATAATACTTAAATGATATTTTAATTTTTCATATACTTGATTTTAAAAAAGGTGTGTACAACGATATTTCTTTTAAATAAAAACTTACCATTAGTAGTTTATGAACACGGTATTGCGATGCGGGAAAATGACATCTTTAGCTTTACAAATTTTATTTATTTGATTGTGTAACTCAATGTAAATTGTAAAATAGAACACGAAAGTTTAATATTTTTTTCAAATTAAATTCAGCGTGCCTTGCTACTCATTTTGGTAAATTTAATAAAGAGTGAATATTCTATCTGTCAAAATTGAGAGACGTTATTGAGTTTCTCTGTGGAAAAAATATATGCTTTGCTGACCTTCTGAACGAGTGAAAGTTCTACGTAGGACTACGTCTACAGTCACGTCACTCATCAAATGTCACTGTCTTATAATTAAATGCTGTCAAAAATTGAGATAACAGAGGGTTCAGGAATTGGAAATTGGGATAGTTTTTATTTTTGTGGTGTCTTATAAGTGATTTTGGTAGGATTTTTGCATTAAATATTGCTATTGGCTGTTTCAAATGTATTAGTATATTACCTATGGTGTTTAAGTAAAGAAATTCTCAAAAATAAGCATTTTTCAGACGTAGGTTACCACCGGGAAAATGGTTAAGCCTGCTATTGGAAGGAAAACTAACAAGAACCCACCGATTTTCAGTCATGAATTTGTGATACAGAACCATGCTGATATAGTATCATGCGTGGTTATGGTTTTCCTGGTCGGGCTTATGGTTCAGGTACGTACGCGGTCTGCCACGTATACCTTACGGTACTTTCTAATATCTTTATTTAAATGAATTAACACCTTACTGCTAACACCCAAACGGATTCTCTGTTACCTATAATGTATCTTGAGGTGGAAAACATTTTTGACTGAACATTTAAATAATTATTATTGTTACAGTCCACAAGCCCAATAGCAGGTTTGTTCATAAGCTTACACCACAATGTCAGTGGAGTGGAGCCCACAAGAGAAGCACCTAAAGGTGAACCATTCCTATACGAAGCTGGCTGGAAAGATGGATGTGCAGTATTTTTCTATTCTCTTGTATGCATTGTTATGCATGCTATTATCCAGGAATACTTTTTAGATGTAAGTAATTTATAATTTGTAATCTTCATAATTGCAGTAATATCTCTTTGTATTTATCTACACTTGCAGTTACATTCATAAAATTTTGTTTGTTGTAGAAAATATCCAAAAAGTTTCATTTATCTAAATCAAGGCTTAGCGCACTAAATGAATCAGGTCAACTGGTGGTGTTCCAACTTATGACCCTCATATGGGGTGGTGATGCTATATTCCGTGAAGGATTTCTATTTAATATCCCTCAGCTATGGGACGGTAAGTTTTTAATGAATTATCTATTCTTAATTTTCCAGGAACTGTTGGATTATTTCCATTTGCAGAACAAAGTCTCTGTGTTCTGAAATAACTATTTCACGTAAGATCTAGTTTTGGTGCATATTAGATTCCTGAATACTCAGTATTTGTTATATTGCTTGGAAAGTTATATCAAATCTAGTGGAACCACATGTTTAGGTCGTGATGTATGTTGTAAAAATTCAATCATAATTTGTTTTAGGCTACCCCAACCATTCAATGACATTTTTGCTAAAGTTGTGGTGGGTCGTCCAAGCAGCTTATTGGATCCATACAATCCCTGAACTCTACTTCCAGAGGGTGAAAAAAGATGAATGGGCTGGTCGTATCAGACAAGCTGTTGTAGGTTTCACATTTGTCTCATTGGCATACTTCTTCAAGTGAGTTATTTATATTTTTCTTTTTACTTAAGAATGTAGCGTTAAGTTTTATTTAAACATGCTTTCTATGTTTGAAGTGTAGAGACATATAATATTTTGTGTGAGGTTAAAAGAATTCTGCGAGCAAAACAGCATTCAACATAATTCTATTTTATTGGACTGATGTTACTAAGACTTATTGGAACAGAATAATACTTCTTTGTCTCTGTTTATCATCTTGTATTTTCTTATATGAGACATTCAACAAAAGGCATTTTTTAAATTATTTTTCTTTTAGGTTCCAACGTGTTGGTGTTGCTTTAATAGTCCTGCACTCTCTTGCTGAATTTGTTGCTCATAGCTACAGACTGAACTCCATCCTTCGAGGTGAACGTGAAGATGTCTTAGACAAATGTGAGTTACTGAGTATATTATAATTATTATTTTTAACTGTGTACAGTCAGATCACCAATATCACCGCTTTCCCATTACATATTGTATAAAATTTTTGAGTTAATGTTCAAAAAACTTTTCCTAAGTACCAAGTTGAAAAGAGTAGTTTTAAACGCATATTACACATTAAGATCATTTATGGTCAGGAAACATTATGTATAAACTTTTATTAAAGTTTTGTTGTACATTAGAGAAATGCAAGTCCAACTTCGAACTATAATTAAATTTTTATTTCTTTTAGTTTTGGGACTGGTTAATGGAGCAGTGTTCGTTTGCGTCCGACTGTGCTCTTTGGTGTTGGGCGTTCTGACATTTTACTTTGGGTTAGCCGGTGCTGCACCATTACTCATAAGAGTTGCTGCACTTTCAATACTAGTCTCCTTCCAGGTAAATGTTTTAATTTGTAGGAATTACTAAATTGTATTGTTGATAACAGCTTAAAAGTTTTTCTCTTGTTATTCAAGGCTTAACTTATACTCTGTCAAGGTGGACACAGATTTCTGTCACAAGTAGGCAAAACTTTTTACTCCTTATAATTTGATATTTACTAAATATGATTTATGACACAGGTTTACCTGATGTTCAACTTCATTTCGGAGACGATGAAGCAAAGACAAGAAGCACGCCAGCTCGCCCAGAGCAAACCTAAAAAGGAGAGGAAAGATAAACCTAAGAAAGAGAAAGGTATAATATCTTCCTAATCATCTCTATAGAGATTGTTACTAACAAATGCTTTGCTGACATAAAGTAGCAGGTCTTATTAGTGAATTAAGTCAAGTTAAGTCAAGTCAACCGCTAGCGGCTAGGCCAGCAATGCGTGGGTGTGTTATGTATTAATCTAACATGCAATTGTACTTACAGTAAAGAAGTCGCACAACGAAGAATCCGATCTTCCTGAAGTTGATCAGAACACAAACAAGACACTGCGTCAGAGACAACCTGCCGCTAAGAAGTAAAGCGTTATACTGGCCCATTGGTCGACGTGGTCGTCAACTACCCTCTTTTTAATTTCAACATGTAACGATAAATTATTATTTTACGTATTTAAATAAATCTTCTTCAAGACTCACGTCGATCCTAACGATAGCAGGTTGTACTAAGATTATTTCATGTCAAAGCACAAAGCGAAGCGAAGCACTTCAGAAATATTCCATTTTATCATTATTCGAAGAGATTCTACAACGCATGACAATTATTTAACGCCATTGTGACTGTTTTAATTACAATCTTTCAGGCTAAACATTATTCATATAATGTATAGAGGATACAGGGTTGTAAAAATATCTCTTAAATTGTAAAACAAACTAAATGTCTAGGTTTAAACGTTGTTTATATGAATATATTGATAAGTATAAATCACACGAGAATTCCATTCGATGTTTTCGCGCGAGCAGTTTTAACGGAAATTCCAGTAGAATGCTTTTTGCATTGTTTATAATTTATTTTTATAATGTTTTTATATGCATTTCGTAAATATTTTTGTAGTTCACTCCTCGATACCTCTACAGTGTTTGATGGTTTTCGGTGCCGTTTTAATACACAATTTTTACATGAAACAGATTTTACGGCATTTTATTTGGACACAAATTATTGTGGAATTAAATTGAATTGTGACTGTTAGATTAAATGTTATTGTATGATTCTTCCTAAAGTGAAGTGTGCTCATTGATTACTATAATTTTCGATAATTGTCAATTTCAAATGCTTAATGTTGATTTCGAAATAAATTTTTGGATACTTATACGTTTGTTGTTCTTTATTTATTACGATTAAATCTAAATCAAATTAATTCGATCTATTGGAGTATCTAAGATAAGTGTATAGCAATGTCCCTTCCAAAATTATCTCATTTTTCATCTTCTTAGGAATAGAAACTCTGAAACTATTCTGTTAATTGTCTACGTCATGAAAAACAATTTACCACCGCAGCTTAAGCAGTCTACCACCCGTTTTCTTGTTGTGTGCTGAACAGTTCTTATCGACTGATGGGCTCCTTTATCTAATGACGGCAATGTATAGACATACATTGTTTGTTCTGAGTCCAACAAATTTCTAATTTATAAGATTTTCTGAAACATCTTGGCCTTCGTCTGGGAATCCTGAATTTTAAATGGGTGATAGGAATATCGAAATTCCGTGCGGGACACGAACCACCATCCAGAGATGAAAAAGCCGTGAAGTTCAATCACGTTTCGATTTCAGGCTGTGGATTTCCGAATATCCAAAGTCAAAACAGGTCGACATCACATTTAGATTAGATGTTATATGGCTGGCTTGCTTGTCTGCTCTCCTCTATTATTAAAAAAAAATTGTGGTTTAGAGAAATGCATTTCACATTTATCATTATACAATCACATTTAATGAAAGCAACACGATAAGTTCCTACGACTCTGAAGTACTTTAGGAATATACAATTACTTATTGTTATTTTAGACGTATTAATATCTTTTATTGAATTGTCATTTTATATTTTCCTTATAACATGCATTGCTTTAGTACTGCACTAGATATTTTTATTACACAATTATTTTAAGCTTCGTCGAAATGCCCTTGCTTTAAAACACTTAGATCAATAACCAAGAAATAATGAAATTGATTCGATTGCTATAACTACTGCCAATGTTATTTTCACTTACCTACATCTACAAAAATCTTCGATGTCGAACAATCTTCTTTCTTCTTGGTGATATTAGATTACAACTCGCGTACCTACTAGGTATTTGAAACACCTCTAATTTTATATATTTGGCAATATGCAATTAAATTTATAGATATTACATTCTATTTATAGATTGCCGGTCAAATGGTAGTCAAATGTATGGCTAATAATGAAAAGTGACTTTGTATAAAAAATGTAGGTGCTACATCCTGTCGGAGTCACGAACCACCCTCTACAGCTGAAATAGAATCCCAATTCAATTTCAGAATGTCAAAAGGCACAGTAGGTTGAAAGTGAACGGTTTTTAGATGCTGGCTGGGGTATTTACCTTCCGTTCAGCGAATGTTCTTTGTCCTCTTCTGTCATATAGCAAAATTAACTTTGTACAATGATTTGAAAAATTAAGATGCAGTAGCAGTTTAAAAGAAACAGTCGTAAAGTGCAGCACGTAAAATCCGTGACTTCATCGTAAATTTTTATTGACAACAATTTATTCGATATTTAGTATGGACATAGATCAAAACACAATGAAAATATAAATGTCGTATGTGAAATATCATGTACGTCATTGGGTTACTGTGAATCTCTAGCAAATATAAGTAAATACTCTAGATATAACTTAAGTATCAATTCTTGTCTTTGAATAATTACTGCCATCAATAAAGCATTAATAGCCGTACTTACCGATGGTTGTATCAAGGTTTCAATAAGGCTATATGTTACATACAAACATGTATAAAAAATATATAATACCCTGTTTCCCCCGTGGGGCGAAAACATTTCTGTGTGTAAATTTCTGAAATGTTTCCTGTAACTACACAACTAGTTTCCGGGGTATAAACCCCGGAAACTAGTTCATTAGCCTTCTGTGCCCTGGATAACCCGAAACAATTAATAGATTCGAACCCAGGACATCTCTCACTTAACGTATGTTAAAAAACATTGAGTTACGAAGGCAGTATGATATGATAACTTAAACGGAATATCATAAAAAAAGTCTGGATTATTTAAACTATATTAAATAATCGGTAACACAGGCACCACTTGTAGTACTTTGTGGGTGCTTTAAAATAAGCAACTGGAAGGAAGACTTCTAAACTTAAAGCTTTCATATGTAGGTTTTATGTAGTTCACATGTACATTTATTATATGAAAATTATTAGTATTTCAACTGAATTGATAGATAGGAATTTACTATGGAGGAAAAGAAAATAATAGATAATGTTTATAAAGTAAGTTAAATAATTACTATTTTAGCGACGTTATTTATTTACACCTAATCAGGAACTGTTTCATGATTCCAAATTTCATTCATTAGGTTTGTCTTTCGCCCGAAAAATATCTGCATATTTTAACTATACAAAAACTATCTATAAAAATTAGAGCACTTTAATTGCTTACTACATTTTTTAGAGACGACACGTAGCGTTTTTTACGGGCATTTTAATTTGGACAGCACCAGTTCAATTCGATCTCAGCTTTTTGTCGAATACGACCGTTAGACATTGAAAGCTCCTGAGATGCACGAGTGAAGACGTCACGTAAATATAATACGTATAAAAGTCTGTCGAAGTCGGGCTCGAGTCAGTCCTAGTGTGCTGTCGACGGTGACACGACGTTAGCATCTAAAATGCAGAGCATCACGTTAATAGTCGTCGCGGTCGTTATGACCATGGCCCTCGCAGGTTAGTGCCCTCCTGTTTTTGCCCAAGACCGAGCTCATTGTTGCTCTTCCATTAGCGGGAATTCCAGAAAAAACAAAATAAACCCTTGAAAATAATTCCGATAAGTTGTATGTGTAATACTCTAGTCTACACCCATTCAATACAACTGTTTCAAATAGGTTGCAAAGTGAATTTACTCATCGATATAATTCGTTCGTGTAACTTACGTAGATTAAATAGTAAAATTCGTTTTACTACGCTACAGATGTAATAGTCCTGCATTTATAAACAAATGCAAAAGCACTATATCCACGAGTATATAACGATAGAGAATAAATTTGCATTATAAGGCTCGTCTTAAATAAATATAACGTTAACAACCCGAACACAAAACATTGAAAAAAATCACATTTATCAAAAGTAAAACGATACACAAGTTTTGTAAGACTGATGATATCTAAATAAACATTGTTTAAAACAAATTTACCTATTGCATAGCAAGTTTCCGAAATTAGTCATACCCATATTAAAAGAGCAATTATAAAATATTGAATATTCATCTGAGAGGATATAAAAAATCAGTCACGAACCGGAAGGTTGAAGATTTAAGCTTCAATCACGAGTGTTAATGATGATCTCAGCTCTTTAACTACTTATACGTTATAAATGATTATTTTGTAACTTACATACAATTCATGGTTGAAAATATCTTTTCAAAATCTTTGTAATCTAAGTTTCAATGTTTCAACGACCTTCTCTAGTAAATGCCAAAATCATAATTCTTAAGACTTCGACGACGTCTATAGTACAATTGTTTGACATTAAACATATATAAACCCTTTTTACTGAATATAATGAATAATAATAACCTTGAGTGTTAATTTTGAATGCATGCTGATTTTTATTAGAAGAATACTATTTTTATTTATAAAAATAATATTTTTTAAAATAAATAATATAAAATAATATTAAAAAGTTAAGTTTTTAATATATTAAAACTTGACATGTTTGTGCCCGAAGTACTCCAAAACGGCTTAACCGATTTTATGATATTAGTATATTATTATTTACTATATTACGTAAGGCCTGAGAATAGATCTTTATTTAATTTTATTTTACTCATAGTAGTAGCATCCTCACATACTCTCAAATTAGTTACTTTTTCTACTAAAACACTCATTAGAATTATTTTACTAGTAAGGCAGCGTTTATAAGAAATATTACTTCTGATACAAAATTTTAATTACGAAGGTAAAACATTCGTAAATTAAATTTTGTGACGAATATCACAAACATTTTGTTTATAGAAAAAAATAATACAATTAGAAGTATTTTATATTATATGTATTTTTGAATGAAGACAATGATACTATTTGAATATTGTAATATTCAAATATGTAGTATCTTATTCCTTGTACTTGTACTTAACTAAAAACAATGTTTAGTAGAATTAAATATTACATTGTAATTAAGAAAGGATTCTACTTAAACTTGATATATTTACCGCCATTGTAATGGAAAAAAAAAAATGTCGCAGCTTCATGATTTATATCACATTCCAGAAGGTCAGTATTATGTCCCGAGAGCTTACTACACAATCGACGCGGAGGGTCACGTGTCGGCGCCGGTGCCTCTGCGCAGGTTGCGTCGATCCTTCAACCCGTACCCCTTCGGCGGTGCCAACGCTAACGCAAACGCCGAAGCTAACGCCTGTAAGTATTTAATATTAAATTAATAAGATCAGAAATCCTTTAGGTAACTCGATACTTAAATATGAAACTATTATATATAAAAATATTAATATGCAATGTGGATTTTTAACTAGGTCAGAAGTACGAAACTGTAAAAGATATAGGAAAACTGTCATCGACCATGTGGTTTTTATATAAGAGGTTTCATTCTTTTAATACATAAGCGTAAGTTGTTGCTGCGTGTGAAAATTGTGTATAGAATAAAAAAATCCCAGTATCTTCGACACATCTACTGTTTCGGTACAGTCCAAATTAAAAGAACACACACTGTTTGTATAAGTGCATCTTAATGCGCACTCTCTAGACAAAGATCTAATTGAAAGGAGCCAAAGCTTGATTTATTAAATTCGTAACAGCTAACTCATTAAAGATCTTAAAAGGTACGTGCAAAATCCGTTAAATAAATGTACAGTATATAGTTGTAGTGTATAGTAATAGTACTCTATAATTCAATTATTCGACGACAGTTTTGGATTTAGGTAACTGTTATTAATTGATCCAAAGATCACAATAGTTTTCGTATAAAATTTAAATACTCTATATATTTATGTTGTAATGTAAGTTTACGCAAAGTTAAATAATGATGATTTTTAAACTGTTAAAAGCGTTTAATTTAAATACTTAAACTAAGTCGAACTACTTGCGAAGACACTAAAAGCCTAAACATGTCGCGTATTTGCCCAGTTGCCAACAACCTGTTAGCTAGCTACCGTTATGCAAAAGGTTCCAGTGTTGGAGAATGCTTTCTAAAGAATTGGTTACCATGACTCATTATTTTTTTTCCCGGGGGGGAAGGGGGGGGTTGGGGGGAAAAACAATTTGGGGGGGGGGGGAACCCCCTTTGGGGGGGAACCCCCAAAGGGGGGGGAAAAGGAAAAGCCCCTCGGCAAAATTTTAAGGGGGGAGTGTACTTTACACTACATAGATTTATTAGATTTACAGTAAAGTAAACAACATAGATTTTAAGTTAAAATGGTCATAAGTCTATAGAATATCTCAGTGCGTAATTCCGAATGGAAATACCTTACAAAATTAATTTCTATAAGTAGATTACATTATATTTATTGCATACAACATACACAAACAATGTATACGTAATATTTGTATCGATATACCCACTGAGTGATTCAGCCACAAAACATGGATTTTTTCCGCAAATAAATTCCATGAAATGAATTTCCGTCCATTCAAAAATTTGACGCAGACTTTGTCATCACTTTTTTTTTCAATGCAAATTTTCCGCATCCAATTAACCATTGGATCCATTTCCTGCAACGTGAGTTAGTGTACTTGATTCGTTTCGCTTTGAACATTCAAAAATACATCGTATTTTTTAAAATATATGTTACACAATTAAATAAAAAACATATTTAAAACGCCAAATGTTCTACTTCTACTAGTTGTTTTTATTAATACATTTCTTAAATACTGTCTGTAGTTTACGCGAGTAGTACACATTTAAATAAAACACTTTAACGGTTTGAACGCAATATATTTTAGTTAAACTCGTTTGAAAATTATCTATAACTAGTATTAAAACTTTATCCGTGGTCAAGGGTGAGTCTCCCCGTCACCGTAGCTGCTGCAAAGCATCCGAAACGTCGGGTCGTAGTTAAAAATAATTTTCAAACAAGTTTAACTAAAATATATTGCGGTTTTAAACCGTTAAAGTGTTTTATTTAAATAAATGTCTTGTTTTAATCTGTTAATTTTTAAACTTAAATATGATAATGTTGAGCTACGAGCCCTTAGTACATATAGAACTTCTATTTTTATTGTACTTTTTTTTAATCTTACCCGTAATCTAACCGTATAAAGTGTACACGGTAAACTGTTTTATTTAAAAATCCCTATAGTGTAATTCATGCATTTTTTATTTAGACCATGCATCGATTACCACAAGCTTTACACCGCGCATACCAAATACTGTGCAATAAAATGCATAGACCGCGTCTGGCATGAAAATTTAAATGTCTGTAAATTGCGTTTGAATAACAGTATAATCGAACGTGTGTTCAACGTTATGTACTACTTAATAACGGTACTCGTTCAACCATTAGGTCAATTGTAACTCAAATTACACGCTTCATTTGAATATACTCTATCAACGTCGCAATTATAACTGTATTACTCTCAGAAGCCTCCTTTTGCAAGACACGATGCCTCTCTTAGCTAATTAAACATTAACATTTGTTAAGAGTTTTAAGCGCCTGTTTTAGTCTTTGTGGAATAAACATATTTGATGCACCTGAATAAAATTAAATTATAAGTAATACATAATGAAATACATATGTATAAATTGAAGTACGATGTTATTTCTAGGAGTAGCGAGCACTAGATTTTGTATACGTTCGAACACTTTTATATATAATTTAAAAATCGAAAGTAAATTGAATAAATTTTCGACTCGGGCAGGACTTGACCGGCGCTGGCTACCGAGTCCTACACTTCATCGTCAATTTTTTTAAACTGATAGATACATGCACCTCTCGCGCAATTATAACCTTAACCTTTGCGGTTCAAGTCCTGCCCGAGTCAAAATTGTTTTCAATTTATTTTTGATTTTAACATTATTATTTCCTCAAACGTTTCTTGGACAGAATAAATCGTTTCATATACACAGCCAAACGAATGAACAAAGCACAAAAAAACGTGAAATACCGTTTCTCCTCGTGGGACCTGGGCGAACACATTTTAGTCTTTTACAGGCAAGTAGTTGATCAGACTTCTGTGCCTTGCCCGGCTGCAACAATCTATTGTTTCAAGAGTACTCGAACCCAGGAACTCTAGCGTTTAACGCAATACTAGGCAACACGTTTAATTGCTTGGCTACAGAGGCGGTGTTCAATATGTTAAACTTATTTGAAAATAATTTTTAACTTCGGCCGTACGGAGTCTCCCCGTGACCACGGCTGCTGCAAAGCATCCGAAACGTCGGGCCGAAGTTAAAAATCATTTTCAAATAAGTTTAACTAATATATCGCGTTTTAAACAGTTAAAGTGTTTTATTTAAATGTTTACTACTCGCGTAAAGTATAGACAGTATTTAAGGTTTTATACAAATAGTAAATTGTAACTCTTCCTATTTTCAGGGGGCGGCGGAGGCGCTAGTGCAAATGCGAACGCACGCGCAAGCGCTGGAGGTTGGGCCTTACCAATTGGCGGATATGGCGCTGGCAACCCCAACGCACTTAGGTATAAACAACTTTAATAATAATTATAGTATTACGATTTATTCCGTAAGCCTAGAGGCATAAAAAGAGATATCACTTATATGCAAATCAATAAATCTGAGATGTTATTTACTTACCAATATCAACATTGTGTTGTACTTACATTGTTGTGCAATAGCGCGAGAAAACATTCTAAAGCTTTTGCTGTAGACAGTCAAATGAATGTAAGTAAGTCTATTTTGGATAATATGTAATTACTAAATTATTTTTCCTCGTATAACACTGAAAGTTTGAAAACCTGCCCTGTTCTGGAACATCACTTTTGTATCGGTGACATTTGATTCCAACTTGAGTGTTGCTGCAGTGAGTCATAAGGGAGTTAACTTATTTTTGTTTGTTTTAGACACTAACTGAACAATCAGCGCGCGACATTGTGCATCTAACAACTTGGTGTCGGCTCATTCATCCAATCAACGTGAATTTTCCATCAGTTGCACGTCACGCTGAACGTGCAAACACCGTGTAACTGCCGGAAGATGCCTTTTCTTTATACAATATGTTCTAATTTATGCCTCAATAAAAATAAATATATTCTATGCGTGTTTTAAAATGCTGTCTGGCGAAAGTTAGTTAAAGCCTACTAAATAAATTTGCTGTCTGAACGTTACGTAAATGGAGCGTTTAAATAAAACATTTTTTTACCGTTTCAAACGCGAAATATATAAGTTAACTTCCCCTGTGTTCACGGCTGCTACAAAGCGGTCAAACTCGGATCGAAAAACAATATATATATTTCGCGTTGGAAGCCGTTAAAAGTGTTTTACTTAGATCATGTAAGTTATTTAAAGAAATAGTAGTTGGAGTTCCACTAAATTTTATATCTTGCTATAGCTAAGTATTTATATATTTGGTCATCTAAGAAATTAACAAGTGAGTTCGGAAATTGAAATCATAGCTACTTACTTTACACCTAAATGTTTGGTTTTAAAATATTGCTCAGCAATATGTAAAAGGCGATAATAATTACACTTAATGTTATCTTAGGGAAATCGATTTTATATTGTAACAAATCTGCTGAAATCATTGCAAGTATTCCAGTTTTTTGTAATCGTAGTTCTTATACGAGTAGTTCAATCTCTACACTTGCTTTTACATTTCAGCAGTGGCCAAACCCGTCGACAATCTGGTCCCATTTACGGAAGTAATTCAGTCAGTGCTGGCTCTTCCGTCGGGATAGATTCTACTGGACGAGGATATTACGACCAATACACTTCCGTTGGCAAATAGGATAAAAACAAGCAACTCTTACTTACAATATTTTTATATTAACAAAGGATGAATGGCCACACAGGTTTAGGTAGTTTAATAAAATACTTCTTTCAGTTTCTCTTTTATTGAAATACCTAAATGCGATTTATTAATACTGCTTACATTGGCACTACAATAGACCTATAGTAATTGCAGAAATCTACTGAAACACAGTAGTTCTTGATAACTATACAAAATGAGGTACATTATAATCTTATTTAGGTCAAACGGAATACGGTGTTAAGGCGAATGAATGCTTTTAAATTGGAGTTTACAATATCCTACATTCCTACACTTATAAAATAATTTTGTTAATGGTTAGGTAGTTCTAGGCGATTTAGTGGCTTGTTGTATCTGTATCCCGGGACTGGTTCCGGTAAAGGCTGTGGCACCGGCTGGGGTTGTATAGCAGGTACGTCAGGGGGGGTAATTATAACGGCGTCATCAGTGATAGCGAAATCGCGACCAGCAGGATAGAACTGAGGAACGCTCTGTGCATAGAATTGTGGCGAAACCCTATTCGGTGGTCCATATACGGGAGAAAGGTTCGGCACGTATTGTGGTGGCGCTTCGATCCTTCCAAACTTGTTTCTGAGGAACGGAAACTTGTTGGTTATCGTTGTCCACCAGTCGTTGCCCCCGACTTGGTTGCTGCCCCCGTTGCCCCAAAACAGTTTTTGTGAAGGCTCCACCAAGAAATTGGGGCTAACTTCCACGCTGTAGGGATCATCTGGACCGATGTTGTAGGGGAGTTGCCGTTGCACGTAATAGGCGACGGCGTTGCCTGAAACAAAGAGTTAATTAGACACACACTATTTCACTATTGAATGCTTTATGTATATGTATTGTAAAAGTAGAATATTCCATTTTCTATATAAGCACGGAGTAGACACATTTTAGTGTCCGGTTCACAGATCAATCTTATGTCATGGCAAGTTGTAGATAAGATTTATATGTCCAATCCAACTAAAACTACACATTGTTTTTCTAAGGGCCGATCCTAGGACCTCTCTCGCTTAACGAAAAGCTAGACGACGCGTCCAACAGTGAGTCACTGTCAATGTCAACGGCACTAGACCAGTAAAAAGTATTTAAAAAAAACGCACCCGCAACGAAGCAGATTAAAAAAGCGATGGGTGCATTCATTTTCGTGTGGCTCACTAAAGCGCAACTGCGTATCAATGTGTCTCGTCTTTACCTTTATACCACCACTATTTGCTCCCAAAAGAAGACCTTGAAGAAAAATTCTCGTAACCCAATATTGAAAGTATGAGGTAATTCATGGCACTGGCTCACCCAGCGGCGGATGGCATGGCGTGGACAATAGGCGCGACATCTAGGTGACTCGTGTCTCGCTTACACAGGCTGTTCCGTAAACAGCCTTTTCGACAGCATTATGAAGTACGCAGAGTACGTAACGAAACAAAAGGAACATATTTTTACATACATTATACGTTTTCTGACCATTTATCGAGTGTGCGAAATTATAGTTGCGCAAGACGTAAGTAGTCATTTTCAATAAATAATGTGATTAAACACACCCACTTCATTGTAAAGGATAATGTTTAAGTATTAAACACACGTTAACGCGGAATAATAATGAATCGGTACAGAATTGGATGTTTTCTGTTGGAAGTCTTAAAAATTATACGTGAAGATTATTCGCAGTCTATAGTTATAAAAAAATCATTATTATAGATGTAGTGACACAAGTACAATAAAAATCGAAATTTTTAGAAAAAAATATACCATTACTTCATCTATAAGCTTATAATCTGTTTAAAGCCAAGGCCAATTTTATCGCGGATCAAAAATGTGTCGTCCGCCATATTGTTTTAAAGTACACTTCAGCGCTTGAAGATCTATTTCAAGTTGAAAAAAAATATACAAAATTATATATATTTTTTGAATTATACACCCTATAAACGACAGCGTTTTGTGAAAAATGCACTTGTAAGCGTCCGTGCGTGTTTACCTAACATAATCGGCATTATTCACGAGATAACAAGTATTTGTCTTCGATAGTTGACACAGTATTGTCGTTCGCAGCACAGAAGCGTTTGCAAAACATTGCTCAATGGCAGAGCTTCGCGTTGTGCGTACTCTTGACATAAAACATAGAGTTATTGAAAATGGATAGAGCTGTTGATGCGTCAGTTGTGGGTTCAAATCCTGCGTAAACAATATTAGAAACAGAAGACTCTGATCTCTTTAGACTCCTCCTTTACATTACTTCCAAATAAAAGATTAGTAAGAAAGATAAACGAATATGTCTGCCCCATGGGACATCGCTATATCTGTTCAATGGCTGATAATTAACGGGTCGTGGGTTCGATTTCTGCCAGGTGCAACATGTAATATAATCAAATAAATATATATATTTTTACTATCTAGACTACATTTGTTCATTGAATGAAACGAATTTCCGACCAGTTTTATCTGTGGATTTCTATCCACAGACTAAAACTGTCCGAAACCAAAACAGATAAACAGTGTACTTATTTTATGTACTAGAAGTGTCAGCGACTCCGTCCGGAGGGATTGTTATTTAGGGCCTCAAAATTCATTTTTGCAATCCCTTCATCTTTATAAAGTTACGCCTGCCAACTCACGACATCGGTCGCGTCCCTTTCCGTCGTTCTTGCAAATTAATCTTAAAAAGTATAAAGACATATAGCATCGCGGACTTTTGTTTAGATCATTTAAAGAGGAATCACTCTTTCGTACACAGCCTTTTTTTGGTATCTTAAACCCTTTTTGCAGCGTACGCCTATAAACTTCCTCAACAAATGCTCTAGCCAACACAAAAATAATTTTTCCAATTCGAACCAGTAGTTTCTGAGATTTGCGCGTTCAAACATAGAAACAAACTCTTCAGCTTATATATTAGTATAGATTATCCTTTGCCTTCCATCAAGTGAACATCATGTTTGTTCGTCCTTTTCTGCTATAAAAAGTAAATTTAATGTTTTTTTTATATACTATTTTTTTTTTTTATTATTAGTCATTAGGAGTTGTCTATTTGTCCAAGATATTATGTGTCATTCGTTATATCTGGAAATTGAAACAAAAACACTTTCAAGAAAACCAAGCCCTGGCTTTGTTTATACAATGATAAGTGATAAGATAGGCCAAACATATTATTCACCAGAAATAATGTCCCACTTATCATATTTTTGTAGAATAGACCAGTATGTGAAAGTGCGTTAATAGGGCCAGTGTCTATCGCTGCAGGTTTGAATAATTGTGATGGAAAAAAAAAACAAATTGATAATACCTACATTTTATTTTTATAAGAGTCGTTTGAAAGTCCTAAGTTCTAAATTTAAATTCAAGATAACTTAGAAGATAATTTAGAACGAGTATAAAATTAATAGTTATAAAATTAGTCTTATTGCACATCCGTTACTTGCCAGCCCATAGCCTAAAAACTCCCTGACCTCAATGGGCAGGGTCTATCATTGTCTTTTGTACTCTGTATAAGTTTTTAAAAGGATATAATATGCTATATTTCTCTTCTAGTAATGTATACGTCTAATCTCGTTTTATCTTGTTATCACCGGACCTAGCTTAAAGTTCATCAACTTATTTATAGTGTCACGCAATTTTTGTTACTAGGTCAATCCACTTGTTATTGTAATGCTGCGTGCTCTTTGACATTGACAAAGCTCTACTATTCAAAGAAATTACATAAGACAAATATTCAATCAGTTAATATTAATTTTAATTTTTAAGACAAAACATGATTCGATTTGCAGCTGTAAGCATACAAATAAATAAAAAAAGTGAAAGCCCTTATCATCTGTGGAGTATGTGGTGAACATATATCTGTGTCCGTTTCATTAATTGACTTTTTTTTTACAGGAAATTACCTGGTCAGACTTCCGTAGCGCGCCGAGAACCCAGGACCTCTAATGTTTAAACAAGTAGAAGACGTGCTCTCGTTGAATTCTTTTGTATACAAAGTAAACATCACTCGTTTCGCTTCGCTTACATAATTAAAGATTTGGATTCATTATAGAGAAATAGTTTATCACTGGCAGAAAACTTTACTATTTTTGACATGTTATTGCAAATGATATCATTATATTAAAAATCTATTAAGATTGAAAAAAAATATGAAACGGTAGCTGAATTAGATATAGATGCCAGTTCGTGTTCCATCTGTTTCGTAAATTGTTAAATCTAGACCGATTGTTTATTTATCAATAAATGTACAGACTATATGTTGTATCGCACAAATCACAAAAATTCCAAATGATACACGTCTTCAACATTTTTTCCTTAAAAAATAGTTAAAAATTTATTTTGTAAATATGGTAAAACCACATATAGGTAAACCAATAATGCATTAATAAAAAAATATATTAAATTGATGAATAAAGTAAAACTTACCATGGGTATTAAAGGACGCTGCACTGCCACCCATTTTTCTTCTCCATTACTAAATCCTCGATAAAACTTATCGCTTGACCTCTAGATTTTTTATATAAGTAGCTGTAACTGTGTTGTTAAAAATAATGAGCAGGTAATCGCCGCCTATTAAACAATGCCGTATTTATTTCGGTCAATATATTTCGTAAAGATATTTAACCTGTAAGGCATGTGAGCCGGTACGCAAGAAGAAATCAATCACGAGCCATAAATAAGCTAAGAGAAACGCGGATTGGGCGATGGCATTTACAAACTTATAAATGTAATTTTATTTCACAAACGTTTAAAGTTATACCAATATTATGAAATCAGTAGGAATACATCCGCTTTTTGGCTTTCTGTTCTCGCTTCTTCATATATAGTGCCTTCATGTGAATGTGGAAGTTAATTTGTCAAACTAAATGGAATGTGATTTCATATACAGTATACCAATTTTATGAATCTCGGAATACATCCTTTGGTTTCTGTCTCGCTTTTTGTTGTGCGTGTAATTTCTGTATGTCTCGGTAAGACGGCCTATTCTTACTGAGACACACAGAAATCCACAGACTGATACAGAAACGCGATTAAACTTCACGGCTTCTTCATATCCAGATTTTAGATTCAGACGAAGTTTGACATAAAATAAAATAAAGTAAATTATCATTTAACCTATTAAAACTCAACAGCTGGACTGGTTTTAAAAAACTTAACGACAACCGGGACTGACATCTCGTGGTGCGGGAAACTTTCTTAAGAGATTCCAAATACCGAAGTAACGTTTTGTCCCAGGCTTCGAACCCGAGACCTCGTGCGCTGCAGACAAGTGCAGTAACCACTGGACCAATAAGGAATTTTACTAGTCATAATCACGTAGGTGGAATTACATCAACCGATAATGAATTATTAATGTGGCGACTAAACATAACATGACAATCGTGAACAATGGAGGATTCTCCATGATCATATCAACAGGTACAAACAATCTAGTGATTTATGTGATTATTTAATTATCTTTTACGTGTGTCCCGCGATGTGTTAGGGTAATTGTATTAAATTACACTTAATCGACTTGTAACATTTAATTTAAATACTGTCTGTTGTTTACGCGAGTAGTACACGTTTAAATAGTAAACGCTTTAACAGTTTCAAACGCGTTTATTAAACTTCGTAAACTAATACTACATCGCGTTTTGAACCATTATTTTTTTACATTTAACTTGATGCTTAACTTAAATCTATTGCATCATGAATGCGACGTTTATCAAGTAGGTGCCATTACACAGTAAATAGCAATTAAGTAAAACAAAGTCGTGGGTATCAGCTATTAAACGCTCTCATCCATGACAGGTGAGATCAGTTCCCAGAAGGGGACATATAGATAATAATGGCATCAAACAAAACAGGAGTTAAAAAAAAACAAAGCGTTACATACGAATGAAGTATTGGATTAACTTACATATTAAATTAACTTTCAATAGTAATTACAACTTCACAACAACGTAACAACAATCTTCTCTTAAATTATAACTCTGTTATTTATAGCCTCATTGTATTGCTTAGTAATGTAGTTAGTGTCACTAATTCATTGGATTTTATCTGTCATGGCAGGATGTGTGTAAATACATTCATAAACTTTCTAATTTCGTATCGAAATTATTGGCTGAAGCCTTCACAGCTATAGGAATAGAGTCATTTTTAAGTTATCCCGCTTGTGAATAGAGTAAAAACAATCTAGAAGGTTAAGTATCACCCCACTGTACCCTGTTATTGCTTTCAAATTAAGTGTTGTATTTTTGGTTAAACAAAGTTATAGTATAATCACCAAAAACAATTTTGACGGTTTAAAACGCGAAATATAACAATAATACAAGATAACTTATTCCCAATAACCGGTTGCAAAGCTTCTGAAATTTTAGGTTATATTAAAAAATACTTAAGTTAAATAATATAGTACGTGTTCGAAAAAGTTAAAAGTCTTATAGTTAATGTATACCACTCTAATAAGGCGAAGGAAGCTAGACAAACGAGTTCACATGATGGAAGGCGAAATACTCCAAACATAGAACCATTTTGGAAATTAACTGACTAAAACCAAATGCGATTAAACTCCGCGGTTCATGACCTGAAGGGAATGTAACTACCAATTAATATCCAGAACGTCCAGACCAAGTCTAAACATATTAATGTATTAGGAAAAATTAGACACACATTGACCCCGATGGGAACCGACGAGTCGTTGTATATTAATTTATTAACGATACATTGAAACAAAGTAAAGACAAGTTTTGTAGTCTTTATCTCAATTGGCACATTATATTATTACCAGTGACATTGAGTGGTGAGTCCTCGCAGAACGCGGATACAATCTGAATCAGACGCGAGACGGATGTGAGATCACATTGGGAACATAAATAACATTGTTAGATGGGCTTACAATACTGAGCGAAGCTGTAAAATAAGTACATTGTAATACTTAGCACAGTTTGGCGTACTGCCTGTGTCTTGTTGTACATATTTCTAGTTTTTTTTTTAATTTAGAGGAGCACAGACAAGTACGGGCTTCTCTTGATGGAGGTAATAGCCCAGCCATCTAAACAAGATGCGCTATCGGCCTATTTTGGCTTTGGATAGTCGGTTACAATAATAGATCGACGAGGCCTTTTTTAATTAAGGTAGCGAATCCTATCTTTGTCTCTATTCTATCTAAACAAATACAGTAAATCATTATTTTAATTATAATATTTACGAAAAATAAATGAAATATATTCCTTAATGCCCTTTAATTGTTTCTGTGTCTTAGCGAATATCTTATGGGTTGAATCCATTGCTTCATACATGACAAAAAGTAAGGCGATGTTTTTAAATGAAACAAAAGTTAACATGATTAAAATATATTAGTAAACATGCATAATTTACTTTTTTTAATACTAGCTCACATAATATCACAAGAACTGCAAATTCGTAGATGTCGTACCGTTCGTTTAGGCTGCATGGTACAGTGCGTTTATTTATACAAAGTGTCGACTTCCATTTAAATCGATAAGAAACATCTTTTGGATTCAGTCTTTTATCTCCATGCGTATCCTGCGAAAAAGAATATTTTATTTTATATTTCCCAAACTATATAAGTATGAAAATTAGAATGTATGTATGTCTAATGTACAAAATAATATAATCATAAAAAATTGTTTAAACATAAAATACAAGAGATATAAAACTTTGTTTAAGCTAACACCGTTAAACGGTTGAAAAAATGAAAAATATATTAATTTATTAAAAAAAATTCACTGCGGCCCAACGTTTTGCTTTTCACGTTTTAACCCGTAAAACGTGTTTTTTTAAAGTGTGCTATTCGCGTAAACTACAGACAATACTTAGTACAAACCTCCTTTAACTGAAGCCCCAGCAGAGGCATGTGCGCTGGCTGTGGCTACACTCCTTCCTTGTGCGTAACCACTAGCAACGCTCTTAGCTGACGCTGCAGCATTGGCTAAGTTTGAACCTTCTGTATTAGAGGCAGCGTTCCCTAAAGAACTACTATGGCCTACGTCCTGACCAGAACCGGAGGAGCAAGCAGAGCATCCTCCTGTGCCATAGCTACCTGCCGTTGCCGACGCAGAAGCCATTGCATTTGCCTGAGCGCCACTAGTAATGCCTCCAAAGTTATGAGGTTGGCCATTATTGTTATAATTATTTTGAGCAATACCTAAATCCTTTCTTTGTCCATTTGTATCAAGTTTTCCTTGATCAAAAGGTTTTAATAGCCCAGGTGGACCACCAAAACTTCCTGAATACGACACAGCCTTGGCATCAGCGATAGCTGCCGCATTCGATACAGCGTGCCCTGCAGCGGCTCCCAATTGATTCGAATTTGGACCACATGTACCAGATGGACAGGGAGATTTTGGTGAGTTATGAGGAATCGTGAATTCATTAGGCTTCAATAATCCCGCGGGGCCACCAAATCCGCCAGTGTATTGCGGTTTGTGATCATTTTTATCATCATGTTGTTTAACTGGCGTAACGGGTTTTAAATTGTTATTGCTGAGAGGTTTCTCGCCGATGCCAACAGGGACGTGGTGCGATAAGTTCGGCAAAGATAGATGAGGGCTGGGAGTCGAAGGATTAGGTACAGATTGCAGATGTGGTGCATCATGATGGCCATTATCATGAGAAGGATTAAGAAATATGCCGTCAACACCCGGTTTATTCTTGTTATTGGTTGTAAGAATGCCAGTAGGACCATTAAATCCACCTGTATAGATTTGATTTCCTTTATTTGATAGTAATACTTCTGAATCTGATTCTGAAGGCTGATTTAATACAATACTACCAGGCTTTAATATAGGACCGCTGTGACCGGGAGCAGTAACGTGTTCGGTGGGATAACAATTTGGTGAAGTACAACCGGCTGAATTACCTGGACTAGCAAAATTGTTGTTCGTAGTAACAGGTGGGTGATATGGCTTTGGTACACCGGGTAAGACATTTGGTTTGGTCGAATCGAGGCTATTGGAGGGTTTTAAGCATTTACCAAAACTACAAGGATAATAGTTTTGACCGATTTGAGTATTGTCTGTATTCACAGGATTTTCAGTAGGATATTTACAATTTCCAGAATTGCAACTTGGTCCACCTATGGGACTAGATGGGCCATCGGTTTTTCTATTAGGTTGATATTGGATTGGGTTGAAATCTGATTCAAGTGGTGATTGGTAATGTGGTTTATTATGAACACCTGGCGGACCACTGTGCTGATGCAATGGATAAATGTTGGCACCCGGTACACTACCAGTAGGATAAGAAGGATGCGGGTTGGAATGCAATGGCTGATTTGGCATTACGTTAGGTCCTGGAAAAATGCCACTTGGTTGAAAAGAAGGTATATTTCCGGCTGGTTGTTTAGATTGATAAGACGGATTGATTTCATAATCGGCTGGTTTTTGCGGATTGTTATGTTGATTTTCCCTATTTGGTTGATAGGGACCTTCAAAATTAGAGGGTACCGAGGGGTTAGTTTGAAAGCCCGGGGCTTTGCTGGAATAATGAGGACTTGCACCAGCAACTGCTCTGTCATAAGGCTCTTGAGTAACTTGTAGTTTAGGTCCAGTTGGTTGAGAGGTAATATAAGACCCTTCGGAAGGAAACTTTTGGTAAGAAGGATTTTTATCGGGAACGGGTGTAGGTTGAGGTGGGTTGTTGAAATTTTCAGGGCCATTAGGATTATAAGAAGGATTTAAACCAATACTAGGAGGCCCGCTAGGTTGATAACTCAGTTGTATCCCATCTGTGTGAATATTTACATCATTTTTAGCAGGCACTACGGGTTTTACTTGATGGTTCGGGGGAGTTGAACAATCTTTTGTATTGCATGGTATAGGACCAGATTGCTCTGTGGGAACTTGAAGGGTATGCGACGGCTGATGTACATTTTGATTACTAGGGAAGTTATTACTTGATTCTTGGCAATTTCCGAATTCACAGGTTTTTGCCACATTGATGTTTGGTTGGTGTTGATTTCCTAATATTGGAACATTGTAACTTGTAGGTAATTTGCCGTTAGAGTCTGAATTGCAATCGTGTGTAGCACAAGCTTGTTCCTGAATTGATGCTTTTTTATCAGGCTGGTTATTAATAAAATTATTATAATTCCTTCCTGGGGTAAGTGGCACGACAGACTCACAATTTGGTGAATTACAGTCATTTGTATTTTCACTGTCTATTTTCGTATCAGAACGTTCACTACTGGACTTTTCTGAGTTAGATTTTGGCTTATTATCGTTATATGGTCTTGCATTTAATTCTGGACTAGAGAAATGCGGTTTGTTTACGGTGCCTACAGCGAAATCGTTCGATTCATTTTCAGATTCTGCCATAGAGCTACCAGATGAAGTAGCGTCATTATTATTTCCATTTCCTGCTGCATTACATTTTCCTGAGCTACATTTACTATCAGAAGTACCGTAGCAACTCGAATCTTTACATGGCGCGTTGCTAGGAGCAGCAAATGCACCAGATCCGGCTACTGCTGACGCACCGGCGTAATTATTCACATGGCTTCCAATATTCTGATTTAATCCTTGACCATTCAAACCATTATCAGTTTTTCCACCATGTTGACATCCACCACTACAACCAGGTCCTTCGAAACCATGCCCAAAACCTGGTACAACATTCGTTCCTGATCCACTATAGCTGAAAGAGCTTGAACTTGAACTAGCGCTCGAAGATGCATAGCTAGATGAAGAGGACTTAGAAAAGCTTCCTGAATAGCCTCCGCTGCCAGGTACAGCAAGTGGAATCACAGGAAGTCCAAAATCACCAGCACCTGCGCTTGCTTCAGCTGAAATTATAAATTAGGTTTATTAGAACCAATTATTTAAATATTTTTTTCAGTAGCTATAATTTAACCGGTTGCAACTAACAAGACTTTATCCTGACAATCATACAATTAAAAAATATAAAAATTATATATGATACGATAGATTTAATGGTTTAAGTAATAAGTAGTATTCAAAAAATTTAAATACTTATGTATTAGAAGCTTTCAGCTTACTGAAATGGAAAATCTAACAACACATGTATTTGTAGCCAAAATTTAAGTGTCCTAGAGTTTCAAGGATGTGGCATACGGAATAGAAACATAGTACGTATACAAAATAACATATCTCTCTGATAAATTAATTGTTCAAAATATTAACAGCATTATTAATTATGTTTAATTATTTCGATCAGTAATTTCCAAAGTGGTCTATATCGACCCCTAGGGGTCTATGGTAACCTGCTAAGGGGTCTACGTCAGCGAAAAAAAATTTAGGGGTCCACGATATTGGATCTCAACACGTACACTGATAATACCTATATACTTACGTCATCCTATCTTATAATAACAACATATACAGTATTTATAAAAGTGCCTATGAAGTAAAAAAATATTATATATGTTTTTAAAATTGTGTAAGTTAAAAAGTTTAAAAGTGTGTATACCATATTTCACTACAGTAAGAAATTTACAGGCAATCAATATCAAGTAAGTAGGGAGTCTACCCAACACGTAAAAACATACAAGGTGGCTATGACACAAAAAAGTTTGGGAAACTCTGATTTAAATTAACAAAAACTCATACAGTAATAATAATAAAGTTCGTCATTAAAAATAGTAAATAATTAATGGATAATAATTTCAAGGTACAAACTATGAATCCAATTAAAACGTTTATAATTACAAATCCGACGTGTTTAAAGATGTGATTGTTTTCTGTACCAAAAATTGTCACATTTGGCATAAAAGTAAATTTATATATATATATTATATATATATATAAAGCAAATGGGGTTGTTTGAATGCGCTAATCCCATGAACTACTGGTTCTAATTTAAAAAAAATATTTTGTGTTGGGTAGACCGTTTCTTAAAGAAGGTTTTAGACTAAATAACATCATGCTGCGAACAATACGAGCGAAGTTACGGAAGATAAAACGGGGACAATTATTAACCTTTGAGGGCTTCCATTGCGCACACGATTCAAGAATGAAAAATAAACGTATGAAATATACTTATGTCTTTTAAAGTTAGCTTGAAAGAGCCGTTTTAATAAAAACAATTGTTCAAAATTAATACAATCTTATCAATTATTTGTTAGAGTTGTATGAAAGTAAATAATATTGCAAATAACAAAACAACGGTTGACAGATCAGCTAGTACGGCTTATATTTGTCTTTATTATTGCAAAAACCAGCTAAGAGCAATCCGAACTGGTGTACAAAGGTTTCCGTCCTATTGATTATGTAAACACCAGTGGGTGTAACTCAGTGCAAAAAAACATCGCGTTTGTTGTATGGAAGTCGTATTTAAAAAAATATTTACTTTGGTATGTATCGTTTTAGCACTTTAGAAATTAAAAACTTTGTTTTGGCTATAAGGTTAATACAACACTACTTTAGTCTACATTAATGTGAGAGAAATGAACTCATCAATCATTAATAAATATTATACATATTTATTAGGAATGTATATATTCATTAATTTATTTTTTATTTACGGGATGTCAATTTGTTTATGTATCATAGAGAAGGACAGACATATAGCATCTCACTAGATGCACTGTCAACCTATTATGACATAGGATATTCAGAAACCACAGATCGAAATATGATTAAACTTCCGTCTTTTTCATATGTCATCGATGGTTCGTGACCCGGACGGAATTAAGATATTTCTACTTCCCATTTAATATCTAATTTTCCTAATAGAATCCAACATGTTTAGGAAAATTTTTTATTATTCAAATTATAAATGTGGGGATCGAAACCGAACCACGACCCGCAAATTATGAACCAGGAAAACATAACTATGTAACTAATTAAAAACCATTTTCCGTAAAAAAATTGTATGTACACAAATAAGTTACTGTACCTTTAGCCACCGCACCACTCCTCGCGCCGTACCCGTAAGGGGATGCAGACGCGAAGCTCCAAAGGGTGAGCACTATGAGACCAGCGAGCTCCATCGCAACGAAGCTTTAGCTGAACAATGTACGTTATTATGACGCCGTCAGGCTTTATAAAGCGATACACAAATAGAATCATAGGTATGACAAAAACCTGTTGGCGTTTACTGCGAATTTGAACTGTGATGTGGTGTGTGGCGGTCTGATTCGCATGTTTAGGTATTTGTAAAAAAACTCGCCCCGGCTCGCATGCTAATAGGTCCGAAATTTATTGCTCACACGCATCGAGATTTTCCCAGATCCCCTGACGATTATGTGCTATTGCACTTTGCAGCGTCATAGATACAACTGCCTCGGTGGATCTTGGCTCTCAAAACTCTACGAAATGTACAAAATTAATAACAGTAGCTGAAAGTTAACTCGGATTAAAAGTATGTGTTGATTAAGACCTTATTAAAAAAGTGAAATCCCGTGCTCTCTATGGCTTCACATTTACTAGTTTAAAACTATTTTTTAGGTTTCCTGGGATTCGACCTCACGACTTCATTCGGTTAACGTATGGTTAGGCGCACACAGATCACAAAATTGACAGTTATTTATAAACATGTTTATTTTTCAGCTAACAATGTTTTAAAATACCTTTTGAATCCATTCAGATTCAATATATACACATTAGAATATATACCTACTTATGTATGTGCCAATGTATTGACCGATTTCCTATAAAGCGTGACGGTTATGGAATAACGCGATGGCTTAGCCGTCTGTTAAAAGTATTAAAAAGATCAAAATCGATGATGCGAGTGGAAATCAAACCTACATCACTACGCAAGTGTAAAAATTAAATTGCGAAAGATATTCTAGGGGGTGGAACAAAGTTGATGAAAATTTAAATAAAACACTTTAACGGTTTAAAACGTTAAACTTATTTGAAACTGATTTTTAACTTCGACCCGACGTGATGCTTTGCAGCAGCCGTGGTCACGTAAACTATAGACAGTATTTAATGTCGATGAAAGTTAGGGGGAGAAGTAGCTCAGTTGATAAGAGCCACAGTACAGAACACGCGCCGTGGATCCGAAATTTTTAGTCAAATTATTATTTTTTATTTATATAACTTTTATTTATAATGACACGTGAAAATATAATGTTTCAAGTAATAACACACTATAAGACACTATTTAGAAACGGTTTTCCTGAAAAACGAACTATGGAATTTTAGCTGAAGTACCCTCACAGTATAGTTATAATCAGCAAGTTTAATTTCAGGGTATACAACTTTTTTCTGATCGATTTCAAGATAACTCAGATATGCATTGCATTCTTCTTTCTATATTCGTACGTAACTTATAATAAATATCATGTTCTAAACCATTTACATCCACAGTCGAGAGCCATGACCTTTTACCACCTGGATCGGACGTATAACCCAGCCCATTATGTCACTCAGTAAAAGAAACAACAAATCTATATAGAGTACCTTTCAAGGCAATAAAATAAGCCGGGTAGCAAGCTGAGATCTGGAAAAATTAATTAACAAAAATAACTAAGAATGGACATACTTACTTTATAATATATTTGCCAATTTCCATTAAGAAGACGTAATAAATATCGTTGGGTAAAAATCGTGAAACCGCAGAATAAATACTACATAGAACAAACACTTTTAATCAGAATTATTGCCTTGTTTGTGCAATAAACACAAAGGGTTTTAATTTCTCAAAATAGAAGCTAAGAAAGAAGAAATTTTATGACTTTATAATCCTATGTACAATAAAACTACCAAGTTCGAGTCGGCGCAAGTTGCAACTATTTGTTAATTGGGAGTCACCAAAATATTGATTATCTTATGTCCTTAACCTTATTAACAAATTCTCCGTCGATTTATAAAATGGCTCAAAATCTATGATCTGTGCTACTCTCTTTAGATTTCGGAGCCCTAATTTATACATACTTTGTCCCAGCGCATATGAATTTCCGTGGTACAGTCGCAGGTGCCAGCCCTAGCCCTATGACGTCATAACACGAGATGCGTTACTTACATCCGGGATGAACACATGTCTCTACATTCCGAACTATATTTGTAGTTCATATACTTAAACGGCACAGAATTACCCATCTTACTGGAGCAATAACAATAAATAATAACTGCTCGGATCGGCACTTATATATAATGGCCATGATTAGGTAATGCGTGTGAGGGCCATAATTTATCAAGCTTTTAGCTCAATATTACCTTAATACTTAGTGCCATCCTGTATCGGACATGTTATATTATATTTAGGTGTTTAATTTTCTGGGCCACAGTTTACACCGATAGAGACATATCTCTATATACCCTTTTTGTACGCCGAAATTATAAAACGTTTTCCTGTGTATTTTTTTAATAACGCATATTTTAGTATTAAAAGATTCGTTGAGAAAAATTATTGGAACTTACACTGAAACTTACTAGAACAAGAACTGGCTGTAGAGTAGAAAATTGCGAATAGACATGAGAAGGCTTTAACGATAACGAGTGTGTACTGAATAAATAATTATTATAAGCACATAGCTGGTAGTGGTATCATGAATTTGGTTTAAATTTGAAGCATAGGTAGCGTCACCCCTAGCTCCTAGTCCTAGCTGTCGGAGCCTATCACACCGCACTGGAGCCATATGATTCCCAGCGTTGGGAAAATCCTCACGCACGCGTAAAATCCCAGGCAACGCAAGGGAAGTCGAGATACAAATTTATCATTTAATATCTACTTACCAAATACAAACGTAATGTTATTAATACATTTGGATTTTCCCCAATACCTCGACGACCAGTTCGCAGAACAATACAAGGTTCAATAATATTAATGAACAATAGAAAGGTTTCGATTGTGAATAAGTTTAGATATTAAACCGGTGAGATAACAATGTATGATGTCAGATAATTCCAGCAGATTTAATAATTACAGGTTTTAAATACATTTTCGTGAATTAAATTTGTGTCGGACTACATGAAGATTGCAAGACGACTTTTTTATATCCAAAACGCTTGTGTAATAATTGTAGTACATTGACTTAAGTGTTATGTCGTTACGATATTGATTATATTATACTCAGCTTCATGAATCGAGCATTTTCGTCGGTCCTTTTGACTGCAAATATCGAGCATAATGCTCGCAACCAACGTGTACGTTTAGAACAGGACGCGAGCATGCTCGCTGCGAATGTTCGATTACACCGCGAACATTTGGTCGGTACCCACCTTTACGCTAGACATACAAAATTGCAAGTTCGTTGACTGATGAAAAAGTAGCTATAATCATATTTTTTTTAATTAATTTGTTAGCTTTCAACTTCTAATAGCCTATTGTGTGCACCTTAAAAGTATTCAAGCCAATGTATTTTTTACAACTAAACTGGGTTTTGGGCCAAATGTAATTCATGATCAGTAACGAAGATGATAAAATCCCAAATTATTAACTCTGGTAGTAATAAATTAGTGTTAAAGGGCAAGTGCGTTCTGAGGTCAAAAACCGGTATGGTTTTTGAGGAAAAATGGAAAAAAATGTACTTGTACCCAATACTGGTATACGTATCTTAACTTTTGTATGTTTATTTAGATTTTTAGTATAATTTATAATTAGCCCATACCTTTTCTCCTGATTTGCTTTATTAGACTGCATTCTTGTAGGTGTGTATAATTGTGTAGGTAAATATCAAACCCCGATAAGTCACACCCATAGTCGAAACTGAACTATGAATGGCCTAAATTTGAAATTTACTTGTTTTTATGATACTTTATTCCAAATCACGGTAAGTCCCCAAAACTCCTAAAACGAAGGTTAAAATCGACGATTTATTTCAAACTCCGGTATGTCTCTAGATAAGTTAAAATCAAACTCAAGTAAGTCCAATTGACCAATCACAGCAAATTATAGCGTCAAGATGGCTGATTAGAAGATTTGTGAGAACTTACACTTCGTTGTCGTTATTTTATTAGATTGTTTGGGGAAAATGCATGAAAAATGTAAGAATTTTGTGCTGAATCCTGAAAAAGCAAAGAAGATGTAGTGTCAAATGTTAAGAAGAATAAGTCGAAAAGAAGGCTAAAAAGTAAAGCAAATCCTAAAGTAAGTACCGTTAACGTTTTGAAAACCAGGTTGTACAAATGTTAAGAATTAAACATTTGAATTTATATTTTTTTTCTATTAAAATGTATGTATTATCTTTAAAAGTCTTTCCATTTTGAGATAAGTAAATATTGTAAACGTATTATCGAATACGAACGTATAAACAAAATAGTGCTTCGTTATTAGAAAAAAGGAAAAAGTATGATCAATATTCATACTCAAAGATGACAATTCCTTCTATACATTAGAAGATATAAAAAAATATTTCATAAACATTTTGGCACTGACTGGTATCACATCCCTCAGTTGAAATATTATACAAATATCTTGCAAAGTAACAGAACTAGTTGGTGACAGGGAAGAAGACATAATAAATAATTCCGAAGACTATATCATGGACGAGATCTTAGATTTGTTTTATTAATCTACTAAATTAAACTACTACATGGTAATAAAAAAATCTGTTTTATTTACGGTTTAGTAAAATATTAGATAAGCAACCCTATTACGGGATTATAAGGATTTGTCAAAACAAGTAAGTCCTGTAGCTATTTTTCAATACCCGTACGCCATAGTGGTATTTTTCAAACTCCGAATAATTTAGTTTCAATCAAACACTGATATGTCCAAACTTTGACATGGTTTTAAAGCATAATATCTTATTAAAACTTTATTTTTATAATTCCTTAACTCACTAACGCCTATATAATCCCCAATGCTTCCAGTACAGTATAGAGAAAAACAATTTCTCTCATTTCCCAGTTTCGTTTATGGTGGAATACCGTTTTGTTACAAATTTTAATCATATATTTGTAACGTGTTGAAATAAATAAAATATCAGAATAAAAATGACTTTATGTCTCACTAGGCTCAACAAAACTTGTCTGGAACTAAAACTATGTACAAGGACACTAACTACTATTACAATAAAATCGCACTTGGTAAATCCGAAGCAGCCTCTTGCGCTGGTTAAATGAATTCGTCGGGTTCTCTTGGCGCATCCAAGTCCCGGTAGTGTATAACCGGGCGAAAGTCGACTCCGCCTCCCCTTTAACAATCAATTAGACTGTTACCAACTTTTATTTTTGTCTCTACCAGTTTTTTTTTATTATGGTATCCGAACTAGGGATGAGCCGATAACCATTTAACCGAACACGACATGACATAAACCGTAATTCGGTGCAAAAATTGTTCTTAGCGACAACATTACCGTATACCCTCAGTATACTTGGCTATGAAATCGAAAAAGAATAATAGTAATTCGGTTTCAGTTCAAACGACATTCGGCCCATCTCTGTTTAGAACACAAATTGTGTCGGAAAACTCTTTCTAATACCACAAGGTTTTCATGCAAGTTTTTGATGGTCTTGATATCTTTTTATTTAAAAAAATAAGCAAAAGCGAGTTTAAATCGTGTATTGCAATCGAACTTGATGCTTTTATCAACCAAAAGAATTTCTACAAGAACATAACGCATTTGACAGAAGCATTAAGGTGATCGCTATATCGTCAGCAACGAACACGCCGCTTTTTTTTACGCGTCGTGCGACTATATCTCAGAGCCGATTTCTTTTTAATAATAGAGGAGAAGGGGCTTCAATTGATGGGAGGTGGAATACCCCAGCCATAAAGCATCTACACAAAATTGCGCTGTCCACTTATTTTAGTTTGGTATATTCGGAAATCCACAGACTAAAACCGAAACGCGTTAATTTTTTCCTGCTCACGAATCTGTGATCACCTTTAATCTTAGCTTCCCGGTTCAGCCAGCAGGAATGTCAAGGTTCGAGGTTTAAATAAAAACTGAGTAAGTATCGGACATTTTATTAAAAAAGATTTCATACAATACATGTTACATAGATATTTATGTATTTTTTTTTAATTTCTATAAGGTACAGGACTATACCAGAAATATTTATCGATTGCTAGAACACCTCGATAATGCTTTACAGAATACAAAAGTAAATCTTGATTTGGCGTTTTACACTAAGTCACGTCCGAAAATGAAAAAATAATTCGGCCTTATTTAGAATACGTCGCCACTTTCCGGGAAGTCAAGATCGTTGTAAGCAATTATAGGCCGGGACCGATCCACATTCTCCCTGTAATTATTACATCAGCTCACTTCATTCATTTGAATAGTGCAGGAAGCGCAACGAAAAGCCACAGAAATAAAAAAAATCGATGCTACTTGGATTTCGAGTTGTTCGGTCGTCGTAATTGGGAAATGGTTATCGACGTTACTCGAACACGTTCACATTATTAGACGACACGCGTTTCTTAACTAAGCGAGACCCAAAACTCAAGTAGCTTTAAAAAAATCGGTCATGCTGTAATATCATAACGTATAATATTATATTTTCATTGCATAACAATCCTATTGCATCGAAAACTAACATTTTCACAAGTTATTGCACATGATGGTATTTTATCAATTAAATTTGATTTTAATTTAAACCTATTGTTTTCCTTGATATATAAAGACATAATTCAGTTAATTTATAACAATAAAATTTCATGCAAAACTGTTAGTATTTTTTAGTATCACAGATAAAACAGTCGTTGTTGTAATTCTAAATTGAGACAATAAGGAAACACACAGGTCAACATTCAAATGCAAACAAAGCAAAAATTACCTGGGTCGCGAAAAGCGGGGATGGCGTGGCGCGTAGGGCGCGGGCGGCGCCCATCCGCCCCAGCCCCATCCACGGGAACCTGCCCCGCCTCCGCCGTATCTAAAGCACATATTGCCAAATCAGCCCAACGTTTAAAGATAACATAAATCAGCGTGTTTTTCGTACAGAGTAAGTATAAAATACAGACTGGACCAAGAAACCACAGAATCTGGTAAGTTTTTGGTCTACTCTTAAGTGGTATAGTACTAAAACCCCGTTTCGTGTCCGTTTTTCACTGGGGTTGTGAGTCTCCATGCTTTGCCCAACCGAAACAATAGACATGATAGGCAACATCGACTATCGACCCAAGAAAAGCTGGTTCGTTATAATAATTGTACTTACGGTGCGGGTGGAGGAGCATGGTGCGCGGCGTGGGGCGGGGGAGCATGGTGCGAGGGTCGCGATGGAGGCTCCGGCTGCTGGGGACGGCGAACGTCGCGAACGTACGCGTTGAAGTACGCCACCTCCCTGCGTACTTCGTCCACCTAATATCAATTGTATAAATACAGTCTGTAGTTTACGCGAGTAGTATACATTTAAATAAAACACTTTAACGGTTTAAAACGCGATATATTTTAGTTAAACTTGTTTAAAAATTAGTTTTAACTACATGAGTCTCCCCGTGACCACGGCTGCTGTAGAGCATCCGGCCGTTGTTATAAATAATCTTTAAACAAGTTTAACTAAAATATAATTTTTACTTAACTTCTAATGTCACATTGAACAAAATAATATTCAGTTTGGGTATAAATAGGTTTTCACGTTTTATGAGATGCAAATGTAATAATACACTTGGAATTAAAAAAGAGTGTGTGAAATAAATACTCCTTCTGTGGACAGTGGTCCCTGACCCTGAATATTTTGTAATGGCCAATAAATGAACAAAGAATACATCGATTATTTCTTGTTTATGGTAAAATCCACTACATACCTTCTCCGCATGCTTGTTGAAGATATGTTTTCTAATGAAGTCAGGACCTTTGAATTTCTTTCCACTGAGTGGACACAACCATTTATCCTTCGACAGCTCTTGAGTATTTGCTTGAATGAACTTTTCAACTTCAGCTTCAGAGTCCTATGATCATACAAATTAATTAATTCAGTTCCATTGATTTCAGCTGATGGGAGTCTTTTTTTTTATTACCTTGATCCCAAGCTTTTGTAATTCGTCATCAGGTAGAGGCTTGACATCTTGCAAGAAAGCGGACATTTTACTTTCAAACGCCTTAACGTAGTCTTGGATTTCTGTCGGAGTAGGCTGGGGAGCAATGCAAGTTATGTCATTTACTTATGAAAAGTTACTGCACAAAGACAAAAGGGGTCATAGATTCACAATTAGGAAAGGGGGCTTCAAGGGGGGGTGTAATGGAATTTCACAGTTGCTCTAGTGTTTAATTTATTTATTCCTAAAGTCGAATTAACAATGTAATAATAACTATATATATACAATATATACAGGTATACTTTTCATATATAAATTTATAACCCAATATAAGTTATTAACATGAAGATTTTTTATTTTTCTGTGATCAGTAATTGGAACTATTTAAATGGCGTTAACTAAGATATATATGATGCTAGTTAAGCGCTTAGACCATTTTGTGTGAAAGTACCTTATTGAGCGGGGGACCAGATCTTGCATGCATAATGCCGCAACGGTTCGGCATCTCATCTTCATAGGGGTACTCGCAGTGGTTGTAATAGTCGACCGAGTGCACAATACGCAAGTACATCACGAGTCGGTCTAAAACGCGCATTAGTTCTGGATCCGGCTGCTCCTGGCCCGTTGTGTCACTTGAAGCTTCCAGACCCAGGAGTTCCTCTTCCTCTGTCGACGCTTCTTCTATTAGGTGCTCCGTGATTTTATGTAAAACTGGATTCTTCGAATTGAAGCTGATGGACTAAAACAAATATTTTTTTGAGGATAAGGGTCCATGTGTATGGAGTTAAGTTGAATAAATTTATCAAATTATTTGCGAAACTTGTTTGAAAATTATTTTAACTACGGCCCGACGTTTTGCCAAATACCAACTACGACGGAACAGGTGGCGCTAGAGTAGTAGTTTTTGCTTTGACATTATAGCACCCTCCAATTTTAGTCTCCCCGTGACCAAGGCTGCTGCAAAGCACTTACGTCAGACCGTAGTTAAAATTATTTTAAATAATATATTTTGCTTTTTAAACCGTTGTTAGTGTTTTCTTTAAATACTTTTAAGCGTCAAAGTTAAAGGCTGTTTAAACTAAACCAAGAGTGAATGACTCTTGTACATAAACAGGACTGAATGAACAAATTTAGTGTGGCCTAAAAATCTACCTCATGAGCATCGTTGTCATTGGCTCCTTCAGAGCTCTCCCAGAGCGACGTGCGCGTGTCCAAGAGGTGGGCGAGGCGCGCGGCGAGACGAGCGTCTGCGCGCATAACAGAGCGTTCGACAGTCACTCCGCTCACCGGCCGGATGCGTCTTTGCAGATCGCGGTTCACTATTGCGCCGAGTTCACATTCGCGGAGCTGAATATGATAATAAACTGTATTATCTGCTCTGAAGATAATATTTTCCAAGAAACGGGAGGCAATTGAAATTAAAAACATCCAAGCTTTCATATCAAACAACTAGGTTCTAATCATAAAAAGCATATCCCCAAACACCTCACGCAAAAAGCACGAATAACTATCGGTCTAGTTTCTCCAAATATCCTTTTAGTTGGCCCTCGATTTTTCTTCACGCGTGACCTCGCTGCTGTATAGGCAAGTACGAGGTTTTATTGATGGTAGGTAAAAATCCCCCGCCCTATGACATTCAACACTAAGCGCTGTCGACCAATTTTGTCTTTGGATAGGAAAATATGCTATAGGATACAGATATATGTCTGCTTCACGTAAACAGGGGAAATTGGATTAATTTATGATACAGGATTAATAACCTAATACATTCATAATATAACAAGTATTATGTAAACATTCATATCCATGTCTTACCCTTATATTGTTGAGGTTCCAACAGATATCCTTGATGTTAACTTCACGTCGAAATGTGACCCAGCCGCGACGGAACCAACGCCGTTCAGGCAACGGATCAGCCAAAGCCACGCGCAAGAAACCGCCATAACGTTTGCACATCTGAAAAATAATTTTGGAACATGAGGTCTTAGGTTTAAATCTCAAACCTTAAAGATAATTCCACTTCAGTTTAGATAAAAAAATATTTTAAATAGTAACTCAAATGCAATGCAATGAGTATACTTCATTCTTTATGTTTAATAGTGTACATTATAAAGGATTAATAAACTCACAGCCTCCACTTCAGCTTTGGTTATAGTAGGTGCTAAATTTCTTAGAAAGATCGATGTGGTCTTATGGAGGGCTCTTATCTCCTTTTTCTCAGCCCCAGCATCGTTTGTACCCTCCGACTTGTCATCAGCATCTTTCTCCTTAGTGGCCTCCGTCGTGTCTCTAGACTTTTCGACACTTGGTGATTTGGATCTGCTGCGCGCTTTAGGAGACTTAATAGGGCTCTTGGATTTGGATTTAGATTTAGATTTGGATTTGCGTCGGGTGTTGGTTTCGCCCTCATCTTCTGAACTGGAAGACGATGAGCTTGATGACGACGAGCTAGATGATGATCCAGGGGGTGCTGTATTAACAAAAAAGAACGTGTCTGTAGTTTACGCGAGTAGTACACATTTAAATAAAACACTTTAACGGTTTAAAACGAGATATCTTAGTTAAACTTATTTCAAATTATTTTTAACTTCGGCCCGACGTTTCCCCGTGGCGTGAAAGCATCCGAAACGTCGGGTCGAAGTTAAAAATTATTTTCAAATACGTGTGAATACGGCTCGGAAACCTCGAAAAAAGTGTTGCCATTTATTGATTTAGAGCATAAATATATAAAACATGGCGCATTTTCTATGAGTATTGTGAATAATACTAGTGGCATTATTGATATAATGACAAAAGGCAAAAACGCAACATTTCTTGTATGTATTTTTTATCCTTTCGGAATATGTATATGTAAAACTCAAAACTATCAATCTCAACTCTATTGCTTACGAGGTTCTTTTTCAGGTACTTCCTGATCTGCTTCAGTCCCCGGCGGAGTGTTGAACCGCGAGAAAAGTTTTGCTTGCTCCTGAAGATGTTTCAAGTGAGGATCAATTTCCATCGTAAGCGGAGCAGTTGATTTAGGCGATTCAGGGTCTGATTTCTTATCCTATGAACATTTTACGAAGAATTAATATTACTAATATAAAAATATAATAGAACAAACATGTGACAGCAGTATAATAATAGCTTTGTAAAATCATATTGTTTAGGCTATAAATATCAAATACTTTTCGGAAGGTAAAAAAGACTATCGCCAATTATTGTAATAACTTTCTATATTGACCTTACCTTATCATTCGTATTTTCCTCCTTTTCATCTTTTACTTTGACAGCTTCAACGTCAATAACAGCTGCCTTGTCAGTTTCTGGTTTATCTGAAAATATTTATGATTATGAAGATTTTTAAATAATATTGGGTGGAATAGCCTCCAAAAGCCAGCTCAAGAGTTGCTTGCACAGCAGTAGTTGGAAGTCCTGGGTTTGAACTCCAGCGTCGGGTGCAGTAGTCTGATCAATAACTTGGTGTATATGAATCCCATCAGTGAGGACAGAAAAATGTGTTATTCATGACTCTCAAGGGTATTGCGATTTCATAGACTTATATCACCCATCATATTTGTGGGAGTATTTGCCAAATATATTACAATAAAGTTAAATATTAACCTTGTTTGTCAGTATTATTATTTTCAGACAGTGTAGGTTCATCTAGAATTTTCAAGTCCTCCTCAGTTCCTCCTTCAAGTTTGATCACAACAGTGTCAAGTAACCTTATCAGTTTATCTGACTTGTCAACATCAACAGACACTTTGTCAAATTCCCCCTGCTCCAATAAGTCGAGAAACACATTTAAGCGGTTCTGTTAAAAAAAGTAATATTACGGTTACAACTATCTACAGCATAGTGACCATAGTAACAGACTTTTCAAATATGAGCAATAAGGTAAGTTTTCATAAATTATATGATATTCATGCGACAATTTGAGTATTATTTTGGTCTTTGAGCAGTTTGACTTTTGTAGTAATGAAAATATGGTTTTACGTTTCTCATCAGAGAAGTAGGTATATCACTCTTTGCTTAGTGTCTGAACAACTAAAGGTTGGAAACAGCTTGTGATTGTGGTTGAAACATAGGTTCTTTAATTTATTATTACTTTCTTTTGATAACTTATCCACCATTACAAAAAATTCATATATAATTCACATCAATTTTGTATCAGTGTAGATTGTATGTCACTTATAATTAAATATACATTTTGCAGTTAGTTTACCTTAAGAGCTGCTAACTGTTCTTCTTTCCTCTTAACAGACTCTTCAGGATGGTACTTTATCTTGAACCTACAGAACAATTAAAAGATACAATTACATAAAAAATAACTTCTTACCAACATAACAACAGCATACAAAAGTACCACCAATATCGACATTTTGCTGCTATGTTACGATGCACTTAAAAAGGTGAATACCTACTTTAATCCTTCTCAAACTATCGGAGGCATAGTGATAACTAAAATGAAAAGTTAAAAATCGGAGTCTCACCTGTTCCACACATGTGGAATTTAGCCCTACCCCTAACGGTAACGAAACCTGTAGCATTGCGCGCTACAGGTCAACGCGACATTAACTAGCTACACACATTTTAGCAATTGGATATTTAAAGTTGGAATATATTTTCGTAACGACGTCCAGCAATTCCACACGAATACGCTGTAGACTGTAGGGAAAAAAGTTAACAGTTAAGATTTGCATATTTAAAAGGTTCTATGCATAACTCTTATTATCTCGGGCCACAATTATTATTTGGAAGTCTCTTTGTGAATCATGTTATTGCATAAAACCTTTTATTAATAGGCACACACATATATTGTTGTACATCCTAACATATAGCCTAAGCCAGACCTAATAAATGTATTTATTTTTTCTGCTTCTTTTTATAATTTCTGTAACAGCTTTCTTATAGGATCATTATAATTTTGGATTACACAAAGTAAGTAGACACACTTACCATTCTTCATCTTTATGTGCTACAAAGAACTCATTTAGTTGCTGTCTTCTAAATTCAAGCTTGTATTCATTATATTTCTGGATAGCATCGTCAACAGTTATTGAATCATCTTGTGCCGCAAGGAATGCCTTAAAAGACATCATGGTGGGTGGACCATCAGAGGGCCCCGATGGCAAGACAGTATCCCTGTTATCATAATTGCTGTACATATTAAAAGAATTATTCAATAACTATGCAATATTTTGCAGTTATGTTAACAGTTTTTGAGTTTTGTTCCCAAAATTCTTTCTCACCTGGCTGGAACAGGGGGCATTGGTTGGCCATAGCCTTGATGAGCTGGGTGGGGCCCAAAGTGATCGTGCGCCCAGCCATAAGACCCGTAGGAATCGTGGGGCATGCCACCATATCTTCGGTCATCAATCGGCCAATCAGGACGAACTCTCTTGCTAGGTGGACCTTCACCTCTAACAGGAGAATAACTTCTGCTAGCGCTTCCGCCAGCTCTATAATCTCTATAGTCGGGGCCTGATCTACCGCCTCGGGATCTTAAAAATAAAAAATATATTAAACATATTCTCAAACACAGGAAATTAATGTTCCAGTAGCAATGGGGGTACTGAATACCTCAAAGCACCTGAAGATCTTTTAACTGGTTTGTAATGATGGTTTGGGATTTTGGTAGGATCAAGGGTTTGGGTCTGGGATCTGAAATAAGTAGCGGATGAATTAATATTCTGGAAGAACTTTGGATGATATTATAGAATTAATTGGGATCAGTCATGTTTGGTACCTTTCAGACCACTCTTCACGACCACGACTGCGTTCCTCTCTTCTGTCACTGCTTCGATAGCTACTTCCTTCAGCAGCTCCCCTTTCACCGCGAAATTTGTCGCGTCGTTTCCTATCATATTCGTCATCACTATCCGCCATTTTATCTTAAGGTGAAAGCAGACCGAAAGTAAGTATATATTAAGATTTATGGCTAAGCTTCAAACTATGCTTTTTGTGTATCTAAGCCACAAAATGGAAAATACTTATGTTGTAAAATAACATAAATTTTCATGAAAAGCGGGCACTAATTCGTCCACCCAATAGGATAGTTAGAACGGTAAAATTAGAAGCTGACAACAATGTCAACTGTCGACACGACACTAATTATGACAATTGACACTTAACAATGTGACGGTTTATTAATATTATCTATATCAGCAATGGTAATATATTATATATATATATGATATTATATTTTCGAAATTTTATAAATACTAAATAGGACATTTTATGTTTCAATGAGACAACATTGTATTCCATGTCGATAATAAGGATACGCCCCTACTTAAAAAAGAAGTCAAGGATGACGGAAAAGGGTAAATAAAATCTATATAAAAAAATAAAACGTGAACTCTATATAATATCGAAAATAATGTTTACTATGTGACTTTTCAATAACAGATTTTGTAGTGAACATTTAGAAAGGTGCAATAGTAAAAATAATAAATAATACATTAAAAGTATATAGATCCTTCAGTACATAACTACAATTTTGGTCCGTCTAAAAGCACTGTGTCTCATCCGTATTATCACCACAATCATCACGACCGTCGCATTTTACGTCCAATGAAACGCAACGACGATTGAAACATTGCAACTCGTGTGTTCCACAGGACCCTTCGCATCCATGAGGCTCGTCACTTCCGTCAGCGCAATCAGCAAAGCCATCGCAAAATCGTGATGGCAGTATGCACTGACCATCGTTGCATGGAAACTGATCTTCAACACATCCTGTTAAGTAAAAAAGTATTAAAAATGTTGTTGATAGATACATTAAACAAAATAATACAAAGATTCGTATATTTATCGCTCAATACATAAGCTTATGTTATTAAAAAATAGCTTTGTCGTGACAATAAAATTAAAAAACTTGGCGTCGTCGTGAACTTTTTTAACTTAAGAACTTTAAAAAGAAATTGATGTGGCGCGGCATGATTTTAACGTAACTTTAATCGTTTAGAGTAAACTTTTTTTCAGTTTAATATGTATACTTTTTCAGAACGCGGAGTTTCGCAAAATCAAATCAAACCGGCAATGTCTGACTTTAAGGCGTCATACGTAACTAATAGCTCTTATAATATACAATATTAAGAGTACATACGTGAGGTACAATTTACTTCGTCGAATCCATCCCAGCAGTCAATAGTACCGTCGCAGATTTTTTTATTTGGAAAACATGATAATGAGTGGCCGCAACGAAACTCTTTCGTCAAATCACAATCTACGGAAAAATAGCTTTTCTTGTTAAAATATACTAATATAGTATAAACGATGAGATGTGTAGGTCACGGTAGCTCAATTGATAGGCAACAGCACGAAACGTTGTGGATGCCGGTTCAAGTCCTGCCACACAAGAGTGTCACAGGCCAATAATGTTCTTAAAAAAATACCAAGTATTTTTCTCCAATTTAAATACCTCTAATAATTAATAATTTCAATGTTCGCTTATAGCCTAAAATGGGCTTTTAAGGGATTGAGAGTAAAGGATTACATTACCACAATGTTTTTCGTCTGATCGATCGTAGCATTGTATGGAACCGTCACATCTAGCATTGGCCGGGACGCATAAACCGTTGCTGCATCGCCAGTCGTGGGATGAACAATTCTCTAGTGTCAATAGACGGCATACTCGGATTCCCCTTTCCTTATCCACTAACTGGCAAGCTTCGGTTTCTAATGCACATAGACCTCCACAACCTGAAAAATAATATCGCGTTGGTCCAATGGTAACAATGGGATAGCCCCATCGAGTCTGACATGTTTTTTATCAATTTATAATTTTATGAAATATGTTTGACATCAAATACATATAAATAATACAGTTTAACGGTTTAAAACGCGATATATTAGTTAAACTGATTTGAAAATGATTTTTATACTACTCGAGTAAACTACTGCCTGTAGTTTACTCGAGTAGTTCACATTTAAATAAAACACTAACGGTTTAAAACGCGATATATATTAGTTAAACTTATTTGAAAATTATTTTAACTTCGGCCCGACGTTTTACTTAACGGATGCTTTGCGCAACCGTAGGTACCTTCAATAAGTTAAACTAATATATATCGCTTTTTAGACCGTTAAACTGTTTTTTTTATATGTTGGACCTCGATTCGAAATCTGAATATTAAAAATTGGTGGGAGGAATATCGAAATCCACCCGAGCCACAAACTATCGACCACGGTTGAAAAAGTCGTTTGTAGATAAGTTAAATCACGTCTGTGGATTTCCGAATGTTAATATCAAAAAAGCTCAACAGCTAATAATGTTGAGATTATGTGGCTGGGGTATTTTTAATCTTCTATCAATTCAACCGCAGCATATCTGGCCCCCTCTCATCATAAATTATCATTAATTAGTAATTCAAAACATAACTAAACATTACCCGTGGGATCTTCTATATCGGCAGCAATTTTACAAATGGACGTCCCGCTATCCTCATCCAACATGCAAACTTCATTTTTTTGGCACGAACAAAATTTTTGCGATAAATCTCTATTAATTATATCTTTTGGCAATTCACTAACTGGTTTCGTTTTTGGATACGTTTTGATATTGTTTCGAATCTTTGCTATAACATCGCTAACGGTAACTTTCGTACCGCTTATGGTCGATTCATCTTCGCGTATTATTTGAGTAGTATCACTGTCCGTTGTAGGATCTGAGTTGACGCTAACAATAGCAGACGATGTTTCATTAACATTAACAATCGTTGGCACTACGGTTGTACTAGTATTATTTGCACGTGACAAAATAGGAGTTGAAAAGTTAACTAAAACCAAACATATCGTTACCACAGCCAAAATCATTACACTTATTGAGCAAGCTTTAAGTTGAGTTTTCTTCTTCGACAGGCTCTCAGTTGAGATTGAATTGAAAACACATCTTGCGCCTTTGAGGCTTCTTAGGTTATGCTCATCGAAACGTTTGCGAGAGTCGTAGGCAGCACAAGTGTATTTTTGGCGATAACTAGTATCGACTTGTCTCGAAATAGAAGGAATGATTTGTGAACCTGGTTCATTTCTTTCCTCTTCTATAGTAAAATTGCCGTGGAGGTCAGATTCTATACTCCTAGTATTAGAATACGTTTTTGGTGTTGAGTGACTCCCGGGTAAAAAGTTTGATTTTCCCGGAGGTGTCACTTCGTAGTTTCTTACTTTACCTCGACAAGTATAACAGCAAGTAACCGCTTTGTTCTCAACAAATGGTGTTTTAATAAATTCTTTTCTTAGTTGACTATCGTTCCAGAGTTGAGAATTGTAAAGTATTTTCCAATCTGTAGAAATATCCTCTACTATACTATTACTCTGTAGTGTATTTGAATTAATTGATAAGGTCATATTATTAATTTGTACTTAGATGTCATCTCCGTAGCATTTTATCTGTGAAGCAAGTATGATAAATTAGCGGAGCAATATATACTCGTCATAATATATTGATAATGATAGTTACAAACAAAAAGTATACAATAAATACTAATATAAGTAGATATAAAAAACTATATATAATATAAAAGATCCAATAGTATGATTCAAACCAAATAATAATCAATTAATTAATAAATACTAAAAATATATTTGCGGCAAAAAAGAAAGATATTTGTAGATTATATTTTTATGTTCAAACGTTGATAATATCTTTAAGTGGAAGTCTAGGTCATGTCCTTTAGCCCAACTAAAGTTATATAAAGACACACATTTATTACATTACACGCAACATGTATTATGGCAAATAAATATATATAAATCATATACTTACATATTTGTTTAATAGGTGGTAATATATTCAGCTTTAATCTAAAAATGTCTTGAGGCACAATTCCTTTCCGCACACTGTATCGGTCTACGGTTGCCGTTAACAACGTCTAAACAACTTACGAATGCACCCTGGCAAGTATGCATAGAAAGAGACGTGTATAACATAGTTCCCAGTAACAGTCACTAAGGGGTTGGCACACCGGTGTCCACATAACGTTTTTATATATGCAACAGAAAGACCATCTGTTCCAGTCGCCACCCCCAAATGCAGTTAAAGTGCTGTGGGATTAATCGACACATGTCCAAGGGTAGATTCAGTTTCGTTCGGGGTGTTGTTCAATTACACGATAAATTGCCGATACCATCATACTAATATTGTGTTACGCGCTAATTAGGTTCGAATGTTCCGCTGTTAATAGATAAATCTTATGAAGCAAGCTTTTCACTAAGTATACTCGATATGACTGACCTTGTTTATAAAAACAGACTAAGAGGACAGCAGTGATACAGATATACGTAATATTCGCTATCGTAATTATAATCTGTGTGTTTTTATATGTAATGGCGTAATTACGTTTACATTTATCGACAGGCCTGCAAAATTTTGTTTCGTCAAAACATCACAAGAATGGAGAACATGGAAAATGTTTCGCTGATCGGCTGCAGGGCTGCTTCTCGCGGCTGCAAGACGGGTGCAAGTGCAACACGCAGCATCGCGAATGCAGTTGCGGCCGCCACAGCAGTAGTGCGACCGTCTACTGCCTACGGCCCACCGAGCGGCTTAGGACCCTGATTATGATAATTCACGGAGGGTGAGATGCAAGTGATAGGATACTCATAGGTAGTTGCTATTAAATATTACTAATAACAATTACTTCTAGTGATTAGCTCTTTTGTGTTGGTAGCTAAATGGTTTGGACAGCAAACGCGACTAGGGCTTTCTCTAAAGTACCAAAACAGAATGATGGTGTGTTTGGTGGTTCCTTTTTTTATGGTAGAGGAGAACAGACGGGATTCATGATGGTAATACATGTATACAAGATGCGCTATCGACCTAATTTGGCTTTGTCTAATTGACATTTGGAAAACTACAGACTGAAAAGAAAAAGGCGATTAAACTTGACGGCTTTTATCATTTGTGACGGATTCGGAGGGACGTAGCCGGACGAAATTTAGATGTTCCTACCGCCTACTTAATATGCAGATTTTATATGATCAGACACAATCCATATATGTTTTAGAAAAATATAAATTGATTAGAAAAATGTTCGATCACGTGGGGATCGAATCCACGACCCGTTTCTTATTAGCCATACATTGCTACCATTACAATGAGGCCGTTTAGTCTACCATCGTCTGGTCGACTCACGGCTCGGGTAAAATTGGTTGCAGAGGATTGTTGGTACGACTTACCACACTGCCCATAACTGATCGAGGTGTAAGATGCAAGTAAAAAAGGTTAGTAGAGGCTATCGACTGGCAAGTGCAAATAGCAGAATCAGACAGCCGGTCCACAAACGGAGGAAGGCACAACTCTCACTGCGCGCGCCGCGAACGGTTGTTGTCTTCACTTCGTTGGACCGTATTCACTATTCACGAGTTAAATAATTTAGTATTCCGCCACTCAGCTATCCACGAGCGCGTTCCGAACGTGTGTAGTTTCTCTCGAATATTATGTGAATACGTCAGTTATTGTTAGGACAAAGTAGTGAAATGTTATTGTTTATTGACTGATATGAAAGTGTCTTCGCGAATGTATTAATTCTTCATGAGATCTAATTAGCTCTTAATTTGTTCAGGTGAGTAGATTTGAATTTGAAAGTTTACTGTACGTAGTCATGGTAACAGCGAGTAGAATTTTAAAGTCTTAGGTGATTTATTTACTGTTCGAGAGATGAATTAGTTCTAAACAGTAGGTCAACAGAGCGATGATGGCCCACTTCTGGTGGCGACAGTCAGTGTCTTGGCCACTAAGGCCATTGGGCTATAACGTTTCATTGCTCGCGTTTTTGCTGATGCGAACGAAAATAACTCACATTGTTAAAAAAAAAACCAACAGAAACAGACAGACAGCCGTTAGTAAACTTTTCCTTAAGGCTAAAATTGTTGCGTGAGCAATTTCACATGCTGCTGTATTTCGTCTCGATGTCATCGCTTTCAACACGAATATCATTGAAATATTATTAAAACACTTCAACAGTTTAAAACGCGAAATATACATGTTCGTTTTTCATTTATATGTGAAGTCGTGTTTGTTCCCTGTCTTGTAAAAACAGGCAAACTTTTAATGAAATATACAACTTATGCATTTAGTATTATGAGTGATATAGACCACTACGAGGAAGGAAATACTTGTTTAAAACACATTAAGATTCTCTTTAAAAAATCAATAACATTCAGTTTGGCTTGTTTTACCACAAATAACAATGTTAGCAGCTACCCCCTAAACTTATAAAATCCATTCTAAGTTTGAGACTTGCAGAAAAGTTTAGTTCGTAACAAACGCGCTACTTTGGACAGTCTTTTACAGTTCGTTTTGTTTTCAAGTAGTAGAATAAATAATTTTCTTCCCACACGCACGACAATAGTCATATTAGTGCATAAACAGTTTAATAGCTATTTTTAGGGTTCCGTACCGAAAGTGTAATCAAACTCTATTACAAAGACTTTGCCCTCTGTCTATTCGTAAGTCTGACACAAAACTGTATCTCCAAAAACACAATAGAAATACAAATAAAAAACAACAAATATATTTTCAATGGAGTTTCTTCTACAATACAAATGATTTTTGGTTATTTTTTGAGTTAGCACTTTAAGTAACTTAAAAAATAAAAAATTGATTTTAGATTTAAAAAAAAATACGATACGGGCAGGAACTGTACCGGCATCTACAGCGTTCCACGCAATCGATCTAACCAATTGGGCTACCGTGTCATAGTAGTAAAATGATTTTTAGTAGTGCCATTATGTGCAAAAAATACTACGCAAAGATATAAAAGTTTTCGAACCAAAAAAATGTTTATGGAAATTGGTACGGAACCTTTTGTCCGCAAGTCCGGCGCGCACGTGACCGTTTTATTTCTCGAATGCAATCCTTTAACGTTTACAGATTTCCCACCTACTTTCTTTAGCTGTACAAAGGAGGTTAACGGTATATTTCGATGACTATAGAATCACAAGTGGACAATTTATGTAATATAAATTTTAGTCACATATTATATGGGCTGTGTACGTTGCAACATTTAATGTTTTATTTTAAATCACACTGCCACTGCCCTCTACTTATCTGCCCTGAACTGTTAACATAGGTTTATCATTAAAATTTTCAATAACCGACCGATGACCGGCTCGTTAGTTCAATTAAAGCAATTGGTCGTGGGTTTGATTTTTTCGGGTTAAAATTTAGACCGAGTCATAAACCAACAAGTAGGAAAAGCCGTGAAGTGAAATTACGTTTTGGGTGGTGCGGATCTACAAATATAAAAAAAATGGCCGGCATCACATCTTGTTTAGATTTTATATAGCTGGGTGTATTTCTTGTCGATCCTCGGTTTTAAAACACTAGCTGATCTTAATCTTAGTATCGCCGTATACTCTCGAAGCCATATTTTTAGATCGGTTAAAGAGGAATCATTCTTTGAAACATATTTTTTGTCTTCATGAATTGTTGCTGCGTACGCAATGGAAGTCTTTTTTTATCCACATTTTCCTCTGTTTCCTTGTTCTTGCTGTTGCAGCCTGATATAGCCTAGAGTCTTTCTCGATAAATGGTCAACACAAAACATTTTTCAATTTGAACCAGTAGTTTCTGATATTATCACGTTCGAACAAACAAACGAACTCTTCAGCTTTATAATAACAGTATAGATTACAGTCATTATTTATTACGCAAAGCGGCTTCCATTAAGGATGCAATAAAGAACACAGCTACCATACAAATGTGACATTATTGTGTTATATCACGTTATATGGCGAAAGTGTGTCGAAGGTCAAATACCGCTTCAAGTTATGGCTTTAATACAGGATCCTGCGGAAATGTATAGAATATCTGTTACTGAATGTTAGCTGGAACAAAAGATTCAAGTAATCATTAATTAACACTGAGAATACTTTTACATATAGACGATAACATACATAAAATAATGTTAATTGCAAAAAGTCATATTGTAAGCATTAAAACATTTTTAATTTAAATATTGTAAACACATTTTAAATTAAAGGCAAGACCGTAGAAAGCAAATGCAGACGCTTATTGTTAAGTAAGTGTTTCAGACAATTAATAGATGTTAACCAGGTAATTAAATTAAATATATTTTTAATATATGCGAATAGTACACATTGAAATAAAACGAACTGTGTTCTTTACCTACTGCTGCGAAGCTTTCAAAACGAAAGGTAAAAAAACTACTTCAGTTAAAAAACATATTTGCGAGTAGTACACATTTACGACGTTTCGGATGCGTGCTCCCCGTGACCACGGCTGCTGCAAAGCATCCGAAACGTCGAGCCGAAGTTAAAGTGTTTATTTAATTATAATTCGCGTTGAAATCCCTTAAGAGTGTTTTATTTAAATACAGTTAGTT